GCGGATTATATGAAGGGGAGGAAATACTTCCTGTATGTATATATACGACGCAAGGGGAAGAGAGAGAGAGGAAGACGAAGGGAATTGTACCTGAGTAAGAAACGGAGCGAAGAAAGTCCTCGTCGACAGCGGGGCGCAACTCCGCTTTGACCGGTGAGGAAATAGACGAGACGAGATGCGAGCGAGGGAGAGAGTTCTTCCAAGTTGCCCGGATGGCTGGAAGTTGGGGGCCGGAACCACGAGGGATGGAGGGAGGATGGATGAATGAATAGATGGATAGTCACTTGAAACTAGAGAAGGAAGAGGAAGAATGGGGGAATTTTTATTGGGTTGGAGGGGATCGTAGACGGAGATCCACTGGCGGTCGCAATTGGAGTCGTTGACTCACAGTCTCCCTCCGTTACTTTTTTCTCTCCCTCCCGCTCCGATGTCGTCGCGCCCGTTTGGCTGTTCTTGTTCTTGGTTCGTTTGGCAACTCCGCCTCCGCCGGAGTTACTCTGCCCTGTCTGACATCTGAAGAACTTAATGTGGACCAAGCTGACTAGCTACGATTTTCCTCGTGTTGCTCAATCTCGATCTTACTATTTACAACACGAGGGGTCACCCCGTCTCTCAAAACGTGCTGTCAAGCTGACAAGCTGACACTTCCAGACTCCTTCCATCCTCATTCCGGATCCGCGAATTCTCCCTAACTTACTGACAACCCACCCCCGATCCGGATCCGAACGTTCTAAGACTGACTTCATTGCGGTCGGAAATCTTACCGGGCCAAAGATTACTATCAGCTGGCCGAGATCTATAAACTCATTTAGTGATTTGGCAAGCTGTTCTACATGGTTGAGAGGGAGAATTCGTTTCCATTCGCGATGCTCGCGAGATCTTTGATTGCTATACAGATGTAGATTGAAACCCGGCAAATCTTATCCAATCGAACGCCGTCCCTCCGACCATTTGGCCTCCCTTTTTTTTGCCCTTTTTTTTCTGGCCCCTAATCACAATGTGATAGAACTACCCATACAAAAAACAAGAAGAAGAAAGTAGTTTAACGTGGCATTGGCGCAATGGCCCTGGGAATCGTGCGTAATAGACATTCCCATGCACTCCGAATCTGTCATGTTCTCGAACATCCCCTTATCTAATACCGTCCATATCCACCACCACCGCCAGAGTTCCGGGACGAATAGTGGTCCCGACCTGAATAACCTCCGCGGCTATACCCACCACGCTGGTCGGAACCCCCGTAGTTGTTTGAGCGTCCACGGTACGCGTTATTGTGGTTGCTACCACCGTAGGATCCTTGCTGATAGTATCCTTGTTGACTACGTCCATAGTAGTCGTAATTGCCCGTGGGTTGGTTGTAGGAATCACCACCACCACCACCGCCATAGTGCGATCGCTGATGGTAACCTCCTCCTCCTCCTCCGCGGGGCGGAGGCGGTGGTCCGCGGTTGTAATTACCGCCTCCAGCGTTCGGAGGAACCCAGCCGGCAGGCATGCCCATCGGCGCTCCACCAGAGTTACCGGGCGGCATGAACTTGGGGTCCAGATGGGCCGCGAAAGGGTTTGGCCGCTCACTGGCATAGTTGATCCGGCCTCCCCGGTGTCCATTGCGAAGCGGAGCTCCTCCATGGGATCGGCCCGAGTGGTGTGCCTTGTTCTTGACGGCCTGAATATCCGCATTGTCCAGGGTCGGAGGTGGGAGCTTGGCACCCCGAAGGAGCATGGACTTGTGGACGTGCTTGGACTTGGGGATTTCGTAATTGACCCTAATCCATGGATTCGGATGATTAGCTCAACTGTTAACAGCACTTGGAGAGTAGGAAAGAAAACAAAGAAAAACTTACGTAAGAGATCGATCATCATCCAAACTCGGCATACCGTATTCTTCAAGAGACGATACTAAGGAGCTGTGCGGGATGTAGGAATCATTCCGCTCGACCTTACCGGCCAAACCTTCACTGATTCGCTGATTGATGGAGTACTTAGGGGCTCCCTGTTTCTTGGAATAGAAGTTGGCCACGAGATCGTGGTACAGTGGGTGGCTTTCGGAGATCAACAACACATCCCGACCCACGCAGTTGCGAAGCTTCTCGTCATCAGAAAGAAGAGGGTACTTCTTTTCCATCGCAGCCAGCAGTCGCTTTTCGTCGATGAAGGGAAGGAGAACGACACCCTGCCAAGCAAACTTCTTGCCGTTCAGGTCCACGGGGAAGTCTTCCGGGTAGAAATCGATGATCTCACTGTCCGGATCGCTCATCAGATCATGGAAGACCTCAGGGATAGCGTGGTTGGAAGAAGCCGGAAGAACCCCCATCAGCTGCTCGAAGGGCTTGAATGGGGTGCCCTTTTCAAATTGCAACTCCATGTCGCCAATGTCCACAAAATCAGCCGCGAATGGCGCATAGTGGTAAGGATAGTACCACGTCCACGAGGGGCATCCTTGGAAATAGTATCTCAAAACCCAAGCAAGACCCTCGGCATACGCTCGTGCAACCTTGTGGCGGAACTCCTTGTCTTCGGGATCAACGCCAAACTTCTGCTCGTAGTACCGATCAGCGTATCCTTCTTCCCAAAGGCGGACGGTGTCCGGAGGCAGTTCGTCGTTCTGAGAGTCGCCCGCGGATGGCTTCTTGGTCGGCGTCGTTGCGGCCTCCTCTGCCACCGCATCCGCCTTTCTCTTACCGAGAACCGAAGGCGAAGTCTGCTCTTCGGTCTTCTCCTCGGAGGGCTCTGGAGCTTCTGACCCGGATTCTCCGGTGTTATCGGAGGGCTCTTCAGCCTCCGGACCTTTCATGAGCTTGCTCTTCAGGATGGCCGCGGCACTCTTGTTCGCCATGTTAGCCTTATACACCGCACCGCGGTTAGTGACCATGCTGTGAGTCAATTGCCTCGCCTCCCGGGTCAGTTCTCCCCGTGCAGGCGTGATCAGTTCCACGGCATTGGGAGGCGCCGCATCTGCGGCACCCTTAGATCGACCGCCGGTAGGATTGGCCTCGGGTGTGTCGTAAGCTTCGTAGTTGGGAGAGCTTTTTCTCCGCTTCCTAGCACCTTCCTCACGCGCTTGTGCTTCCTGCTTGCGCCTCTTCTCGTTGGCGGCCCTCCTCTCTTCGGCCTGTCTACGACGACGGAAAATAGCATCCTCTTGCTTGGCCAAGCCTTGCAGAATGAGCTGGGCCCGCTTGAGGTCAACGTGTCCATCCTCGGTCAGGTACCCGCCCATGACGGGGATATTATCGCGCCAAATAGCTATCAGAGTGTCGATGCCATTTTCACGAATATCTAGGGACGGTAAGTGGGGAAGGAAATCATTTCCTACGAAGAAACACATAAAGACCCAGTCATCCAGAGCACGTTCCAAGTCGAAAGGAAACGGTTGTTGCGGAACATACAGTTCCGCAGCAAGGTATTCCCGAAGGATTGACACATTGAGCCAAATGAATGGCTTGAGAGAGGTTCCTTTACCCTTCTCATCGAACTGCCCATTCTTCTCCTTTGCCTGACCTTTGCATTCCTCTGCCTTGTGGCCTGCCTGTCCACATAGCCGGCATGTCCGAGCCCTTGACTCCTGGAAGAAAACATCCTCACGTAGAACCCGGAAGTATGGCTCATGAGTTGCGAGACCCAACATGATTAAATCTGCATCTAGTCCATAGATGACGTGGCGGGTGTTCGGGTCGTGCTCTGGCGACGCGCGCTGTGACCGGACGAACTCCATGATCTTGTGTTCACCCTCACCCGGAACCGTCGCGTCGGAAATGATGATTTTGAGCTGCTTAAGTCAGTAAAAAATATACCACGGTCACTGGGAAAGGGTGCGAACCTTCTCCCAAGCGGGGTCGGTGTTGAGCTTGTAAGCGATCCAGTAGCGCAAAGCTGCCGCAAGAATATCCATGAAAGGCGTTCCCGGAGTGATGACATTGCTATCCCACGTCTTCTGGATGACGTGCTCCTGCATATCCTCATCTTCCTTCTTGCCGTTTTGCTTCTCTAGCATCTTGCGGAACTCTTCCTTCTTCTCATCTGCCTCTCTGGCTTCCTGAGCGGAGCGGAACCGACGGGCTCGTTGCTGGTTCATCTTTGCGCGTGGCGCGACACCATCTGAGTTAGGAGAAGAGGCATGAGTCAGTTCAACGATTCAATCAGACGGGCGACGCGACAAAAGTTACAACATACCGACAGCGATCATCAGAAGCTTCCTCGGGCGGACCATGTTCACCACACGGTCGGTGTACTTGAAGATCTCCAGCATCATCTCCTGCTCGTTCGCCGGTGGCGGCTTTCCTTCCGGATGAGTACATGGGTGAACGATACCGTTCATATCCAGGTACAAATTATCCATCTCGTCTCCATTGGGGTTGGGACGCGTGGTGTCCACGGGAACCTCTTCGCCATTGATTTCTTGCGGAAACTCCTCGATAACGGGGGAGATGATCTTAGGATACTTGTTGGAGAGCCATCTGAAAAGCGCTGGGACACCCATGATTGCTAGTAGAATTTGACAAGGAGCGTATGAAGGTGTTTGTACAGAATATACGGAGTAGATCTATCGATTTAAGCCAGGTTCGCTGATGCGCTGCATCGGCTATCTCAACGTCTCCAAGTCTGCAGGAATGACCCGTAAATGATTACTTCCGTAGAAGGGTAAAGGATATAGGGGAAAGGATAACTCGCGATCCCACACAGTGGAAATGACTAGGAGCAAAAGACTGACCCTCTCGAGAGGTGAGGGGGAATGATGGAGGCGTGGAAGTCTCTGCGATCGCAATGGCCGGTCGACTTGCCCGCCCACGAAATCCGAGATCTCGGCGCTTCTTTTGTCGCGGTTCCGGCAGAACTTCCCCTTCTAGACACTAGGCTCAAAGCAGCAAGTAGTAAGCGGGCCCGAGACCTGACCAATGACCAGTCGGGACACGAGCAGTACAGCATTGTTGGCTCTGATTCTTTAAGTTAGGTATCGTTGCGGCTTATTTGGCTACTACTTACTCCATACTACGGACTACTGGGCACTATCCCGAGTGCTCTCGCCATCGTCACCACCACCACCACCCATTGCTGCCGCTGCAGCTTCGGAGAGAACAACTCAGCTGGCTGATCCACTAGCTTCTCTCCTCTCTTCCCCACCTCCGTTATTTCAATGCCTATAACTTGCTACGCCCCCGGCCGGCGGTGACCATGAAATTACGAGCTACCAGTTGCGATGTTCCGAATCCTCGAGTCGCAGGCGCCGGCCAAACAAACGGCCACAGACACAATTAATACTCTGACTGGTCGACTTCAGAGTGCAACTTTACTAGAAGATCGACGGGCAGCTATACAAGGATTGAGAAGCTTTGCAAAGTCCTTTCCTGCCTCTGTTGCATCGGGCGCACTACGCCCGTTGATCAACAGCCTCAAAGATGACCGTGAAGATGTGGATACGTTGAAGGTGGTCTTGGAAACCCTGTTGATGTTGTTTACTCCCGACGAGAATAGTGTTGGTGGCCTCCTCAGCCCACTGTGCCGCAATCCGTGCTGATATGCGCTATCTAGCCCGAAGCTTCAGATGAAATCGCCCTCTGGCTGTCCGATGAGTTTACGCAGGTTCGTACATATTATTGTGGGGGACATACATTTTCTGACAGGGTACACAGCGTCAAGACAACATTACTGCGCTCCTTGACCTCCTGGATACCCGTGACTTTTATTCTCGCTTGTATTCCCTGCAGTTGATGTTCCAGATCTCGAGCGCGCGGCCAGAAAGAACACAAGAATGTATTCTGACAGCACCGTTGGGTATACCGAGGCTTGTCAGTGCACTTGGAGATGCCAGAGAGCCGGTGCGCAATGGTATGTTAAGCTCACCCCCCTTATCGCGGAAGCGCCGTGTGCTACTGTTGCTAATTACGAGTGTGCATCGATTAGAAGCCTTAATCCTCCTGATCGCTCTCACCCCCGCCTCCGAAGAGTTCCAAAAGCTCGTTGCGTTCGAAAACGCGTTTGACCTTATCTTCTCCTTGATAGAGACTGAAGGTGCTTTGACGCACGGGTCGGAAGTGGTTGAAGACTGCCTTTCTCTGCTCGCGAACCTTCTAAGGCTCAACATCTCCAACCAGTCATATTTCCGGGAAACGGGATGTGTCAAGAGGCTAGCAAAGCTCCTCGCAGATGTCAACCAGGAACAGGACTTGGAAGAGCCTACCCCACAGTGGGCTCTCGCACATCGGGATAAGAACCTTTGGGGACTTTTGGTAATCGTCCAGCTATTTCTAATCAAAGGAGGAGTCAACACTCCTGCCAACCAGACAGCATTCTGGAACAATGGTGTCATGGAACAAGTCTTGAACACTGCTTTCGGCCAAAGGTTCAATGTCAATGTAACATCCAAGGTAGGTAAAACTGATCGTCCCTAAATTCGAAGCTAACAGTTCTAGGCTCTCGCGACGTGTGCCGACTTAATACGTAGCAACAAGCCATTGCAGGAGCGTTTTGGAGATGTCGAGGTCATTTGGGGCCCGAGTCCTACCCAGACTGCTCTCAATGGGGATTCGACACATAAAGAACTCCAGCGGATCAATGTTATCGAAGCGCTGCTGAAGTTGACTCTTGAGCCTGCTCCATTGTCGCTCCTTGATGCGCGACTTGCCGCTTGCGAATGTATCAAGGCATTCTTCGCAAACCACACCGGGATCCGCGTCCATGTGCTAGGAAGAGCGATTCAAGGCCATATCAGCGGAGAAGACCAAATCCCAAATATCCTGACTGTCCTTTTGATGCCGCCAGAAAGTCGAGGAAATGCCGACCCCTACCAAACTTGGATGGCATCTGTCTTGATGTATCAACTGCTGTTCGAGAATGCCGAAGCCAAATCGATCGCTATGGGTGTGACTGAGGGGGATGCTGAACAGGGCGAGGAAGTCGTTACCTGCATCCAGACGATAGTAGGTAACTTGATCACCGGTATTCAGAGAGGCGATGATGAAAGAATCACTCTTGGCTATCTGATGCTGCTCTGCGGTTGGCTCTTCGAAGAACCGGATGCTGTGAATGACTTCCTCGGCGAGGGAAGCAGCATACAGACCTTACTGCAAGAAATCAAGCACCGCGGGGCCACTTACGTACTTGTCCCAGGTCTATGCACTATTCTACTGGGAATTATATATGAATTCTCCTCTAAGGACTCGCCTATACCGCGGAAGACTTTGCGTAAATTGTTGATCGAACAGCTTGGACGAGAACAATACATTGATCGGATCACCCGATTCAGGGAAGACCCTCTGGTGCGCGATTTTGAGGTTCTACCACAGACCGTGGGGGCACATTACGATGGTGGCCTTCCTGAAATCTACTTCGACAGGACCTTTGTTGAATTTCTCAAAGACAATTTCAGCCGCTTGATACGTGCCATTGACCGTGAACCCGAGATCGAGATCTCCGTGATCACAAACGGCGTTGAAAGAGGAGTCTCTCGCGAACTTGTGGACTCCCTTCGGGCAGAACTAGAAGAAAAGGGCGCTGTGTCACAGAAGCTGGAGTCGGATCTGCTTGCCCTACAATCCAAGCTCGATCACGAGCAGGCTGAACACCGAAAGACGAGAGATGCCACCACATTGGAGTCTTCTAAACTGCAGCAAATCTGCGAGTCATTGAAGCGGAGTCACGAACAAGAACTGAATGTCCTGAAGGAGCAGCAGAAGCACGCTCAAAATGTGCTCTTGAAACAGCATGGCGAACAATTACGAGCCATTGATCGACAGCTGAAGGAAACATCTGCGGATCATGAGAGGATAAGTCTACAAGTGAAGAAGCATCATGAAGCCGAGGTGGCTGACCTGCAGAAGAAGATCCGTTCGCTCGAATCTGACCTCAAGCGCGGCAAGGAGCAATCCTCCGCTGAGATTGCTGACTTGAAGACGACTATACAGTTGTTGAAGTCGGAGGCTGAAAAGACCAAGGGACAGCATGTGGCCGAGGTTCTGGACTTGAACAGCACGCTTCAGAATCTTCAGTCGGCGCTTGATGCTGATAAGGGACAACATGCGGCCGAAATATCAGACCTGAATGCTACAATCCAGAGGTTGCAGTCAGAGCTTGAGACAGGTAAAGGACAGCATGCTACTGAAGTCTCTGGCCTGAACAAGACGATCGAGGAGCTCAAGTCGCAGATGGATTCCATTCAAGGGAAACATGAGTCTGAGATCTCCGACCTCAACAAGACAATTCAGAAGCTGCAGTCGGAGCTTGATGTCAGCAGCGGACAGAGCGCAGCGGAGGTTTCTGACCTGAAGAAGACAATCGAAACTCTGCAGTCGGAGCTTGATTCCAGCAATGGACAAAATGCGACTGAAGTGTCTGACTTGAAGAAGACGATCGAGAGCCTTCAGTCCGAACTGGAGAATGGTAAAGGAAATCAGGCAGCTGAAGTCTCCAGTCTTCAAGAAACCATCAAGACACTTCAGTCTGACATGGACGCCGCCAAAAAGCAGCATGAGACCGAGGTTGCGGAGCTCAAGTCCGCGTCAAAGGCCTTGCAATCGGAACTGGACACTGCTAAGGAGAAGTCTACGAAAGAATTACAGTCTACACGCGATGAACTGTCCAATAAGTGCACTGCCTCGGAAAAGCGAGCCGAGAAGGCCGAAGGTGAGGTAGCAAAGGCTGAGGAAGCTGCACGGAAGGCTAGCCAAGCACTTGAGGAGGCACGGAAACAGCTCGAGAAGGCCGAAGCGGAGGCCAAGGAGAAGGAGGAAGCTCGCAAGGCGGCACAGTCCGAGCTTGAGGATTTGTTAATCGTTTTCGGAGACCTGGAGGCCAAGAGAAACCAGGACAAGGTAAGTCCACTGACCCTGATACAATGGCTACGCGGATGACTAATATTTGTTCCTTAGCAACGTTTGAAGGATCTCGGTCAAGAAGTATCCGAGGCTGAAGATGATGATGAAGAAGAAGACGATGAGGACGAGGAAGAGGAAGAAGCCTAATGGTAAATACCAATTTTGGTCGTCCTTGCATGAGGCGCAGGGCGCAGGGCGTAGCAGCCATGAGTTACGACAGCCCTGGATCACATTCCAATGACAAAGAAAGCATGAGTGAGTCAGAGCCATGGGAAGGTACTCCCGAATTGTACATCAAGGATGGGAATTAGCCTTGTGACTAGCGTAGCCATTGTATAGTGTAACTGAGCTATAGTATCTACTACTTTAGTTAAATGTTCATGAGATCCGCATAGAAAGAAGAACAGTCACACCGGCTGATTCCGGCGGTAGGTGAGGCGGGCGCTGATTGGCCGGCGGGGACAAAAAAATGGTGCGCGGGGTGAGTCAAAACGATTCTGCCGCTTGTGCGCAACCTTCAATCGGGCTTAAATCTACCCCGCGGATCCCTCGCTGGAAGATCGCAAGTCGACAGATTTCCTCCCTGTCACCTCCTCTCCCCTTCCCCGCTCGCCCGTCATGTCCATTGATTTTCCCCGCGAGGAGGAGGCCATCCTCCAGAGGTGGAGGGAGATCAACGCCTTCCGGAGGCAGGTTGAGCTCTCCGAAGGCCGTAAACCATACACCTTCTACGATGGCCCTCCGTTCGCTACTGGTCTGCCTCACTATGGCCACTTGTTGGCCTCGACCATTAAGGATATCATTCCCCGCTATTGGTCCATGAAGGGTCACTATGTCGAGCGTCGCTTTGGCTGGGATACCCATGGTGTGCCCATCGAGTACGAGATCGACAAGAAGCTGGGCATGTCGGGTCTCGAGGCCGTCGAGAAAATTGGTATTGAGAAGTACAACGAGGAGTGCAGAGCCATTGTCATGAGATTCGCTTCGGAATGGCGTCAAACTATCGAGAGACTGGGTCGTTGGATTGACTTTGACAATGACTACAAGGTAGACAGGCCCATCATCTTCTACCCCTCGTCCTCTGAATATGCTGACCATGCATTGTAGACCATGAACGTGAGCTTCATGGAATCAGTGTGGTGGGTCTTCAAGCAGCTGTTCGACAAGGACCTTGTCTACAGAGGCTACCGCGTCATGCCTTACTCGACCGCCCTCAACACCCCCCTCAGTAACTTCGAGGCTCAACAAAACTACAAGGATGTGCAAGACCCCGCTGTCGTCGTCACATTCCCCCTTGTCCACGATCCCGAGACTTCCCTTCTTGCATGGACGACCACACCATGGACCTTGCCCTCGAACATTGCTCTGGCGGTCAACCCCACCTACGAATACATCAAGATCCTCGACGAGGCATCCGGAAAGCACTACATTCTGCTCGAGTCTCTGCTCCGGACGCTGTACAAGGACCCCAAGAAGGCCAAGTTCAAGATCGTCGACCGCTTCAAGGGTGCTACCATGAAAGACTGGAAGTACCAGCCCCTCTTCGATTACTTCTACGAAGAGTTCAAGGAGCACGGTTTCCGGGTCCTTAACGCCGAGTACGTTACTGCTGAGGACGGTACCGGTATTGTCCACCAGGCTCCTGCCTTTGGTGAGGACGATTACAGAGTTGGCATGGAGGGTGGTGTCATCAGTGAGACCCGTCTCCCCCCTAACCCTGTTGACGAAAAGGGTTGCTACACAGCCGAAGTGAGGGACTTCGAGGGCCAGCATGTCAAGGCTGCCGACAGGGGCATCATCAAGCACCTGAAGGCTGCTGGACGCCTGGTTGTCGACAGCCAGATTACTCACAGCTACCCCTTCTGCTGGCGTTCCGACACTCCCTTGATCTACCGGGCCGTGCCGGCTTGGTTCGTCAAGATTGGCCCTATCATCCCTCAGATGCTTCAGGGCATTGACGACTCCCACTGGGTGCCGAGCTTTGTCAAGGAGAGACGCTTCTCCAGCTGGATCCAGAATGCTCGCGACTGGAACATCTCGAGAAACCGCTTCTGGGGTACTCCTCTGCCCTTGTGGGTGAGCGATGACTTCAAGGAGGTTGTCGCCGTTGGTAGTGCCGAGGAACTCAAGCAGCTTAGTGGTTACGAAGGTGAACTCACCGACCTGCACCGCGACAAGGTCGACAAGATCACCATCCCCAGCAAGCAGGGCAAGGGCGTCCTTCGCCGTGTCAGCGAGGTGTTTGATTGCTGGTTTGAGTCTGGCAGCATGCCCTACGCATCCCAGCACTACCCCTTTGAGAACAAGGAACAGTTCGAGAACAGCTTCCCCGGTGATTTCATCGCCGAGGGTCTTGATCAGACTCGTGGTTGGTTCTACACCCTGACTGTGCTGGGTACCCACCTGTTCGGCAAGCTCCCGTTCAAGAACTGCGTCGTCAACGGTATTGTTCTCGCAGAGGATGGAAAGAAGATGTCCAAGAGACTTAAGAACTACCCCGATCCCGCCCTCGTCATGGAGCGCTACGGTTCCGATGCTCTTCGCCTCTACTTGATCAACTCCCCTGTTGTGCGCGCCGAGCCCCTTCGGTTCAAGGAGTCGGGCGTCAAGGAGATTGTCGCCAAGGTTCTCCTTCCTCTCTGGAACAGCTACAAGTTCTTCGAGGGTCAGGCCGCTCTGTTCAAGAAGACCCAGGGCTTCGATTATACCTTTGACCCCAAGGCGGAGGCTACTAACACCAACGTCATGGACCGCTGGATCCTGGCCAGTTGCCAGAGTCTTCTCAAGTTCGTCAACGAGGAGATGGCCGGATACCGCCTGTACACGGTCGTTCCCCGCCTGCTTGAGTTGATTGACAACACCACCAACTGGTACATTCGTTTCAACCGCAGACGTCTCAAGGGTGAGAACGGTGTCGATGATACCCAGCATGCCCTGAACACCCTCTTTGAGGTCCTGTACACTCTGGTCCGGGGCCTGGCTCCCTTCACTCCTTTCCTTACCGACACCATCTACCTGAAGCTTCTCCCTCACATTCCTGAGGCGCTCCGTAGCGAGGACAGCCGCAGTGTCCACTTCCTTCCCTTCCCCGAGGTTCGGGAAGAGCTTTTCGATGAGGTCGTCGAGAGGCGCGTGGCCCGGATGCAGAAGGTCATTGATATGGCTCGTATCTCCCGTGAACGTCGGAACATTGGTCTGAAGACGCCGCTGAAGACTCTCGTTGTCATTCACCAGGACCAGCAGTACCTGGACGATGTGAAGTCCCTGCAGGGATACATCCTCGAGGAGCTGAACGTTCTTGAGCTTGTCCTGTCCTCGGACGAGGAGAAGTACAACGTCCAGTACAGTGTGACCGCCGACTGGCCTACGTTGGGCAAGAAGCTTAAGAAGGAGGTCCAGAAGGTCAAGAAGGCCTTGCCCTCTCTCACCAGTGAGGACGTGAAGAAGTTCGTCGCCGATAAGAAGATGCTTGTTGACGGCATTGAGCTTGTTGAAGGTGACCTGGTCGTGAAGCGTGGAATGAAGGAGGACAGCGCGTCCGCGAACATGGAACCCAACACGGACAGCGACCTGCTGACCATCCTGGACGCTAACCTGTACCCCGAGTTGGCCGAGCAAGGGTTGGGTCGTGAGATCATCAACCGTCTGCAGCGTCTTCGTAAGAAGGCTGGTCTTGTCCCCACCGACGATGTGAAGATGGAGTATGCTGTCCTGTCGGATCCTGAGGATGTGGGCATTAGCAAGGCGTTTGAGACGCAAGCCAAGGCCATCGAAAAGGTTGTGCGCAGACCGCTCGACCGCTACGAGCTTGTGGACGGCAAGGTGCCCAACGGAGAGGAGCCGGGAATGATCATCCAGGAAGAGCAGGAAGTACAAAAGGCCACCTTCCTGTTGCGCTTGCTTAAGTTGTAGAGGTTTGATTGATTCACACAGACAAGACGTTGATAGCTTAGACCATACAATTCCGGGTGGTTACGATGTTTTGACATTTCTTTGCGTTTAGTTTATGGATGAATAAAATTACACACGTTCATGATAATTTGTACATTTACCTGTAGAGACCTTTCCTATACAGACACCGCCATACATGCTAGTAAAAGCCAATCAGCCCAATGCGCCTAAACCATGTAGTTCACCTGCAACCCATCATCCACCATTAAACTTTCTTCGAGGCTGCCTGTTCAAGTGTGAATTAGCCATGTTACAGGTGAAGTCATCCCGGAGATGCGGTCTTCTTCCTACCAGAAAGCAGTCCTTGAGCTTTATGAACTCCTTGGCGCACATGTCTTTTTGCACGGCATTATAGTCCGCCACGACGCATTTGCCATACGCAGCGGCCTGAAAGCCCGTCCGTCAGCTGGAGCCAGAGGCAGAACACATAGCAGATTGAGGGGATTCGTCTCATATCATACCTCGACCGAGCACTTCGAGGCAGCCTTTGCAAATTTCTCAATGGGTCTTGTCTTTGTTGACGGCATTTTGCTTGTTCTCTTTGCCACACAGAGACAGAGAAGACTATCTACTACAAGTTACATTGTCTGTCTGTCTATCCAAATCGTGACTGATGGGACTCACCCCGTTACATAATACATCACATGACCCAGCACATTCCCATCGCCGGCGCGACACGAAAAGCAAAGCAAAGCAAAAACAACTTGGCTTTTTGACTGACAAAAAGTCAATGCCTTGTCGCCCGGCCGTGCCATTGGGTCCCACCGGTCCATTTGGGGATCTCTCTTGCGGTCTAACTTGACTTCGCGGCCTGGAGCACTGTGGGCCTCTGACAACCCACCTAGCAACACCACCCCCCGACCGTGTGCGTGTGTCTGTTCCGCGATGCTTAATGATTTCCTGTTCCGTCTCCATGAGCCATATGCGAAAAACGCGCCTTAGTTCGCGGACAGTTCGATGCCTCCCGTTCCCCTTCAGCGAAGACCTTTGTCCCATGAAGACCCGGCGCTTACTGACGAAGGTATGCTCTGTCGCATCTACTAATTCTCCCTCCCCACTCCTTTATAGTCGTGTTTACTGGTTGCTAATTGCTGGTTGCTTATTGTTGAACATAGATGTCGGCCTCCTCTACCAAGTCATTACCCGTGCGGAGAGGGATCCAGAAGTCGAGCGACTCCCGTACCGTGTGCTATTCAAGGCCTACGACGAGGTTATTGCCGAACATGGCGTCGATGCGGATCCAGGCTATGCCTGTATGCGCTTCTTGCTCAAAATGGGAAGCAAACATGCCGTAGGAGAGTCGCTCTTCGACAAGTTCGAGAACCTGCTTGAACGGATGGGCATCGTCATTGAATTTGGCGGCGAGGATGATACCTATGATGAGACGTACCCGGACAGTGTACCCTCCATCGAAAGCAGGCCTAGGCGGAGGATACGCGACTCCCGAGAGGACTCAACGCAGCCGCAGCCGCAAAATAAACCACAGACACCCCTACGAAGGCGAGCGTCCTTCAATTCCATGTACGATGTTGGCGACGATCCCACTCAAAGAAGCTTCATCAATCGTCCAAGCTCACGGTCGTCCATGTCGCGATTACAAGTCGGAAAGCCCGAGTATCCGTTTGCGAAGCCGTCGCCGTCCCCGAAGCGTGCGGTGGTTCCTCGAGAAGCGGAGTCCCCCGACAGGACTCAATTGATGGCACAGTTTATTGACGTGGGTCGCCGGCTCATGAGCCGGATGGACTTTCTGGCTGCGCAATCCTCGTCGGCTCAGCCTACGGCGGCTGACGAGAAGCCTCTTCCCAATGGACTGTATGCTCGGTCTGCCGTCGACCGCGATCGCTCAGAGAGAATAGCGGAAGCCTCACGAGCTCGGCGCTCAAAAACGTCCTCAAATGGCTCCGATGAAGAGGGAGAACAATCATCTTCAGTGTCCTCCAGTGACGACAGCATCAGTCATCTCGAACGGCCAGAATTGCCACCGGAAATGCTATATAGGCCATCACTTTCGGATCTGCTGCGAGATGCATCGACCTTCAATATGTACCGCCAACGGGCCATCAACCGTCGACTTCTTACACAGTGGGTTAAGAGGGCGATACAAGTCAGACAAAGCCATCATAATATGGAAATAGTCGCCGTGAATCGAGACCGAAATACCTTGCTTCGGCAAGCATTCCAAACGTGGCATACTATCATTCGCGACAGACGTCAGGAAGAGCGGACGGAGAGATTCTTCAAGCATCTGGAAGAGCGCGCGGGACGGGCTCGGGATCTCTATCTCCTCACCAAGGCGTTCTCTCACTGGGCGCAACTTACTGCAGAGGAACTTGCACGGACATCTGCAGCTCGACGCCGCATTCTTAGCGTCAAGTATTTCCATGCATGGCGCGAGATCACTGCAGTCAATGAGATGAAAGCCCAGCGCTTTGCTCTGCGAAAGCCTTTTGCTGCCTGGCTGAAAAGGACCAAGGAGGTCAAACAGGCGGAAGAGAAGGCGGTTGTCATTAGTAGTGAGAAGTCGAAACACACATTCTATTGGCAGTGGTTCTGGAGTTTCTGCGAACAGCGCGCCCCTCAATGGTACGACTATTGCCTCAAGAGACGCTCTCTGTTGTACTGGTTGCGCAAGTTTCGAACCAACAGAGAGTGCATTCATGAGATTGATGTCCGGAATAAGCAAAATGCTGTGGGATCCGTAATGCAACTATGGCATGAAAGGACTCAGGGTGTCATTGCGAGGGAGCAACAAGTAGCATCGATGGAGCGCCGGAAGGTTCTGGAGGAGAAGTTGATAGAATGGAGAGCTCAAGCTCACTTAGCCCCGGTTGCTAACCGTGTTACAAAAATGATTGACACACATATCCTTCAAGCGGCGTACTCACAGTGGGTACACCGCGCTCAAATGCTGAAGCAAGCACGGGAGATGGATCGGCAACGGATCATACGCAATGCGTGGACAACGTGGAACGACCAGCTTCGCTGTCAGGCTCTATATGCACGAATTGAGGAACGAATCAAGCTCGAAGCGATGTACAAATGGATTTTAGCAGAGAGATACCGTCTCATGCAGCGCATTAGGGAGCAGCGCATCAAGCAGGAAGTCTTCTCAGTCTTTGTGACTAACGTCCGGAGGACCTATGCCGAATTGCTTGACCGTGCGGAGGTATTCGAGGAGCAACGAAACGAAGATTTGCTCCGATCCAAGTTGGAACGCTGGCGGGATCAGCTATCGTTGCAACGCGAGAGGGAGATAGTTGCCTCTGAGTTTTACGCACCACGCTTAGCGCAGGAATCGCTTGTGGCCTGGCGTTCGAAGTATCAGCATGTGGTCAAGATACAGGGATGGGCTGACAACGCCAGGTACTACTTCTTGGCCACCAAGTTCACCAAAAAATGGCGTGTCGCGACGGTTGAATCTGCCAAGAAGCGTCGCCAACAAGCGTATATCCAGACTCGGAGGAAGATCAAGATCAATCTGGCATCGAAAGCTTTATCACATTGGCACTCCAGGTCCCTACATATGGCAAGTCTGGAACAGCAAGCTCTGCAGTTCTCACGACAACACTGCTTGACAATGGCATCCGAGCTTGTACCCCGGTGGCAAGAGAAAACCTTCAATCGCCTCCAGGATTGCGATGCGGCCGATGATCACTATGCGCGCCAGATTGTGGGCGAACAATTGACGCGCTGGGTCGAGGCCTTGCTTGTGTATCAGCGCCAGGAGCAACAAGCAAACAACGTGAATCGGGAGCATGTCCTCGGCCAAGCCAATATCCAGCTGCGGAAGCTCAGCTTCCGTGTTTTCCAAGTCAAGAGCTTCTCCGAGACTGCAGACGCGATGAAGGAGCGAAATTTAAGGAAACACTGTCGAAGCATGTTCCGCAGCTGGCTGGACAAAGCACGAGTGAAGTTCGAGTCGCGGGATCTACCAGGGCCTCTTATAAGTCCAACGAGAAACTATGATGGAGCGACAACCTTCGAAGCCGAGCCGAACCGACGCATTTTCGATCCCTGGTATCAAACCACGACTCCCTTCAAAACCAACGACCTAGCTGTGACTGCGAACAGCCAAATTCAACTGGCCTCGACTACGCCGCTGGCGACACCCAACTTCCTCACGTCGCCGTCGAAACGAGCCGCCAGGGCGCGGGCTATGGCGCAGGTTTCCACTACTCCGGCGACTCCCTCATACACTCCATTTGCCAGTCGACTATTGCGCGCCGGTGCTGTACTGCCTCGAACTGACTCGACTAGACGCCGTACTGGGCGAGCGAGTGCCCTGGGCACTAGCGTCCGGTTTGTGGATGAGGAACCGGGGTCTCCTTCCGATGGTAGAAGATCCTCTGGCCGACGGACGTGAGACCCGAAACCCTTCCGGTTTATACTTGTATAGGACTTTATGTACATTTTTGTTCTGGTTCCCTTTTTTTGCTCTTTTGGGGTTTTGGATGGGGCAGCTTTTTTTGGGGCGAAGGTTATGATAGATACCCATTTTGCATGGCAGGTACTGTGTGGATTAGCTTTGTCGGCTTGGATGATTGAACAATATACACCTTATGTTGGTTGAGACGTCTGAAAAATAATTTGAGTAAAATATCAATTGTATAATGATCCTCAAACTCATCTTCACCCCTATCACGTATACGATCCTGCAAAGACTCAAGTTCCCCATGTAACCGCTGATCAACAAACTCCAAATAAATCTAGTTTGGAGAGCTCGAGGGCTAGGATTGCTTTTTGTTCTTTTTCTTTTCTGCGATGGGATTGAATTCCATGTTTGGTTGGTTGGTGATTGGGGTTGTAGGGGGGGAATGGGATGTGAGGCAGTTGAAGGGAAGATAGTCCGCTTTTTCATGTCCAAACAATTAGATAGAGGGAAGTATTGAGTCGTGGCTATGAGTAACTACTGAAATTTAGGAAAAGGCTGAATTAGAGTAATATAAGGACAGCCAAGTACATATACTTGCTTGGGATCATATCCAGCAAGGGGCGGATCTCCATCTCTGTCTAGAGATATCGAGTCCCACTGAATGATAAGTAGTAGTATATCCCCACACCCGCTCTATCAATGCACAGCCCTACAATGAATGGGGATATGTAGCTGTATCGACACCAACTGAGAGACTGGCATAAGCAACTTTACTTGACTGCTCCAGGAGCTCGCATTATCAATTGTTTAGATAAGTTATTGCTTTACAAGGTGCGACAAAAAGCATCAGCGATGATATATACCTGGATTGGACGTGCCGGAAGAAGTTGGTCAACTGTATCCATATGCTATTGAACCATGGCTAATCAGGATTGCAGTTAGTTGCTAGTTCATTAGAAAGATCCCTGCTTACTTTGCAGCATTCTGGATCTCCGCAAGCCTAATTAGCGAGGTTAATCTAAATCTGATTCCCGGGGGGGATAACTTGTTCCTGAATGAACTGATTGGGCCAGATGGGAATTGTTGCTCAGAAGCGACAATGTGACAAAGCACCATTCAATCGTATGTCTGCCTGGATATCGGAATCACTTAGAAGCAAGAAGAGGATCATAGCGCAGAAACTCCGAGGCTATCCGGACAATAAGTAGCCGTAATCAAGGTTGATGATGATGATGAGTCTGGGCGGTGTGGATCACGGGGCCGACGATCGCAGTGCTCTTGCATCTTCGAGGTGAGCTGTCCCCTCCACCCGCATACAGCTCTATACTCTTTCTTTCTGGCAAACCCCGTCACATTGCTTAGTATCCAAGCCACTCTCTGCTCCTGTAACAGCGCACTGGCAATGGTGTAGCGCCATCGCGAGCGCATCCCCGCGCATCCACGTATTCTACCTCAAACCACCACCGCCTCCATGCGAGCGGTACTGCCGGGGAGGCCCCCAACGAAGCTCCAGGCTTACAGCACCGCGCTGTGGGATGGTCTTCGCATTGTGGTATGCTCTCTGCACGAACCTCTCCAGCTCCCTTAGTGTTCCATAAGCGTCCATGTGGCTGATTCGGCGCTTTCTGCGCACTCTCTTTACAGGTGTACATTTCCGGCCATGCACTGGTTATCCTCGGCGGTCCGCACAAGCTCCTACAAACCATCTATGTCGACGATACCGAAGCCCTGGAGGCTGTCACCATAGATGAACTCTCCGGAAAGATTGCCGTATGCGGCGGACCCGACGTATTCATCTATCAACCGTATGGCATCCAGCATGAAACCTTGAAGGTCCGTGGTCAATGAGATGGAGGAATGCAAGCTACACAGGAAGCGCATGCTGATGGATTTATGGGGTAGTGGTCTCTAGTCCAAACCTTTCGCAGCGAAGACGACGATGAGTCTATTCGTACCCTGTCCTGGGGCTCCTCTGAGGAGCTGCTTCTCGGCAACTCTCACCTCACTCTCTGGTTCTTGAACGATACCCCGCGCCAAGTTTGGAAGCAGAAGCTGGCTTCTCCGGTTAAATTCGCGCGCTTCTCACCCGATGCAACTCTCCTTGTCACCACTGGACATTACGACCGCATGGCTAAAGTATGGCGCCGACTCGCATTCGGGACGGACATTCGCTTCGAGGTGTCATATCTTCCCCACCCTACAGTCATTACCGGGATTCATTGGCGAAGACCGTACCATCGAGAGCAGTCCATGGACAACGTCTTCTATACCGTATGCGCCGACAATAAGATTCGGGTGTGGGCGACCGTGGATCACCATGCCCCGACCGCCTTGCAACTATGGGCGCAAATTGATATGGCCGCTTCTGTTCAGCCGAGGCATGCGACCGACAAGAGCGATCCGACCCGCCGATATGGCTTCATCGTGGACAGCCGGGACTTTTGCATGGCTACCGAGCGAGCTGTGCAGAGAAGTACGGGAAACAAGGACAATCACACTCTCGAGCATATCATCGAAGTGGCGAATAAGAGCCCCGAAGTCTGTGTCGTGATCGATGGCCAAGGGCATATGTCAGCCTGGGCTTTGGAAGATGTTGGGTCCAAGGTCAAATCCGAAATGCACATGTTCAATATTCTACATGTGGAAGGCCTTGATTTCGCATTTATGCCCGGTGTATCCCCGGAAGAAGACTATGCGCAGCTGCAGGCATTCCAGGGTGCGGAACCGGGCGACTCCATCAGCATACTAGTCCATCACTTTGACGGCCGGATTGAGTGGTTCGATTCCCCGGTAGATGTGCTTTTTGACCCTGCACCACGCAAGAACCGGGTATTCATGAAGGCGTCGTGGACTGGACACAACGGACCCATAAAGAAGATCGTTCGTAATGCCATTGGCCACACGCTTGCCTCGCGCACGGATGACAACAAGGCGTTGATTTGGAGGCAAAAGCAGCGAGAGAGTGGTACGGCGCTTCTTCGCCAGAGCGAGCTGTTCTCTGACGAGCATATACATCGCAGTTGCGTGCTAGAAGACGGCGACTTTCTGGTTAATCTCCATCATAACGGCATCTCCTTTTGGGATATCCGTCCATTCCACGCCAAAAAGCTGGCTTCCACAACATTCCAATTATCGAGCAAACCGCTCTGCGTCTTGCCCATTCCTACGGCGGAGCAGAACGGGGTGGTCTACGTAGCTACTATTGGAGCGAGCATGGATGGAATTGCTTGGGAATTTCGACTGCCGACCTCTAAGCAAACCAACGGAACTGCCAATGGTACCCAGTGTCAGCTGCGGAAGTTCTGTACCTTCCATCTAGGATTGGACGAGGACATAGCGTACATCTTGCCCGTCGACCCAGCCGGCCGCAAAGCCGAAATGCCCGGCTTCTTTGACCTCTTCTCGCCGGATATAGCGCTTTCATATACCAAGACTGGCATTGTCCGCACCTGGACGGCCAAGATCGACAGAGAGAAGAGCCGCGTTGAATGGCTCTTGACTTCGACCGTCGAGACGGGCATTAAGAACCCGTCCCTTGCTAGCGGGAGCTCCATCAAGAAAGCAGCGCTTGTGGATGAAGACCGCGGGCATTTGACGATATGGGATATGAATGATGCACAGCTGGAGTATGAAGAGCATTTCTCACAAGGCGACATCATCCGTGACTTAGATTGGACCTCAACGCCGGACATGCAGTCTATCCTAGCGGTTGGGTTTCCCCACAAAGTCATTCTGTTGTCCCAGCTCCGATACGACTACCTTGACTCGCGCCCGTCGTGGACGCAGATCCGCGAAATCTGGATCCGCGACCTTACTCCTCATCCGATCGGCGATTCTTGCTGGCTTAGCAATGGCTGTCTCGCCATTGGGGCTGGAAATCAACTCTTCGTATACGGAAACGAAATCGAAAGTTCTGATCATCTCGTATCTCAGTTACGCATACCAGTTCGCGGATCTTCTACTGTCGATCTCTTCGAGGTGGTGAGCCGGCTGAATGGACCGCTGCCCGTTTTCCACCCGCAATTCCTGGCGCAGTGCATTCTGAGCGGCAAAAACAACCTGGTACACGCTGTTCTGCTGAAACTCCATCGTATACTCAAGTTCTACACCGAGGGTGATGATATCGATGGCTTCTTGGACATGCCCTTGGAAAGCTTCTACCTTGAACATGATGTAAGGTCCTAAATGACAGCCACACAATTACGCAGCTAACCTTTCAGACGCCTCAACGAGCCACTTCCAAAGGGATGGATTCCTCATATGCAGATCCATCTATGGATGAAGAGTCGACAGTAGTAAATGAGGATACGGCCCTAGTACTCAACGAGAATCTGGCACGGTTTACCCTGCCCCAGCTTTCCAGCCAAGAGCAATTCCGCTTGGTGGACACGATCGAGTGTGTTGCAACCGTGGAGAAGCATCGCCGCTCGATGGATGACAATGCTGCGCGATATCTTCTTTTCTTCCGACAGCATATGCTGCGCCGGAGCCAAGGGGTAGCGAACAAAGATACGGTTTCCTGGCGAGAAATTGTCTGGGCGTTCCATAGCGGCAGTCAGGACATCTTAGTCGACCTTGCATCAAGACAATTTGGTGGCAAGATGACATGGAAAGCGGCCAGGGAGAGTGGGATGTTCATGTGGTTGTCGAATCCTACTTCTGTGGTAAGGGAATGTATCTCTGGGTAGTGATCAGACTGTGCTAACACTATCAGCGGGCACAACTGGAAGTCGTTGCTCGGAACGAGTATACTAAATCGGAAGAGAAGAACCCCATCGACTGTTCGTTGTACTATATCGCCCTGAGGAAGAAAAACGTCCTTCAGGGTCTCTGGCGGATGGCGCATTGGCATCGTGAACAAGGTGCAACACAACGGCTGCTTGCCAACAATTTTCAGGAAGAGCGGTGGAAAACGTCGGCATTGAAGAACGCATATGCTCTGCTTGGAAAGCGAAGATTCGGTGCGTATTGTAGAACTGAGCCCAGAACTTGGACTAACACAGTGTAGAATATGCTGCCACCTTCTTCCTTCTGGCAGACCATTTGCGTGACGCCGCTTTTGTGTGCCTGAACCAGGTCGGCGACTTACAGCTTGCCATCGCCATCACCCGTGCGTACGAGGGGGATGACGGTCCAGTGTTGAAGGAAATCCTGGAAGAAAGAGTGCTGCCCGAGGCTGCTACTGATGGAAACCGGTGGATGGCATCATGGGCTTTTTGGATGCTGGGTCGTCGTGGAATGGCAGTCCGATCGCTGATTGTGAGTATCACATTTGCTGTGGAATGCTGTATACTAATGCCATGTCTAGTCACCGGTTGAGTCACTTATCCCGGAGACGCCCGCGTCTCCAGGAAGTCCAGGGATGATACCACTGCAAGCCAAGTCGTATCTATCGAACGACCCTGCATTGGTTGTCCTTTACAAGCAACTCCGTGAGAAGACATTGCAGACACTGAAAGGAGCATCCAAAGTATCCGCGCAGTCAGAGTGGAGTTTCGTCATCCGCAATGCGCGTCTGTACGACCGCATGGGGTGTGATTTCTTGGCTTTAGATTTGGTACGCCACTGGGAGTTCCTGGGAGGGCCTCCTTCACCCCAACCGACCAAGGAGAGGCCACTCGATTTGCATGACGGGGTGGACTATCGCAAGATGCTGCGGCGACGAAGCAGTCTGGTTGTTGCGGACCTGCCGATTCGCGAGGATTTGAAGCAGAGTATCCAAGCTGCGGCAGCGCCGAAACCGAAGCCGCCTCCGACAACGTTCCAGGAGCCGGACGCCAACTCGTTGCTTGACAGCTTTGGCTTTTAGCCTGGCTGATTGTAGTTAGTTTCTGAACGACTTGTTGTATTATCATTGCGGACCAAATGTTAGGTGTGCATACATTGACTGCTTGCTACTTGATATTCCTTGGCGCATAAGCAAGTCTTCAGCATGTATATCGTTCAATTCATTCTGTAATTGCTAATAACAATCAACTAAGCATAACAGACATTTTATCATCCTCATAAGACATAATCCCATATAATTCATATTCAATCAGTAGATCGAGAACCTCCCCCTCTTCCTTCGGGGCATCAACTTCCACGACACCGTCTGGTTCAGCGGAGCATGCACCAAAGAACTAGTAGACGTGCCATTAATGCTCGTGCTATTACTCTTCTCCGCAACTGCTGCTGCTGCTGCTGAATTCATCTCAGCATGCAACGAAAGACTGGGCGACGTGGTGCTGTTCACTGCACTCGTCGTCCCATTCAGCCCAACACCAGGTAAAGAGCTGACCATGCCACCATGCGTAACAGTTCCCACTTTATCTTCCTCTTCCTTATCCTGCTGCTGTGTGGCATCAGCACCACTCTCATCTTCACCCTGATTGACCCCATGAACATCCCCATCCCCATCCCCATCCCCATCCCCAGAACCAGGAGAGCCGGGAGCATCCTCACACTCCAACAACACCCACAAATTCCCATTCCCATCCACATCCCCACCCCTACCACGACGATACCTCCCCCGAACAGGACCACGACGAGGATGCACCGCACACTCACTCCCCACCCATCTCCCAAACTCCCCCGCATGCACCGTCTGCGCAAGGAACGGATCATCCACGCACCCGGGCTGTTCATGCATGGTCACGTTACAGTGTTGGGGTATCCCTCCTTTCTCATTGATATCCTTGTCGTCGTTGTTGTTGTTATCCTCGCCATTAGGAGCCGGAGATACGAATGGCTCGATCTGGGCGTCGAAGGATACATGCGTGGATGTTATGGGGATAGGGTGGCATGTTCCTTCGTGGAGTTGGAGACTGGGGGTGTGATGGTGTGTGTGGGCGCGGGGAGATAGTGCTGGTGGACAGGTATCGTGGAAAGCTGGGTGGATGTTGGCGATGGTGGAGGCTGCTGTTGCTGTTGTGGAGAGGAGGGAAATGGTGGTGAGGAAGAGGTGGTGGTGTTGGTGGCGCATTGTTGGGTTTGTTTTTTTTCTGTTTGGTTGGAATTTGGTTTTTGGTTTCTTGTTGAGAGGTTGGGCTTAGTTTGATAAGTTCGTAGTAGTATAAGGGGGGTGGGTTTGGATGTAGTTGGGTTGATTGAATTGAATTGAATTGGAGGTTACTGATGAAGAATACTATACTGTATGCATTTCGAGCTGTCCACAGCCTTACTTATATCTCCTTCTTGCTGCTTTTCCCAGCCGCTGATTTACACGTCTACGCATGTCTACGCGCGAAGAATACAAGAGCCAAGCACGAGTATGCATGTAAATGGGAGGGAGTAATTGGCGTCGGGAGTGGCTAGCATTCAGCATTCCTGGGCGTGGATGTGGACATGTCATTGCCTATTGTGGATGGCTGGATGTTGTATCCGCATTCCTGAGACAATCAGCCTGTCTGTAATTGGAGTCTTGGGGATGATCTACAGATCAATCTGCACTGGATTTAGTCCATTGGTAGATAGAGTGGTTGTTTGTTTGTTGTGCTATGGTTACACATGTGGTCTGGAATTGAAATCCATAGTAGTACTCGGTAGCGTTTGATGGTGATACTACAATGGGCGGAAGTTTTAATATGTTCAGTCTCTTGCGCATAAAAATTCGAAGTTCAAATCTGAGATTAAAGTTATAATTTTCTAGACTACATTGGTTATAGCCCCGGTCAGTCGTGGCAACCTCCGCTTCATCGCACAATCAACCCGTACACGCTCAGCTCATGGCTATTCGCTCAGTTTGACTAGCCTACAAACCAAGACCAAGCCCGCCGAGTATGTTGCCGCCGCCATTGTTCTCAGTATCGTTAGGGTCCTTGGCGAGATCTTCGGCAGGGTTGTGCGATTCCACTTTCTTCAGGTCATCCGCGTTACCGTCACCCCCATCACACAGTAGCCTGACGTAGACGTATTTGTCGAACGGGTCATCCGGGATGCAGCCGCTCTCGGCATCCTCCTCTCCCGGGTAGAAGGGAACCACTGCGTTGGGGACGCCAATGCACTGGTCATTCGCATAGACACCCAGACCATGGCAGCGCTCAGAGGTATCTTTGGTGACGTCTTGAAGGCTCACCGAGTAGGCATCGATTGACAGGCTGTGCGAGATCTTGGCCTTTTCGCAAGTATCTTCGGTGGCGTACGTGGTTTCGGCATCTCCAATAAGCTTGTCATTGGCGGGAGCGCCAGGGTCGCAATCTTCGTGGGACTTCACTGTGACTTGTGCCACGCCATAGCCGTATACGGCTGGGGTCAGGCAGAGGGCCGAGGCGACGAGGAGCTGGTATCAATTAGCCATGGTGTGGGTGTATGGATGAGCGATACTTACGCTGGAGAAATGCATGGCGAAGAATAAGCGGTTTGGTGGATGCAAGAGGTTGCGGATGACGGGATGCAAGAACAAGAACAATTACTTCCAGAGGATCAAGCCATAATTTATATCACGGACGGAGAAAGGAACTGCAGCTCCTGGGTCTGTTGCTTTTCTGATTTTCCTTGATGTTCATTGTTGTGGAATGTAATGGGAGTTCGTGGGCGCGTCGGAATGGATCGTCCACATCACAAAGGATAGGGCCTGGGGCCCCGGCGGACTAGAAGGCGCGGAGAAAGCTCCCACACGAGAACCCTTTAGACTTGGTTTTTGTGGAACATTAAATGCCTTCCTAGCCTGGATTGTAGCTGGCGCTGCCCAGGAGGTCTGTGAAGGGATGGCAAGGACTGTTCGGCACGCAGGGGTGGATGCCGATTCTCCTACCATCCCAGCATCCGTCAACCCTGTTAGTGTCTTGGCCACGTCAAAATCAGCTTACCTCAGATTCGGAGAGACAAGGAGCAAGAGGCTCAGGAGGGCCCAAGGTAGAGGTAATTATACCTTGCCCTAAGTCGACCCTCCTCATCGCGACCAGAAGTCTTTAACTCTCTCTGGCTGCAAACCCGTCGGCTTAACGTGTCAAAACCACCCAGATACAGGAGACACCACATAAATTGGTGCAGATAAACCCGAAGTAGGGATGATCGTATCAGCGGCGCATGGCTGGCGGCCTGACACACAAGGTGCATGAACGAGCGCGGGGTTGCGACGCGATTATTGTAAGCCCGGACATCGCCTACTGTGTAGTTGCACCGGCGCCACCAACGCTAGTTTCTCGGTGATCGGAAGGAAAGCAAGCGGTAGTAAGCTATGGCCAGGTGGACTCGGTCTGGTCGCTGATCGACATGTCGAGTGGCCCATACGCAGCTGTGAATGCAGTGACAGTCCCGGCTCTTCCGATAATCCCGTCAGAATCAAGAGCAACGCCTCGAGGCTCTCCAGCAGATTGCCAAGGGAGTAGCTCTCATGTGTCTCTGCTTAGCAGACTTGGCTTGTGACAGCAATCCCCTTCTTGAGCTGCATCTCCGGATCCATGGCACAAGGGGCCTGTCAAGTGCGATGCGTCGACTTATCGTCTCTGTCAGCCACATTGACTCTGTTGCGGGGGCTTAAATGCAATGATCCGAGCTACATAAAACGTGCTGCCTATTGGCACTCAGATAAACCTTCCGAGCTGCGTGGTGGAGACAAGACGGCAGAGTCAAAGGCCCCCATTGGCCGTGTTAACTACCACGTATGAGTGACAGTCGGACCGGGATGCTGCATGCTGCAGTCTCACTATAGTATAAAGGGCAGATGGCTGTCATCTCCGACTTGAAAATTGTCGACACGCTCAGAATATTCCGACTCTCCCCGTCTCGCTTCCATCGTCGCCCATCATGACTGTCTCAATCGAATCTACAACCGATGTGCAAGTCTTCCCCGTCCGTCCCTCAGCTGCTACTACTGACCCAGATGCAGTCTCATCATTGGCGCGGGCCCATCAGGTCTGACTATTGCTTATTGGATGGCGCAGTATGGCATAAACGCTCGCATCATCGACAAGCGTAGCACGAAACTCTTTCGAGGTCATGCAGATGGCCTGAGGGGCCGAACGCTCGAACTTATCGATAGTATGGGGTTTGTCCACCGGATCTTGCAAGAAGGGTACCATGGAGCAGGTCTTAGGTATTGGGTAGGTCGTCTGATGACCTGTAAGTAGGACCGGTAATTAATGATGTACACTAGAGACCAGACGGAAAGGGGGTTTGATGCGGGCCGGAGAGCTGCGAAGCACAATCTGGAATTCCTCGCCCTATCGCATGGCCTTATTGTCCCAGGGCCGCATCGAACGATTCTTTCTCGATGTTATCCGGGATGCTTCCAGTATCGACGTAGAAAGAGGCGTCATAGGGGAGTCACTGAGCTATGATGAGAGCCTTGAGAACGATCCCCAGGCGTACCCCATCACGATCAAGTTGAGGACTCTAAGTGAGGAAGAAGCAACTCCAATCCCCAACCCGGGTATTACCCCCTACAAACCAGCCCGGGATGACCTGGAGGATCTGGTTCCAAAACGCAAGCACGATGTTGGGACGATCGAGACGGTTCGGGCCAAGTATCTCATTGGCTGCGATGGGGCGCACAGCTGGACAAGGAAACAGTTGAATATCCCCTTCGAGGGATCCCACACAGATCATATATGGTAGCCTACCATACCGTGCTTTGATAGTCCGTAGCTAACATGCATGCTCTAGGGGTGTTATGGATGTGGTCCCAATCACGGATTTCCGTAAGTTCAAAACCTGGGATGGAAAGAAAGACCTCTAATGTCAAACCACAGCGGACATCCGCTGGCCATCTTCGATTGACAGTCCGCATGGGCATCTGCTTGCCATCACGAGAGAAGGCAATACAGTGCGCTTCTATGTCCCTTTGCAAGAAGAAGATGAGATAACGCCCTCATTCGATCGGTCGGCGGTGACTCTGGACATGCTCCGCGAAAGAGTGAAAAGCATCATGTCTCCCTTTTATTTCGACTTCAAAGTCTGCCACTGGTGGGCTGCATATCAGGTATTACACCAACTCTCGCGTTTTCGGTAGGAAGCTTACTGATGATTGGTTAATGCAAATTATAGGTCGGTCGGAGACTCGCACCCGCCGTTAATAAAGGACGTATGTATCTCGTCGGTGATGCCGTCCATACCCACAGCCCTAAGATTGGGCTGGGAATGAACATGAGCATTCAGGACGGCTTTAACCTCGGTTGGAAACTTGCGCTGGCCGTGAAGGAGATGGCGTCTCCTTCCATTCTCGATACCTACAAGTCCGAGCGTCATCAGCTCGCCAAGATGCTCCTTGAGTTCGACCAGAAATGGGCTGCGTTCTTCCTGAAGCAGAAGAAAAAGCAGCAGCAGCTTGGACTTGAGGCTCCTCCGGAAGCAAACCCAGAAGACATCCAGGCCATGCAGGATGTTTTCAGCGAAAATGAGCTGTTCGCGGAGGGCCATGTATCGTTCTACAAGGCAAGCCCCATAGTACACAAAGGCAGTACAACAGTGGCCAAACACTTGACAGCAGGAGAAAGGTTTCCCGTGGCACTTATTCGCAAGCAAGCAGATGGTCAGCCATGGTGGACTTCGCGGCTCCTGAAGAGCGATGGTCGTTTTCGGATTCTGCTTCTGGTCGGAGACTGCCGGCTGAAAGATCAGAAAGGCCGCATATTGGCTCTCAATGAAGGGCTATTGGAGCTTCAGAAACGGTTCACGCCCCCCAAGCAGAAACTCGACTCTGTCATCGAAGTCAAGGCAATCCACAGTGCTCCGGTGGATGACGTTGAACTGAGTGACTTCCCCCCAATTTTGCGCCAGTTCGACGATATCACTGGTTGGGACTACACAAAGGTCTGGAGTGACAGTGAGTGCTTCTGGGACGAACAGTGCAAAGGCAACGCATATGAGATCTGGGGTGTGGACAGGTCAAGGGGTGCCATGGTTGCTTTACGACCCGATCAGTATATCGGATGGATTGGAGAGCTCGACGACGTGGCCGGCGTGACCACATACTTTGAAGGTTTCCTTCGCGAGCCTCGGCCAAGGGCGGTGCTGTAGCCTTCCGGCTTGCTATGGAGCAGTCGGAATAGTTTGTCTTTCGAGATAACCAAGGTGGATTAGCCAGAGTCCTACATTAGAGGTTCAAGTAGAAAGAGAGATTGAAAACTAGATAACTTGCCTCTTGCCCTGGTCACTTCTCGAAAGTAATGGAGTAATTGCGGGGGATGTTCGGCTGAGATCCGAGCGGATGTCTTGAGCTGCTTATCGCTTGGAGTTGCAGTGGGTCGCTGTCAATGGCAAGGCGCGCAGTCTGTACATAACAGCGGACCGACATATAACTTATTGCTGGTCCCAATATTTTTCTTGACTGGCCTACCTTCTTTCCAGTCCCCCACGAAAACTGCAAATCATCATGGCACCTCCCTCGTCTCCTACTGACCACCACATCGTGGCTCTGCAGGGCGATTTTATCAGAATCCCCAAGTTCGAACTACCCGCTCCTTATACTCACACCACAACAGTCTACGGGCTGACATCGCTCTCCGAACTTCATGAACGGATACACGATGCCTCTATCTTAGTTCTATCGGCGCTGCGAATCGATGCAGAGGCACTGTCTCCCGAAGTGACACCATACCTGAAACTGATCGTGATAGTCGCCGCAGGCAGCGACTGCGTGGATCTCGAAGCATGCAGAAAGAGGGGCATTACTGTGAGCAACTGTCCCGCAGCAAACACCGAGGCTGTTTCCGAGCATGCAATTGGACTATACTTCTCTGTACGCCGTAGAGTCCTGCGCGCGCACACATTGACCCGCGCGGGCGAATGGACCCGGAAAAAGACCCTCGTCTTCGATTGTGTGAATCACGACGGAACGCAACCCCTGACCTGCCAGGAGGAGGTGGCCGGAATTATCGGAAATGGCGCTGTCGGTACGTGCTTCCGGCGATCCGTGGTTTATAATTCGCTTGAATCCGAGCCTGACTGACTCAAATTCAGGGAAGCGGATCGCCCAATTAGCCCGTGGGCTGGGAATGAAGGTCATTATCGCAGGCCGCAAAGCACTCGGTGATGGTAGCACACCGACTCATGTTGGTGACGGTGAAGAGAGAGTTTCTTTCGCCGAAGTGATTAAGCGGAGCACGGTGATTTTCATTGCAGTTCCCCTTGCTCCTTCGACGCGGAATCTGCTATCAACTGCAGAATTTGAAGCCATGTCGCCTCATGCGGTCTTGGTCAATGTCTCGAGGGGAGGAGTGGTGGATGAAGTGGCACTCGTCCGAGCATTGCAGGAGAACCGCATCACCGGTGCTGCAACGGATGTGTTCGAAAAGGAACCTGCCGGACCGGAGAACTGTGCTCTGCTGGGTGAAGGGACCGAGGATCTGAACCTGGTTCTTACACCTCATATTGCATGGGCCACGCAGAAGACGTTGATCAACTATGAGCGGAAATTGAAGGAGACAGTCGAGAAGTGGATGGTGGGGGAATTCATGAATGTAGTGACATGACTTAGGATTTTCAATTTGGTAAATAGATAGATACCATGAATAACCATTTCGTTTACATAATAAAAGGCATCAAGCATCACATATTCGAGCTGATGGTGATTCTCTCTTTGTTTTGTTGCTTCTTATCGCAGGCTGAGTCAGCTGTTATCGTGCCTGCAAATGATGGCGAATCCTCAACTAATCATCGGATGAGCTGCGATGCTTCTCCATCGCGCTATCGATCGCTCCAGCAATCAGTTCCCCAGCCATCCTCGCGGCCTTTTTATCTCCCCGCTTTCCTCTCCGTCCCTTGCGTGATGGCTCGTTGACCCGCCTTTCCCTTCCTTCAGTGACAGGAGAGCCGTCCTCTCGTGCTGGCTCGACTAACCTGAATCGTGACGGCATCCGATGAACTACCAATCCATTACCATGGCAGGCAATGCCTCCAACAGCGACCATCCGGAGGATGGAGCAGTCCGAGATGGCTCTCCGCTAACATCCTCGGTCGACTTTGGTGACCGGTCAGCCTACGCCGATGATGCCCGCTCCTCCGCAACCTCCCCGCAAAGCTTCACCACGCGCTCCCTGCTCGTCGGCCTTCTTATCGGCGCTCTCATTACCTTCTCCAATACATACTTTGGACTGCAGACAGGATGGATCAGCACTATGGCCATGCCATCTGCCCTAATCGGCTTCTCCGTCTTCAAGGTCTTTTCCAAATACCTGTCGTATCCGTTTACACCCATCGAGAACGTCCTCATACAAACAGTAGCAGGAGCGGTGGGGACCATGCCGCTGGGCTGTGGGTTTGTCGGGGTCATCCCGGCATTGGAATTTCTGATCAAAGATGGCGAAGATGGCCCATCGGGGGATGGTGGTACCGGGGAAGGCGGACCTCTGAAGCTGAACTTTTGGAAGCTCGTTCTCTGGAGCTTGGGTGTCTGTCTGTTTGGCGTCGTGTTCGCTGTTCCGCTGAGGAAGGAGGTGATCGTTCGGGAAAAGTTGAAGTTCCCGAGTGGAACAGCCTCAGCGCTGATGCTGAGGGTGCTGCACGGAAGTGGTCAGGGCGACGAGAAGTCGAAGAAGCGAGTGGATGACGTCGAGGGTGTCATACGGCGTGAGGAGAGATCCTACGCATCGACTTTGGCGCATGAACCCGAGGAAACTGGCGTTTTGCTGAGAAATGCTAGCTCTGGCGATGAGAACAGTGTCCAAGAGGACTGGAGATCCAAGATGCGTCTCCTGGTGGGCGCCTTCGTGGTGTCCGGCATTTATGTAGGGCTCGTTGTCTGGGAACATTGGGACTCTAACTGACGACATGGCCAGACCCTTTTCTCCTATTTCGTCTCCCAAGTCCGAGATATTCCTATCCTGGGACTTTATCTCGCCAAAAACTGGCTCTGGACCCTTAATCCGTCTCCCGCATATGTTGGCCAGGGCATTATCATGGGACCTTCGACCTGTATGCATATGCTCTTCGGTGCGTTCTTGGGCTGGGGGATTCTTTCGCCGCTTGCAAAGGCCCGCGGATGGGCCCCGGGGCCTGTGGACAGCTGGGAAGATGGAAGTAAGGCTTGGATCGTCTGGATCTCACTGGCCATTATGCTTGCCGACTCCCTTGTCAGTCTTGGCTGGCTGGTCGTGAGGCCTCTTATACCCCGTGCTTCGCATATGAAAGACAAGCTCCTCCACAGCCGCGCTGGACGGCGGGTTCTATCTGGAGGCTCGACATCTTCCAATCATCACTCGTACATTTCCTATTCTGCCCTGAGTCCCATCACGGAGGAGTCTTCTGTGCCGAGCCATCCCGTCCCTTCCATCGGGAGACACAGCGCAATCGACGAGGCGGATGAAGATGCGCCTCCATCCCAGCTTAATTCTAACCGGACAGTCATCATCCTCCTCCCACTTACTTTGATCCTTAACGTTGTCTGCATGCACTTCGTATTCGGCGACATAATGTCTCCACTGCTTTCCAGCCTCGCCACCCTGCTGGCGGTCCTCCTTTCCATCATGGGCGTCCGCGCCCTTGGCGAAACAGACTTGAACCCCGTCTCTGGAATCAGCAAACTCACCCAGTTGCTCTTCTCCCTGGCTACTCCTGCCTCTCATTTTTCCCGCCGTACTGCCTTGGTCACCAACCTCCTCGCCGGCGCCGTATCCGAGTCCGGTGCCCTGCAAGCCGGAGACATGATGCAGGATCTTAAAACCGGACATCTCCTTGGTGCCAGCCCCAAGGCCCAATTCTACGGCCAAATGATCGGCAGTCTTGTTGGCGCCGTGCTTTCCACCGCCGTCTACAATATGTACGTCAGCGTATACGAAGTCCCCGGTCCGATGTTCCAAACTCCCACCGCATACGTCTGGATCTTCACGGCCCGCCTAGTCACCGGCCAAGGCCTCCCTCCAATGGCATGGCAAGCGTCCCTTGTCGCCGGAATCATCTTCGTAGCCGTCACCATCCTCCGCATTGTCGCCTCATCCCCAATCGCCAACGGCGGACGCAGAGATGTCACCGCCCCCTGGAAGGATTTTATTCCCGGCGGCATTGCCGTAGCGGTGGGAATTTTCAACGTTCCATCCTTCACTTTAGCCCGTGCCATCGGCGGCTTGATTGCCTGGTGGTGGGCCCGGGGACATTCTAACAAAGTCGCCGCCGGCGGGTCGGACCCGAGCACCGACGACATTCAAACAAATTTGTCCGACTCATGGACGGCTGATGGCCGTGCGGGATCCTCATCCGGATTTCATCATCATCAACCACAACAACACAGTCAGGCGGTCGCGAAGGAGGCGGATTCCGCCTCTTCATCTGTTGTGGTCCTTGCCTCGGGATTGATTCTTGGCGAGGGCATCATTAGTATTGTAAACTTGCTTCTGGCAAGTGGCGGGGTTCCGCATCTTTGATAGCGGAAAGACAGCAGAGGTGGTAGGTACATAGAGTACTCCTTGTTAGTTGCTGGGTTGTTTGTATCTATCTTGTTTGTTTCGGTACTGGGTGGAGATGAGGTGGATGATAGAATCTAGAAGTCTAGATAAATAAAAGCGGACTGACTATGAGGATTAGGGGTGTTGATGTCAGGCGAACTACGTCGCCATTATGAGCTGACTGTTCATATCAGTTGTCTGATCCAAAAACTACAGAAGGAGCATATTTCATGATTTAAAGACTGTATTTATTCTTGATTGATGGTCTAAACACTATGTAGCAATGTATACCCCATATTGAGCACATCATTAATCGCAAGACTTGAAAGCGCCCAAAACAGTGAATAGCTCAGTGTCCTGCCGACTTCGTGCCTTTCTTCACCTAGTATCAATTGTCTGTAAGTGTCCCGCAGAAGAAAGTCAAGAGAAAGGCCAGGCTCAGAGACGGTTAATTTACATGTTTGTTTGTGCATAGTGGTGAGAAAGGAAAGCAGGAGGTATCAAGGCAAATAGAAAAGTAACAAGTGGTATAAGAGTCATTCACATGAAGTAAAAGTAAAGATAGACGAAGAAGATAAAGTATCCAGACACATAGTCCCGTATGCTTCGATTATGAAATCAGAGCGTGTGGAAAGAAAAGAATTATGAGGGAACGCGTGACCGAAAGCGTTGGCAGCCCTTTTAAATCGAAAGGCAAACCAGTTAAAAAGCGTTCGTCGCAGACGCATACAGAGTTTATCGTGGCAGGTTCGTCCGCCCAGCGGCGTTCAGTTGACACTCATGGCATATGATGGTATCTCTCATGCTTGACATTAAGATGACCCATTACTCATGGCTATTTTCGGGGGCGACTGTCTCAATGGTTGCCGAAGCTGGTGCAGCGTTGACTGACGGATGCAGAGATGCTAGATGCATGGAAGTTGGTCCGAGCGGAGTTCCGAGAGGACTCGGTCCGGCTAGCCCTGCCATTCGAGCGTTCGGTCCAGCCACACCTCCTGTGCTGTTGCTGCGCATCCGTTGGTTGACTGGCATGCGGGGACCTTGCATTCCCGGGGGTCCGTAAGGCCCAGGACTCAAAGACCTAGGAACCATTGGACCGGGACCGGGAGAGAAAGATCTCGGAGGTTGTGGGAAATGTGCCGGAGACATAGGACGCTGAGGATAGGGCTGCGACTGCGGAGGACCAGCGTAACCGGGGTGAGCAGGAGGCATGGGGCGCGCCGGCGACATTGGACGTGCCGGCGACATGGGGCGAGCCGGCGACATGGGGCGAGCCGGTGACATGGGGCGAGCCGGTGACATGGGGCGAGCCGGTGACATGGGGCGAGCCGGTGACATTGGACGACCTTCCTGAGGGTAAAAGCGCGGAGTCGGCATCATGGTTCCAGCCGGCATGGGACTGTTAGGGCCCATCATTGGCGGTCCTCGCGGTCCAGGGGCTGCACCCGGGGGCGGGCCCATCCGGGGCATCAAAGGACGCGGGGAAAGACATGAGCGGGGGACAACACCTTGCTGAGAGCGGTCCATACGGATACATAGAGCCCATCCATCATCGTACTCGTGCAGTAGTCTGACAAGATCACCGGCATGTAGCTCCAGTTCATCGGCCATTGAAGGAGCGAAATCCAAGTGCACGCGATGCACATTGGATGAGGCAGGAGCAGGAGCAGGAGCAGAAACGGGAACTGGAACAGGAACAGGGACGGGCTCAGCTGATGCAGTTGATTGAACAGGAGAGACGGCAGGAGCAGCTGAAGCTGGGGCCGCATTGGCATCTGAAGGACCATCTGGACCAGGATTAGTCGAACTGGATTCGGAGGAGACACTAGATACGGAACTTTCAGGGCGGCTAGGCAGATCCTTATCTGACGCGCTGGAGGCTGCAACCGCGGCCACAGCAGCACCAGCTACAACACCAGTCACAGCGATTCCCGTTGCCGTGGCTGTTTCTGAAGCGGAATCAGCAACCGCAGGTTCTTCTGGGACAGGGCCAAGCTGAGTAACGGAGCCGTGTGATGTGGAAGGCGGCGAGACATCGGAAGGGTGATTGAATGGATTGACAGGATCAGTGAAGGGATCTGCGCTGGCGGTACTTGATTGTGGTGTGTGAACCGGTGAGTTTCCAGTCAGGTTCCGTGTACCAGCCGCACCTGAGGCAGCAGCTGCACCTGAAGCAGCGACTGCACCTGAGGCAACAGCAGCGTCGGCAGCAACCGTAGAGGGACCTGCAGCACCAGCACCAGCACTGAACTCTGATGCAAATGGCGCAAACTGTGTGACTGGACGGACTTGGAGCTGAGGTGGATCCAGAGAACTCATCGGCTCAGTCTTCGGAGGTGGTGGTGGTGGCGCGACAGGATCTGAGCCCCAGAACTTTTCATCTTCGGCTACTTCCTTTTGGATTTTCTGTTCCTGTTTCTTCTTCCGTACCCAGAGAAGGACGAGGCCTGCAACCAAGCCAACCGCCAATATCACACCGATAGCAATGCCGGCTTTCGCACCTCCAGAGAGCCCTCCTGATCCCGAAACTGCGGTTGCAGATGCCGACGCAGAAGACCCAGTGACGTCGGAACTCTCCAGTCCAGCCTTGCCTTGGGAGGATACCGAGGATGATTCCAAAGATGTAGCAGACGAAGTACTGGTCTGAAAGGTGGTCTTATTTGCCGAAGAAGTTTCCTCTTTGCTCGCACTTTGGGTCTCTTTGGTCGCCTCGGTTGTCGTTGGCTGGGGTGCCGTCGTGATTTCGGTCTCAGCAGTCTTCGTGGCGGTAGCATGAGTCTCTGCTTTTGTCTTTGTCGCTGCTGCCTCAGTGGCCCCGGTCGTCTCGGTCTCTTGTGCTGTCGAGGACGACTTCGATCCTTTGACAGGAGCGCCGATACCAACAGCCGTGTTTTTGCTGCTTTCTGAGGACGTCTTGCTCCCCGTGACATAGCCGCCGATTGGGCCATCGAAATCCGCACTCATAGTCACATAGACCACCGTCACCGCATCATTTTCCGGGCTTCTGCCCTTCAAACGGGGCACGCGGTCACGGTGCGCGTGTGCATGCACCATGGTTGAGATAGTTTAGGGCTGTGGCGCCTTGTATGTTGCAATTAGTTGGGCCTCTAGTAGTAAGCTAGAGTTGAGCCGAGTGTGACGGAAATATGATCGTACCCCGCGTACTTGTGCCAGTATCCACACAGAAGAGTGCACAGAGATGGGCAGGTATATGTTAACGCAGGCTCAATGTCAAAGAGAGTCTGTGAGTAGTTTCACTGGCATCAAAGAACGGATACAAATTGATATGATACGTGACACAGATCGCTATACTTTTTCTTTTCTCTGACACCACAATGAGATAAGCTAGTCGCGTAGTGGCGTGAAAGGGGCGCAAGCGCGTTAAAGAATGTGGGAGGGAAAAGAATGGAAGTCTGAGAATCCCCAGATATACTTCAAAAATGGCTGGGCCACATCCGATCTAGATCGGTCAAAACGAAAGACAGCGAGCTTCCAGGCCGCGAAGGTCAAAAGGAAGGACGAGAGGCACGAAGGAAGGGAGAGAAAAGGATGGATATGAGAGTGAGCACGCCCAAGCGTGGGCTTGCGAGAAGTGAAGGTGGTGAACCAACTAAAAAGAGAGTGAAGGGGACCCAAAGACGAGAGCAAGAGAGCATCGCTGCCAAATACGGGTAAATTACCATCTTACGGGAACCACAGTTAAACGAAATGAGGTCAAAGCATAAAAGAGGGGCTCTCCGCCAATCAGAACAGCGTATCAGCCCGTATGCCTTGGTGCGCGCTAACCTGCTGAGGCGGGGATCACGGGGTTTGTCCCGCTCACCCTCAGGCACTCCGTCCCTCTGATTCGTTCTCAGTTGATACGGTTCCTGGTTTTCTGACCGTCACAAGAGGAATTCACGAAGTTGCCGAACCTCCCGCTCTTTTTCCCCCAAACTCTCTCCTGCACAACTGCATCACAGGCAAAGAGAATTCTATACTGAGTGGGCCGAACCCCTCGATCATCATTTCTTCCCCCGACGCCCGAACCAGTACATTGTTGAAGTGATTCACACAGGGGGTACACAGTGTCATCAATGTACACTCACTGAGATAAATGCTAACTGCTCAGTCTTTCTATGACATGTAAATAAGTAGCTGGTCCAAGTCTACTGGAATCAATCTCTCTGGTACCTCTCTCTCGACTAACTAACTACTCAACGACATCAATCTCATGACTAACCTCCTTAGTGGAAATGCAAAGTTTTCGAAACTGAATGGATTTTGATCCAGCGCCGTTGCATTAAACGAGATCTTCACTTTCTCATTCATTGGGTGGTCCCTGAGCCACTGCTCATTAATTAGCCAAGCCCCTTCTTGAACTCCGGTCCTTCCTAGCGTTACCCACATCCACCCTCACCACGGCTCCTCCTGGCAAATGACAACCATCCAATGGCTGTGATAGTGGGGTGTCACGTTATTTTGTAGGTAGGTTCCCTCCGAGAGTCCGACCCTTGTGCGTGGTCGACAAATGGAAATGCCTTCCGCTGTTGAACATCTCGCCGACACTGGTTAGATAGCTGTGGTGCAACACCACACCACGTTCGTGCAGCCTCGCGAGCCATAACCTAAACAAAGCATGACTGCCCTTGCATGCGTCAAATATCTGGGATCAGATCCTAACTCCGATACACTATTCTCATACATAGTCTCAACTCTGTTTCCTCTTCCAAATTCTTTCTTTCTTTTTTTAGGTCTACACCGTCATCTGATTATTTCCCCCAGGGCTAACAGAACAATCGTGCCCCGTCAAATTTGGTTTGAAATCATTCCCAGGATTCGACCGGCGCTCCTCCGTTCGGTTCCGGCCTAGCAAACACGCTAGCCAGCTGTCTGGTTATCAGCCCACAACAATAATGCTCCCGCCTTCAGGAGTCCCCGGGCTCTTTCGCCTTACTACCGAGGCTAATGCCTGATGGGCGTTGGCAGCTCCATAGCTGTAGCTACAAGGTCTGCAGCACTTTAGTCTGTCGGGGTGCTGAAACGCCCAACCAGGTCTAAAGTGGGCACTAATGGGGCAGCCTGCGAACACTCAAGAGAAGCCCGTAAAGCCATGTAGATCGCATTTTTGCTGTGGTGTCGTCATGTGAAGGATCATCGCAGTACCCGTACCCTTCAATAAGGGGTTTGAAAAAGGGCATTGAAGGTCTAGGAACTCGAGAAATAAGGATGCTCCAAGGCCTGTTGCTCTTGTAAGAGATGGCTCGTCCAATCCGTCAGTTGGTCTTATCGTCTTCACTTACCTCTTTTGCGGACAGCCGCTGACCGCTCTCATAGCGCACCAGTTCGCTGACAAGGCTACGGGCTTTGGTAGAAGCCCCCCTAAGGATCTCGTCCCATTGTTTGCCAGGGTACTTGTAGAATTCCACCTTCCCCCAGTCTGGGAGACGCTGCGTCTCCTATGATTCCCTTCAATCAGCATGACATTCTGGTATGATCTCGAGAGGAGGTGGGGGAGGGTCGATTGCATACAGGCCAGGTCTTTTCATCCGGGGTCCCCAGGGTCGTAAAGATTGACTGGATCAATGAGAGGTCACTTCCAACAGGTCCCGAGTCGAATAATTGTGTGTGCCCAACAGCCACCGCTTCGGCAACAACACAACCGGCTGCCCAAAGATCAAGAGCAGTCCCATATCCCTTGAACCCAAATAGGATCTCAGGGGGGCGGTAACAGGTGGTTCCAACATCTGTGATTTTTTGATCCGCGGGTTCAGATCCCATACTTCCTTCCTTCCATGTAATACCAAAGTCTGCGAGGTAGGCCGGTCCCTCAGGAGAGTCAAGCAGTATATTGGAAGGCTTGATGTCTCGGTGTATAATTCCCAGCTCGTGAATATGTGCTAATGCGCTGAACATGTCCCGCAGATGAGACCTGGTCTGCGCCGCAGTCAATGCATCTCGTCGAAGTAGTTGCTCCAAGTCATATTTCATGAAGGGAAATACGAGAATCAATCGCCCTTCGTCTAGACTGACAGTTTCCAGCAAGGGTACTACACGAGGACTAGCCGCCTCACGAAGCAATTGAACCTCACGTTTGGCATCATGTGGTGGGGTTAACAGATGAGGTATAGTGACCTTGACAGCCACTAAGCTACCGTCCGTATTCCTGGACTTATAGATCATGGAATGGAGGCCATCGAAGTGATGGAGGCATGACTGATACGGGCCGATGGTTTGGCCCCCCTCCCAGTGGTCCGTGTCACTGTCGTTCTGAGGTTGGTCTGGGCTGCCGATGATGGGAGCAACCGATCCCGACGACTCTGCTTTGTCAATGGCATCCTGACATAGCCGGTCATATTCCTCCTATGATGCGGTTAGAGGGGGTGGTGGATGTCACAATGACTGGTCACAAACTCTTGACGCAGCTTGGTCATAAGCTTCATTCTCAAAGCGCTTCGCTTGAGACTGAGCTTCAGCGAACGCAGCAGAGGAAGACGCTCGTTGGTAAGCGGTAGTACTGGAGGGAATTAGTGTTATGTACTCCATATCGACACATGAGAGAGGCGCAATGCAGGGAGAGATCACCCGAGATAGCAGTAGACTTACAGCGATTGAATGGCTGACAATCGATCTGTGAAGCCAAGGGTCTTTTTCCAGTCAGGAGTGGCCATGATAGACAGATAGATATATATATCTATCAAATATATATTGATGGAGATGATAGATGATGATAGATCCAATCTATCCACTAGTTCCTAACTAGAGATGGCCCCGTTATCATTATTATTATTGTCATAACTCAAAAAAGAGGCGGGCAGACGGACATGTGACACTCCCGTGGCGCCTTACCGAGAGCGGCATGGGCCGATTCGGCACCTCCGCCCCAGTTGTTCCGGCGTTGCAACCCATCATCGTCATCAGCCATCAGCCATCGGCCATCACATCCTCTTCCCTCCGACTCCAGCTGTCCTCCGTTGCTTGTTGAACCTTCCCCCGGTTCGGCATCGTGCTTTCGTCCAATCGCCTCCCCCATTCGATGCTCACCCCTCCCAGTCTCATTCTTCCTTATTATGCGCCCCCGACTCTCGTTCTGCTAAGGTTGTGACCTATGTGTAGTGATGGAACTCTCACGGCAGGAGTATCCAGCGTTGCTGGTACGATGCCCTCGAACCCCAGACAACCCCACCTATCTTTTTTCTTCCTACCCCAACTTCCACTTCCTCCCATGCCCAATCACATCTAACCTAGCATTTTCTCGTCAATATTGCAGGCCTCTTTGCAGCCCGGCCAAGCTACAAGTGTACTTAATGATCGCATTCGCATCATAAACAAAGTCAATGCGGACATCGCGGACTGGCTCCAGGTAAGCGGCACGCTCTTCCACTTGGAGCTGGAAATGAGGTAGAATCCCTCTGGCTTACATGCATGTCCAATTCATAGGAACGTCGTCGCATTGAAGAATTGTATGCCCAAGGGTTGCGGAAACTTGCGCATCGGCCGCAGTTGGACAATGGCGCGGCGCTCGGGTACGACCGGCTTTTCGAGTTATTCTTCGGGCGTGCAAGCCTTGTACTAATAACGGTCCATAAACAGTGTCTTCCAGATACCTTGGCAGCGCATTGTTACTGCCACCGAATCAATTGCCTCTTCGCACGAAACTTTCGCCCACAAAATCGAGGAGGACGTAGAACGTCCACTGCGAGAGTATCACACCAAAAGCCGGGAATTGTCTTCCCTGCCTGGTATTCAGAGTGACCTTGCAGGATTGGCCAAGAACTACGAGGCATCCCAGAAGAAGGTAGAAAAGGCCAGGGAGAAGGGCCCGAAAGGTGCCGATAAGCTGGCTAGCGCCGTGGCCGCTGCAGAAGAAATTAGCCAGCAATGGGATTCCAGAGCGCCGTTCGTCTTCGAACAACTTCAGGCAGCAGATGAGGGCCGTCTCAATCACCTGCGGGATGCTCTTACTCAATTGGAGACTCATGAGACGGATCAGGTTGAGCGCTGCCGTCAGGCTGCTGAAAGCTGTCTGAACGTTCTTCTGAACGTAGAGACTGCAGACGAGATCAAGACATTTGCCGCGAAAGTCAATGGAGGAAGACCCGTCGTTCCGAGGAGACAACAAACTACCTCGCCTCCCCCAGTAGCACCTCTGTCGCCTCCACCACGCCTGCAGGATGATGCTGCTAGTCAGCGTTCGGAACATTCGGGTCCAGTTAGGACTCCTCCAGGTGAGCCTATCTTGAATTGTCGACAGCTCTAGCCCTGTATATTGGTACCGTTTTCTCGATGTGGAGTTCTGACGCCCTTTTCGTAGCACCCGAGCCCCGGCATAATACACCACTGGGTGGCCTTAAAAGGCTGGGAACCGTCATGAACCGACGGAGGAGCATTGTTCAGCCTTCTAGCGCTGGTCCCTTCTTCTCCGACAAGAAACACCGCAGTCCGTTTGCCTCCTTTAAGAGGGGTGATTCGCGCGAGCTGCAAATTCCGGAGACTCCAACCGAAGGAATGGAGCGCCCCAGCACTGCCATGTCTACTCAAGATACTGAACCTGCAGGTACCTCAAGTGAACCTCATGAGCATGAGAGTTTTACTGGCGCGACGTCCACTGCAATGCCCCAGTCAGCACCGGCTACCGCTAACGGAGCAACATCTCACGAAGCTCCTTCTGAAGAGATTACTGCTACTGCTGGCGTGTCACGCAACGAAGTAAGCAGAAAAGATTACTTGTCAGTTATTTCCGAAGCTAATCTACCGATCAGCCACGAGTCGACTCAGAAGGTTTCACGGAGCGTCCGGAGACCATTGACGAGATTACAAGGGCCCAAAGAGAGGCGGCCGGGTAAGCTGTCTTTCCGATTTGAGAATGGATTGTGTTTGCTAATCATTTCTTCAGATTGGAAGAGCCCGGGATGAATCTGACAATACGGGACCAGCCAATCTTCGAGGACGAGGATCAAGCCAAGCAAGCGATGGATGATATGGCTAATCAGCTCAGAATGGTGGGTTTCATGCACAAAATTCTTTGCTACCGCACGTTGCTAATGATACCATGCAGCGAGCTCAGCAGAGTGGTGTCCGACGAAATGCTGGAACCCTGCGTGGCCGTCGCGATGTCCGTAACACGGTCTTTATTCCTACACCTGCACCAGGAAATGATCTCCCTGCCATACCATCAACCCTGGATACGTCTGCACCAACCTCTCCATCTTTGCCAGCAAAGCATGTTGCCTCGCCTAGCACGGCTACAGACGACCATGCCATGTCTGACACGACCTCAATTCGCTCGTCTCATACTCTGCATAGTGCCCCGGGCCCTGTCTTGCATCCCGACCTTCACGAGCCAGGTCTGAACGCATCCATCATAGACACTGTCAGTGCATGGTTCACCGAGGGAGCAGTATCCAAATCGTTTGTTGTTGGAGAGCTTGCATTGGCATACAATGCTACACCGGATGTGACCCCAGGTAGCACACGAGTTCGCCTTGACAATTTCCAGATTCTTGAGAAGGTGGCTGCAAACCCACACTTCGTGACTGAAGATAAAGGCAAGGATCAGTCCGATGAAAAGAGGGGTGAGTATGATGTGAACCTGGCTAGCATTGCTCGGTCCTCGCCGACCGTGGCTTTCAAGTATCAAATCCACATGGAACCCTCCGTTGCCGCAGCCTATTGCCCGGTCATTTTCAGGCCGGTGTGGAACATCGAAGAGCACCAGGCCAGTGCGATCATCTACTATTCTATCAACTCTTCGTTCACATCCGCACCAGGAGGCACAGTCACCCTCAGGAATCTTGTCTTAACAGTCAATTTGGACACGTCTCCTGTGGAAGGGCGCGAAGTGGCTCATGCCACAGCAGCTGTCATGTACCCGAACACCGGTGCAACATTCCGTCGCAAGCAGTCTGCGGTAACCTGGAAGATTCCTGAACTTGAAGTCAAGGCTGGCTCTGACGCCAAGTTGCTGGTCCGGTTCTCGACAACAGCCAGTTGGCCACGACAGGGCAAGGTCGATGCCAAGTTTGAGGTCCACACGCTTGATGATGGATCTCGTCTGGGAATTAGTACCGCTTCACCGATTAATCAGGTGAAGGGCTCTGATCCCTTTGCAGACGAAGAGGCTGGTAGTCAGACTCCTGAACTGCAGCCATCCTTCGAATGGAAGAACGTCCCGACCGCCCGAAAGCTGCTTGGGGGTAAATATGTTTCATCTTAATGCTCGATTTGCATATGCGTTTACTTGCGCGCCACCCATGTACGAACAAAGGACACTACTTAAGCGCAAGAGCCTCGGCAAGCATGCGAGCCTACGTTCTGTGTCTTGTCGCCCTTTTGCACCTCATGATAAATATGCCAAAAGCCTCCCTGTCACGGTACACATCAACATCCCTCAGTACTTGTTACTGTGTCGCCCTATGTCCCTGCACTTCAATCCTCCTGTGCAAAGCAAGTCTATCTTTCCCTGCCGTTTCTGCTGTCTTTTCCTTTGTCTTTTCCGATATCCTTTTTTTCCCCTGGTCATGTAATCTCGTTGTCTGACCTTTTTTCCCGGCTCACTCTGAGCCTGGTCAATGGTCTGTAAATAAGCTGTTTGTTCATGTTATATTATTAGTTCCACTGTAATGGGTAATCAGGGCTGTACATGCTCTGTATATGAGCATCGACCAGGAAGGAGGATTGTCGAGGCCGTACCTACACCTACTAAGAAACCCTAATCAACTAGTACTGAAGACCCTGAAAGTCCTTTGGTGATTCTTGACTATATAAGGGGACGGGATATTGATTTGCGCTTGCCCATCCTGTCCTTCGAGCTTCTCGTATTGGATTTTGCCCCTCAATGCATACTTAGCATGCGATTGCAATTAAGAGCTACAACAGCACGTTGGCCTTGGAATAGCCATTATGTATACTGCGTCTTTGTTAGTAGTTGTATAGTAGTTCTGAGATTTGAAGCAGGACTAAGTATAGCCGTTGAGCGTAATAGTGACATACAGGAGACGTTGCCATGGATACGGATCAGACTACTGACTGCTGCGGGGGCGAGATAGACACTTTGACGCTAGAGCCTCCTGCTAAATCACTGTGAAAAAGAACTACAGGTCGCTATCAAATTAGAAATAATGGCGAGATGGGCAAGATCCTTCATGGACAGTGAAATGTTATAACATGGCACCATAATACGTGTGTGCCGGGGAATCACATTAAAATTTGCATGACCAAAATATAACTAAACCACATGCCCTTTGGGCAGAATCGTACATCTACATGCGTGCGGCTCTCGTGGTCTTATCAAAAAAGTCCAGCGTCATAGCGGCAAGGAAACAGGGAATATCCTTCCTCTCCTCGACCCAGAACTTGATGAGATGCTTGATCTCCATGGCAAAGAGGCTGTTGGGACCACCCGAGATCTTCATCGTACCGTTTTCTCCGTCGAAGATTATTGAGTTTTCCTCGCCGTTGCCCATGCTTCCTGGGCCCCGGGAGTCCGATGGAGCATCATGGTCACCATGTCTGTAAGCAGCTGATAGATGGAACATCGACGTGACTCGGACACGACCATTGGGAAGGAAATCCAGTTTATATCCCAGCAGGGACGCAACAGCTTCGCGGAATTCCGACGACTTCGCCGTCCAGATTTCCTTCAGTCGCCGCATACGCTTTTCCTTATCCGCAACTACTCGCTCCATATCTTGGACTTCCAGCTTCATGCTTTCTAGAGTGCTCACTGGAACGACCTTGACACCCGAATGGTCGCCGCGCAGTTGAGCAAGGAGATCCTGGTTCTCGGCCTTTAAGGTCCTGACAGTAGAGAGTTTAAGGTTTTCTGCTTCTGCGGTGGGGTTATCACGCAGCTCGAGAATCCTGGTACGCGATCTAGCCTTGAGGGACTTGATCTGGGACTTGCTTGCCTCGAGCTCCTTGCGCAGGAGTGTCGCGGCTTGTTCGGATTTCGAAAAGGACTCCTGCAGGGTTCTATACTTGCGCGTCAAAACAGAAAGACGTTCGCTTTCTGCATCGCTCTCTGCTGGAGAGAGAGGCCGTTTGATTCCGCGCGGTTGAGATTCATCCTGCTGGGAAGGCTCGCTTTTAGCCAGCTCTTCATGAGCTTTTTCAAGCTCGGCCCTATACTCATCAACGAGCTTCTCAAGATTGGCGATTTGCTCGGACTTTTGCTGATCGAATTGATTTTGTTCCGGATTCATAGTCACCTCTTCCGTGTCAAAGGCCTTAAGTTGGGCACGCAGATAGTCAACTTCTTTCACAGCGAGAGCCCGCTGTCGTTCGAGTCTTGCTTTCATACGGCTTTCTGCCATGGCTCCGCCCGCAACAGAACCGGCACTGCTCCGGAGTTTTTCAATTTCCTGTCGCAAGGTGGTCCGTTCCGTCTCCAAGTTCTTGATCGACTCGTCCTTCTCCAGAAACTGTGCCTCGACACTACCTATCTTATCAACAAGAGAGGCTTTCTCTATGCGCTCCTGTAGCAAAGCCTTCACGACCGCTTCTGGAGAATCGAACTCGGCTGGCTGATCATTGTCTTGCAAGAGACTAGTCCAAGACCGTCGCTCGTCTTCCAACATCTGAATCTGGATCTGAGCAGTCCCCAGTTGTGACTCCACATCCTTCATCAACTGCAGCTGATTTTCCAACGATCTCTTCTGCTCCTCCACAACTTCAACATTCTTCTGAATCTTCCGTAGGTGTCGTAGTTCGGTGCCTTGTTCACGGTTTGTGGTTTCCAGATTCCTGATATGGCTGACTTGTTCGGAAAGTTCGCGCTTGAGAACTGACAGCGTTTCACTATCTGTTCCTTCAGCTTTGAGCCGGAGATTTTCCGTTTCCAAATCAGCAACCTCTGCTTCCCGTTGACGCAGCTTTTCTTGTGCAGTCTGCATATCACGCTGAACAGTTTGGAGATCATTCTGCAATTCCTCGATCGTCTTTTGTAAAGACGAGCGTATGGTATCCAGTTCGCTGATCTGATATTTGTACTGTCTTTCTTGGTCGAGCGATTGTGCTTTTGAGTCTTCCACCTCCTCCTGAAGAGACTGGTTCTGATCCTGAAGACTTCTGACCTTTCGCTCAAGACCGGCTTTCTCATTGAGGGCATTGTCCTGGATTTCTTTCATCTCTTTCGCGAGAGTCTCGCTCTTGTGGGTTGCCCGGTGGCTGTTACTCTCTGCGGCCTATGGGACAGAAACATGGTCAGGTAAATACACGTCATGTAGTGGCTGAAGAACTGGACAAACCTGAGCTTTTCGAAAGTCCGAATCTGCCTTGAGCTGCAAATCCCGTAGTTCCTTCTCATGGCGTAGGACCATCAAATCCCTTTCTTGCTTGAAGTTCTCTAGCTCATACTTTAAGGTATTCACCTGTACTAACAGCTCCTCTTTTTCCGTGTCTAGAGGAGCATTAGTCTTAAAGCACACGCAGCCTGAGACACAGACAACATCAACCTACCTGGCTTTGAGGGGTAGACTGAGCGAACCGATTGGTGCAAAGCGTCTGGTGCCGGTGGGAGCGACAAAGGGGATTCTGCGCGCATAGTATCCCGTGAAGGACGTGAATTGATGCTTGAATTCATCTGAGGCGCATTAGGTTCCTTGAGCCAAACTAACTGCACTTGACGACTTACGATGGATTGATCTGGCAATACCAACTATCGTGCGACACGATTTCCCGGGAAGGTATCATTCAGAGAAGTCATCCCACAGCGAAATTCCGGATCGCCCAAAAATCCAGTCTTAGGCTGAGTATGAGGGCGCAAACATCAGGCCCGGCGCCGGCAAGTACCTCATTGTTTTTCGATAACAACAAGAGAGCGATGACATCCCGGATAGGCACGTGCTGAGTCAGCCGCCTCACCGCCCGCGCAAGCTTTGATTCTTAAAGAGGACTAGCGCCGAAATTTTGAAATGGATTTCGAATTTTTGCGGGTTTCGACGAGACCGACGACTATTCCTCCCCACGCCCGTCGCCATTCTCCTCGTCTCTTTCCCCCTCTTCCGGATTCAGTTCAACTCCCTGGGTGGGTCTAATATTCAAAATGGCTAAGGAAAGGACCGAGAAGAAGGACAAGCGCGAGAAGAAGGAGAAGCGCGCGGAGAAGGACGGCGTCTCCAAGACCAGCAAGAAGGAGAAGAAGGAGAAGAAGGACAAGGTCGCCCTCGCCGACGCGGTCGAGAAGGAGCTCACTACTAAGGTTCTCGATGGAATTGACCAGGCTGCCACTGAGGCTCCTGTCAATGGCGCTGAGGCCGAGCACATGGACGTCGACAGCCGCCCCGTTGGCGCCATTGTTCCTTTTGCCAGCCCTCTGGTGGAAGACAAGTCTGCCAAGAAGGTCCTGAAGAGCGTCAAGAAGGGTAAGAAACTTCCTTTTGTATTTTGCATATGTTTATTAAGAGCGCTCGGTCTGGGTCCTAAGGAGATGGAGTGTGGATTCGATCCGGTCTCAGCTTCTGGCCCTGAGAGATTACGATTGCCCCGTTTGGCATTGACTGCGCATCTATCTATCATCGAATGAATATGTGCTAATGTATTGACTTCTAATAGCTGCCGTCAACAAGTGCCTGAAGCGCGGTGTCAAGGAGGTTGTCAAGGCTCTCCGCAAGTCGCCCATCCCCGCTGCCAATGCCAGCATCGGTGTTCCCAACGGTGTCGTCATTCTCGCCGCCGATATCTCGCCGATGGACGTTATCTCGCACATCCCTGTCCTGTGTGAGGACCACGGTATCCCCTACGTCTTCGTCACATCCCGAGCTGAGCTCGGCAACTCCGCCGCCACGAAACGCCCCACCAGTGTTGTGATGGTCGTGCCCAAGTCGGCTTCCAAGGGCAAGAAGAAGGACGGTGAGGATGATGGAGAGGACTTCACCGAGGTGTTTGAGGAATTGGCCAAGCTCGCCCAGAAGGAGGCCAAGAAGGTGAACCTGTGAAGTTTCAGCTGGACTTCTGAATCCACCTTTCCTTTGCTCTGTTGTTTTCCTTTTTAATTTATACGGCTTCTTTATATGTCTTGTCACTTTGCTGCTATGGCTGTACAGTTCCACTTTGTTGTCTGACAAGGCAGTGCATGTCTTCGGGGTCTGGCCTTTGGGACGTGTTCATTGGGTTGATCTTTTATGATGTGTCCGTTGCAAATCCGGCGTTTTCACATGGTGTATGAAAAAAGGCAGGAAGTATCCAATAAAAAATCCCAATCTTGACCAGAGCCTTCGTAAGCTATTTTAAGTGTACAGAGCGTTTCGTTAAGGCGACCATTCTTGCCTCTTCCATTGCGATGGATACGGAAAGGTAAAGAACGAAACGAGGTGTAAGCGAGAGAGCCGGAATTATAATATCAACAGGACTCGAGGCTGTCAATGCTGAGTGAAAGTTGCTCATTTCTGTGTCCAAGATATCGTCGCCTTGATGGGTCTTTCGATACGGAAGAAATGCCCAAGGCGGCTTAGCGTGTGCCTTAACTCGGGAGGAAAGCCAATACGGAGTGAATGGAACATGCAACCAACCACCTCGAGGAGTTCAACCTTCTATGACCAGCAATGAAAACGAACTGGGATAAAGCGAGATAGTTAGTGGAACATGTCGTGGATTACACGAAGCTCCATCCGTCATCCCTATCGGTCTTTATTTTCCGTCTTTCTTCTCTGGAAGGCCTCATTGCTTCTCCTAGCCATCTTAACTCCCGGGTCCGGGTACGACACCTCCACGACTTTATTCCCCTGGCACAGGAACACCGATGAAATAGAAGGGCTTGTACCATCCATCTTGAGGCGCATATCTACCAAGCTGACGAGATGGGATTCCATCTATTTCAATGAGGCGGCCAGACGTGGCCATCTCTTCGAGCAAGAATGGGCGTTCAGTTATGCGTTCTCCAGGTTCATTAATCTGTTGGCCAGTGGTAGGCGTCTTTCATACACTACCTAAGTCCCATTTTTTCTGGGCTAATAGTTCTGCTAGGCTTTGCACATACAGGTGCTCTCCCGTATGAAATCAAAGAGAGTGTACTGGGTATCACCATTTCCCACGCAGCTCATGCCACCTCGGTGGTAGTTCTATATCATCTGGCATGCACTATATTTCCTGGGACCCAGGGACGCAAGCTGGCTTTTATCGCATCATGCTTGCACATTATTTCGCCTGCTGGACTTTTCCTATCAGCTCCCTGCACGGAGAGCACTTATTCTCTCCTAAGCTTCACAGGCACTCTTCTTTTTGCTCAAAGTTTTGGTGCCCGCGGCATCTCCACCAGCATCAAAGATAGTTTTCTAGTGCTTGCGGGTATCCTGTACGGCTTATCCACTGCTGTTCGTGGAAATGGTCTGCTCAATGGCATCCTCCTTCTCGAGGAAGCATGTCGGGTCTTGTATTCGTTAACGCAGGCTTTCAGCTTTGCCAAGTTACGCCGCCTGGTCGCGGTCGGTTGCGGAGGTATCTGCACCGGGGTTGGGTTTGTATTACCGCAATATGTTGCCTACCAGCAGTTCTGTAGTACACACACTGCCACCAACGAAGACTCGTCAAGAGAATGGTGCCATCGAACTCTTCCCAGTATTTACAGCTTCGTACAAGACCATTACTGGTATGTGCCTTTTCCGGCCATCGGCAATTCTTCGCTGACGCATGCAGGGACAATGGCTTTCTTCGTTATTGGACCTTGTCCAACGTGCCGTTATTCGCATTGGCCAGTCCAATGTTGGCCATCTTGGTGTGCTCTGCTTTCTGGACTCTCGGTGTGGGATACAGCCGAAAGAAAATGCCCACGAATACAGCGCAGCAAGAGTTCCCGAACGGCAAACTGACAGGCCGTCTATTGCGCAGCCTAGCGGCTCCTCAGATTACCCTTGCTGTCATGGTTTTTTTCTGCAATCATGTGCAGATTATCACACGATTAGCCTCAGGTTATCCTGTGTGGTATATATGGACAGCGACTTTGATTATGAACAGGTACATTGGTCCCTCATCTGCATCGAAGCGGCAGCTGGAGGAAAGGACCAATGGTGCAAATGGTTATTGGCAGATAATTGTTCAGTACATGGTGATATACGCTGCTGTGCAGGGCGTACTTTTCGCAGCGTTTCTACCTCCAGCCTAAGTCAGCACAGGTGAAGACAATGTATAAAACTAATACGGGTGTATAGCAATTCAGGGTCAGAGGCCGGCTATATGATACCAATATCGTCTCTTAGCAAATTAACATTTTCTCATTCTCCACTACAGCAACACGAGCATCATGGCAGACGTTGAGCTACATTGACGTTACGACGCAGAAGAGATGATCAATGATCGGGTCAGTCTCTGATTGTTCATATCATCTAGATAGATACACTAATACATGAAAGAAGGACACAGTCCTTCCCAAAGAATAAGTCCATTCCTTCCAAACCCCCCAAAACATTACATATGGGGAAGATTCATAAATATTAAACGCGCTTTGCTTTTCATAACATCATCCATCAATGGTGCAAATCAAGCCCTCTGGTCAGACTGCAAAATCTGGTACGGGTGCTGGTTATCCACACCCTTCTGTCTACCAGCATTGGTACCGGCAGGACCACTCTCCGCAGTCTTACGCTGGAAGCCACCCTGCGCCAACCGACCGGGGTCATTCTCACTACCAATATCAGTAGTGTAGCTAGCGTTCGGCGCATCATCAGGGATATCTCCCTCCTTCAAGTTGGCACCCTTGGGCTTGCTATCACCCAAGCGACCAGTCACATCATGAACGTAGGATGGCGCCGCTCCAGCATTGTGCTGGCTGCGGTAGCCGCTGCCACTAGCGGGAGCGGGCTGCTGCTGCTGGGAGTAGCTAGCACCACCGCTTCTTGCTCCTCCGGAGGGCTGTTGTTGCTGAGACAGCTTCTGGGAAGCAGGGTACTGGCCCTGACCGATACCAAGTTCCTTCTGAGCAGCAGTGGGACCACCAACATAGCCGGACTCGGAAACGTGAGCGCCAGGGTAGTTGCCCTGTCCGCCTAGACCCTCGGGATACCTATCCTGGGTGTCGGCGTTGGAGTCGAGCTTAGTGGCAGCACTGGTGTCGGTGGTACGGACGGTCGATTGACCTGCGGAAACGCCCATGGGCTGGGCTCCGCGGTTCTGAGAGAAAGCGCCGCCCTGAGTGGCTGACTCGGCGGCCAGGGAGTCGTTGGTAATGGGGCCAGAAGGCTCCTGGATGGGGTTGTTTCTGCGTTCGGGGTCGGAAGTGACCTTTGTCGAAGTCAGTTTTCTCCTGCCTTGATTGTAATCTGTGGGTTGTTGAGAAAATAACATACCTTGGTGCTTCTCTGGCCAGGGGGAATGGGCTGTCCTTGGAGATCCATGGTGATATTGGTTGTTATATGTGATATAGGACGTATAGGAAAAAGTAGCGTTAAGAGGATGGGATTACTCGAATGGTGTGTAGTTGTCAATTGTTAGACTGATAGAATTTAATCTGCTATCCCATTCAACAATCTGCAACGACAAGCCATCTATATACTCTACGATGAGTGAGCAAATGGAACGGATGGCGTCAAGCTGCTTGAGTTCTCCCAGCGCATGATGTCATACTGACATTACTACGAGCCCACCGAATTCGACAGAGAACAAGCGAACAGGTACGTCAACGAGCAGTATCTGCTCGCAGTTGTGGCGTCAATCAACTTACCATCTACCGATCGAAAAGAGAGTCAGCAAGTCAGGAATTTCAGGTCTGTTGTTGTTGCTGCTGCAGGGGGAACCCGCCGTCTAGAATCCCGCCCCCCCTTTCCTCTCCACCCCTTTGCCATATGTAGTTACCCGACGGTGTTGCCCTTGGGGGCCCAGACAACTTCGGTCGGGTCTATCCACATGCTTGGTTGCCCTTTCCGGTAGACGAATAGGGTATGAGACTTTCTATGGTTGTGCTATGATGTTTTTGTTCTCTCTATTGCGTAGATTGGGATTTTGGATGCTTTGCTGGCTTCTTGGTGATGCTGCTGGTATGACGTCATGGTGGTTGGGTGCATGAAGCGAATGCTCTCTACTCATCTTTTGTTATGAAGTATATGCTTGTAACGCATGGGATATTAATGCATTCATGAGTTGTTTCTAGTCTCTAGTTTCTTGTATCATAAAAATGTGCCGTTTAATTAAGGGAGCTCTAGGGTTTCTATCTGCAAGCCGATTGGACCGGCTGTGTTGTATTGCTTGGCCTACTTCATCCTAAGTAGTACTTACTAGTAGTTTCCCAGTGATAACTTTCATAAAACAAGGGGATGAGTTAGTAGCATAGTATGTAACGAAGTCTGCATAGGAAGTATACAGGTCAGTGTCTAACGTAGTTGATCAATCAGGCACAACTAATTCATGCTTCTATCAGTTCCCGCACGGGCAGATATATTCATACTAGCGTACAAGGAAAACGAACCTATCCCAATCAGCAATCTACGTTGGTATTACTTGTATACCACTAATCTGAATAGTGAAAGTGCATTACGGCCAGAGAAGGTTAGTAGTAAATAGTAGTGGTTATAGGACATTCATTTTGTTCATTAAATGCTCAAGTCATAAAAGTACACATAAAATAGGCCGTAGTCAATACGTCCCTCCAACATGAATTATGATACCAAATCACCTGTAAAGAGCATCCCGGGGCAGACCTTCAAGGTTGTCCTTGCCCTGGCGTCCAACGCCACTCATGGGTTGCGTGTTGGTGTGGTATTCTTCCCCAGATACTCGAACACTGCTGCTTGCAGTTGCGGGTTCTCTCAAGGCGCTGTTGTTCTCGCCCGAAACGGGTCCTTCGCGACCACCCGAACCGACGTTGACAGTTCTCTGGTCCATAGAGTTCCAGTCGCTAGCACGAGGGGGGTCTTCAGGCAATGGCAGATTGGACTGGGCCTTATCGATCTGAGCCTGCTTGTCGGTGTTCTGATCGATGATGGACTAAAGTTCATTATTAGTATATGTCATGGAGATAATAGGCCAGGTGGAAAATCACCTTCATGGCGGAGACGTTAGAGTTCTTGGGGGTTTTGCCATCATGGGCCTGGGAGACATGGGACTCAGGCTTGCGGATGTCCTGGGTGGTGGTGTGGAAAGTCTGTTCGGACATTTTGAATGAATTTGTGTTGTGTGTGAGAAAGACGGTGTTGTAGTAGAGAGTTATGGTTTGAAAGAGATGAGATTGTTTCTGAAAATGGATGTTGAGTTGATTGATTGTTAAAGTTATTTTGAAGGGATCAATGTACCTTTAATATATCGTTGCAGTGGACAAAAACCGATGGGCGTGGCTGGTGACGTTGGCCGCGACGACGTCATACAAGCCGGCCACACCTTGGTTCGCCTTGTAACCAACCCAGCATCATTGACCCCTTCACCACTGGGGCTACAGTGTCCACTCACTTATGGAGACTATGAGCGAATAAGACAAGTCATGTCCGGAAATCGTTCTATTGGATGAGGCAATATCAGCGGTTGACGGTGAAACAGCGTCCCCTGAAGCCTTGGAGTTGGCTGATCGATGATGGCAATAACGACGGTTCTCCGCATAGCAGGTCTCTGGTTTTGTGTACTTGGAATCTATCATTCCTTCTCATTCCTCTAACTTCCTTGACCCATTTTCGTTACATACTCATCTCTATTGTCGCCGCGGTGAGGTGACAGGAGCCGTTCTAAGCCAAGCCTCAGGTGCATGGGATCAGCATACCAATGATGCCATCTCAGATATGATACTGAAGATAGAAAAACACAGGAACATCACCATGCAGCCCTGATAGAGGTCAATGCTCACTGAGATGAGTATACATGCTAAGCAGACATCTTCCCCGATCGGACTAGTGACGTACCACCTCGGCGTCCAACGATTCTCGAGCAATACTGATGCATAAGTCTTTCAAGAGGCATGAAATTGCTATACAGCATGGATCAAATACGGAGCACTGCTCCCCGAATATGATGCAAACACATCTCAGCCGAGACTCAAATCGCGCCTATACTCGTGGTACATCTCTCTGCTTGATATAGGTGATGTTGGGCTTGACATTAGGCTAGTCTAATCCAGTGAGGGCGAGTCGTCAGCATCTTACTCAGAGTGACAAGCTTTCCCATATCGGCATTAAGAGTCATATAAACGTGATCTTAGGCTTGGTCTCCGTCTGTTTCAGAAAGGTGATACTATAAAGGGCGACTGCCAATCTGAGGACGGAAAGCGACGTTTGTCACAACACGTAGACTATTGCACCCCCACATATGTAGGATAGAACTACCAAATTCTGTGGCAGCCCCAAGCATCGTTAGGAGTGTCAAATATGCCATTGTCAATGCCTGAGAACCAAATCTGATCGAGAAGATCTTGCCCAAAGTCAGGGACAATCGGGGTCTCGATCGGGAACAGCAGCCTCAGACCGCCTTCCTAGGGAGGACGGCAGAAATTGATTGTCTCCCCGCTGATGCAGAAATGATTTCCCCAACGCTCCAGCGCTCAGATCGAAATTATTTCCCTTTAAGTCATTCTTGTCTTGCTCATATACCTTAGAATTGCTGCGCGCTTTGTAAGATGCCCAGAGATCCATTAATTGGGCTGGTTGGAAAGGTCTGGGATTCTTCTACCCCTCATACGAGACGCCGCTGATCGAAATGAGGGGCATGTAGCCATCCAGCGGAAAGTCGACCACATTAAATAGTCTGACAGACGCCTCTTCCAAAGTCGGTAAGCTAAATAAGCTCTGCGCTTTGAATTGTGTCGGAGCACAAACTCATGGCTTGTTTCGCATCCAGGAAATTTCCCGTATGTTTAATCCTACTGCCGTTATCGTCCTCCATCGATATCCATATCGCCCTTCGGACGCCGTAATGGACCGTTCATCGCTGACTGGCGAACCACAGTTTCACTACCATTGACCCTCAGCGTGCCATTGGCTACCTCCAGATAGAATGCGCCTGCCAACGATTCAATGTTTCCGATAAGTGCAAGCCGAACTACGGAGGATGTGTGGAGGGACGGCGCTCTGTTCCGATTGAACTTCTGGATGTCGCAGGTCTTGTACCAGGTGCCCACCAAGGACGTGGTTTGGGTAACAAGTTCCTGGATGACCTGCGTCACGCCGATGCTTTGATCCACGTTGTGGACGTTAGTGGAACCACCGATGCAGAAGGTCTCGAATATCAATATGTGGAATTATCTCGGGACAACATCACTGATGTCGCTCTCTACAAATACAGGCAAAGCTACACGAGGATACGACCCTTCACAAGATATCGAATGGCTGAGGTCAGAAATTGTACGCTGGGTTCTGGGAAATCTCATGCAGAAATGGTATGCTTGCACATCAGGAGCTACATAACCAGGGCTAATGCTGTGCAGGGGTTCCATCAAGAGGAGGCACATGGCAGTCAGTGAGTTTGGTGCCATATCAGCCAGCAAGATCTATCCGTACTAATCAGTATCAGAATCTACGGCCGTGGACACCTTGCAAGCCCAGTTTTCCGGTTACGGAGGTACAAGTGCGATTGTTGCTCGATGCCTGGATCGTATGGGGCTGAAGGAGCCTCTCGAGGAATGGTCTGATGAAACTATCGAGAAGGTTGTTGAAGCATTTATCGCAGAGAAGTTCCCGACGGTCTTTGCCCTGAACAAGATCGATCATCCGGATGCAGACAAGGTTGGTCATATGTCTCTCAAGTCACCTGTTGCTGTCGTCACTGACATGGTGAGCTTAGAACATTAGCAAAATCGCGAAAATGCAAGATCCTCAAACAATTGTACTCTGCTCCGCGATTTCAGAAGTTTTCCTCCGGAGGCTAGCAAAGCAGGGATACATTAAGTACGTTGAAGGAAGTGAGTTCTTGGATACGAGAGAGGATCTTATCGAAATGGGTGACCCCGATGGAGGCGGCCTCAAGGAGATGGACGAGAAGCTTACACAGTACGAAGACATTATATACGCCCTTCTAGTGGGATCATGCTAACATGCATATAGGCGCGTCGAGAATTTGAAAGACATGGTGCTTTACCGTTTCGGCTCTACAGGGGTTGTCCAGTGTCTCTCACGTGCTGCAGAACTGCTAGGACTTGTGCCGGTCTTCCCCGTTCGCAACATCTCCACTTTTTCTTCTGGTGCTGGAACGGCCGTGTTCCGTGATTGCGTTCTTGTTGGAAAGTGAGTCGCCCGGATAATACTGACACCAACTGGACCTTCTGACGCCGAGCAGGAATACCACTGTGGGCGACGTTGCTCGCAAGGTGATGGGCGATGTACCAATTTCCTACATTGAAGGAGTCGGTGGCATCCGTGTTTCAGAGGACGAAATAGTGGAAGTAGGAAAGCATGATGTAGGATCTCCTGGTCAAATTCATTTGCTTGCGCCAAAGCTAACCTTTCTATTTTTAGGTGCTGTCGTTCAAACCTGGCCGATAGATCCTGATATTCAAGATTTTATGTACAGTCAACATGATAATGAAACAAGTACTGAGATTATATAGCTCCAAGATTAGCGTCTTTCAATCCCATATAGACCGCTTTGAGCTTTTCGATTACCAATGAATAACCCTGGGCTTAGTGACCCTTCTATCAGAGCAGAACCAGTTAGCCGTTCTTGTCTCAAGAAACTGACCTTTGCGAACTTTATAGTAAATTGATAGGCTTGCATAGTTTTCATATTAACACTTACATGACCTCTCTCATCGTTCATCCCAATGATCGGCTCCGGTGCCTTCGGATGTTCCTGCTTCGCCTTCTTTCCATGCTGGCTACCTCCCTTTTCTGTTGCTCCCTGAGGTTTTGCGTCGTTACCCTCGCCCTCCTTCCTGTCCTGCATAACAGAAGCTGATGCATCTGTTGTTGGGTCCGTGGTATCATTCTTCTGTGTTCGATCAACTGCATGATCCTCCGCCCCAGTACCCTTCCAGTCTTTGCCTAGGCCGCTGTTTAGGCGTGCTTGCACGCTTCTTGGGGTATGGATCGCAGCCGGCTGCCAGATAGAGCGCAGTGGAAGCAGACACGGAGTTGGAGGCCGGGGTACGAGCAGATTATGAAGCTTTGAAGCCGAAGACTGAATGCGTGTATTGGCAGGCATGTTCGTGGTTGTAGTACTGAAGCAGCTAGTAGACCTTGTAGCAAAAGCGGTTATTTATTGACGTAGCACTATGTCTTCAGGTATAGCAATAATAACTCATCTGACTTGGTTAAGTCAGAAGAACATCCCCGCAGTCTGAATTAATACAAGCTAAGGTCCGGTCGATTTCGCCTGGAGAATCCGGCTCGATTGCTTTTGTATGACGTCTACATGCCGCAATGTACCCCGGCTGCCATCAACGGTCACGGATAGGGCTTAGGGCACATGGCTAGCTCTCCGCCTTCTTATCGATAAGGACAACAAACACCTGACCTGTACGTCGCAGCTGCAGCATGCACGCTTTATAGTGTTCGTATGCAATTGCTACGATAAAAGTAACACCCAGTAACTGAAGTTTGGCAAGATGAAACACGAATATTATCCGATCGAGACGCTTCCCTCCTGGATAAAGCTCAACGGAGTCTCCGTCAACGGTATCGCTTTCCGCAAATTGCAAGCAGATGATGGAACCGACAAGGGGTCTGCAATTGTTGGAACTGAGGTGAAACCTACCGGAAATGCAGAGGGGAGTGAGGTAGAGCCGGAGGTACTTCTTCGAGTACCGACCGATTTGGTACTGTCATTTGATTTTGTTGAGGAATACTCCAAATCGGATAGACAACTCCGCGAGGTATTAGAAGCTGTCGGGGACTTCGGAAGAGTAGGTCTATTTCCTCATTGTACTCCGATCTCGACCTAGCAGACACCATGTTTATGGCTTCTATGAGAGACGGATGAACTCGGGCTATTCCCATACTGATATGTACAGACAGCCAGGGGCGCCATATTAATCTTCCTTCTCGTCCAACTCACGCACTCTAGCCCAGATTATGCGAGTGAGCGGCATCAGATTGGACTATCGAGCCCTTGGACCGAATATATGAAGTACATGCCGTCTGCTATATCTTTACCTACTTTTTATAGTGAAGAGGAGCTGGAGCTTTTGCGCGGGTCCTCGTTGAGGTTGGCTGTGCATGCGAAGATTGCCTCTTTGGAGAAAGAATTCGAACACCTGCGTCAAAGTACAGAGGGCTTAGACTGGTGTGATAAGTATTGGTGGGACGAGGATACGGGGAAGCTGACGTTCAACGATTGGAAATATGTCGATGCATTGTACCGGTCACGCATGGTAGATCTGCCTCGGCATGGACATGCAATGGTTCCGTGTATTGATATGGCAAACCATGCGTCTGAGGGGACAGTCAAGGCGTTGTATGACGAGGATGCCGACGGGAATGCTGTGTTGCAGCTGCGGGAGGGACGGAGCTTGCGGGCTGATGAGGAGGTTACGATCTCGTAAGTATTTATCTTGACTACTACTTGTTGGTTGGATCTGCTCAAGTTGATGGTATAAAGGTATGGCGACGAAAAGTCTGCCTCAGAATTGATCTTCTCATATGGATTCCTCGACGAGCATACCACGGACGCAAAGCAGATCTTCCTTGACCTGGACATCCCAGATGACGATCCCTTGAAGATAGCAAAGAAAGCATTCTGCAAAGATACACCAGGAGTCAAGATATTAGCTACTTCCCCCGACAGCTCAGAAACAGTCGCAGCAACAACCTGGGACAGCCCCATCATCTGGTGGGCATGCGTAAACGAGGAGGACGGGCTGGACTTCAACGTTCTTCAAACCAACGACGGCGGCAGGGAACTTAAAGCCATTTGGAACGGGCAAGAAGTGAGCGACCCCGGCTGTCTCAGGGACCTCCTAGCCGCAGATCCCCGTTGGGATATCTACCAGCTTCGTGCGGCGGTGCTCATCCTCGAGCGACTGGAGACCCAATTCTTCGTGCTCCGCCAAACCGACATGATGATTAGTGAGATCCGCGAGAACGAAGACATGCGTGCTGTTTTCGACCCGTATGTGTTTCAGACAATCTTAAGGTTACGAGAGCTGGAGTCCAAGCTTATGGAACAGGCAATCGAGGACCTCGTTAACCAGGTGCGTTGTGTGATAGTCCCGTCTCTCCCCGTTCGCTACCCCCTTACCCCATATCGTTAACCCCACACAAAATATCAAACATAACCAAAAGATACTAATTGTCGATCCTTCAAACAACAGCGGGAAACTCTCATGTCAAGCCCCGCAGTCAGCGCCTACCTGACGCAACAATCAGGGGACATCGAAGAGGATTTCTCTTGAAAGTGAACTACGATCTTAAAAGTAACACCCACTTGCTTACATCTAGTCTAGCTAGTTAGACATCTCGAACCCACTATAGCTATGAAACAATCTAGCCAAACCAAAAAAAATCCCACCATCCGTCATCCGACCCTAATTAGTCGATAACTAACGAGTATTAACTAGAATAGTCTCTGACTAACTAACTTTTCAGTACATCCCCCCTCTATCTACCTGCAACCAACCACTTAAACCAGACAAAAGACACCCCAACCCCATGCATGCCGATCCTTCATCAAAAGTCCTATGTAGTAACTGGTTATAGTTTAAGTAATCTCGTATCAAACCCACTTAATACCCAACTCGTAACAACAGTAAAATAAACCTAACCATGGCCACAAAAACGTGGAGGTACCAGTATTCCAAGCGCCCCCCCGGAAGATCTGAGTTTGAGTGTCTTACCCACCGCGGGGTAAGCGATCCTTCCAAACGAGAGCGGCGGTTGGTTGGAAGAACTGACGAGAGAAGGATTTGGTAAACTCTAATACGATTTCTGGGCAAATGCCATTTGGTAACTAGTGAGAGGAGGGGAGTTGCTGAAGGATTGGCACGAGACTATTTATTTTAAATGAGTTAGTTGGACCAAATCGGGGGTTTAACACAGTAATTATGGGATTTGCTGTATTGATGACGTTTGCGGTGATTCATACTGGGGTTGCCAAGGGTTGCTTCAGCTGAGATACTGATTGGTAATTATTAGTGGTAAGTAGAGTTAGGTTTGGGGGGGCGCCGATGTCGCTGAGGTGGATGTCTACTATGTCTAGTACTGACTGAGATGGTTGAGTTGGTGTGTTGGTAAGATAATACAATAAGTTCACCTGAGGGATTCGGTGCTGCAGCCCTGTGGTATCCAACTAGACATCGAGCGGATAATTTTGGCGTGTTTTGGGTTTAATGAGTAGGAGTACTCACGTAAGAAGTTCTCAAGTACATACTAGGTACATACTAGTTACAGAGGGATGTGAGGTTGGATCTCAGCTCGTGGGGCCAGATTGATGCACGCTACAGCTACGGTCCGCCATGATCGACTGCTAGAGGCCAGGAGACCCTGGCTAAAGAGAAGGTGGTCCAGCCAGCCAGTCAGCCGGCCAACCTTCTGGCCCTGGGAGGATACATCGAGTGAGATATGCATGGTAGTTGCAGAAGGCCGAACTATCGACCAATGTGAATGCCAGACCGGTTGATTAACTGGCCCCAGAGCAGAGCTGACTAGTCAAAAATGGTCTTGCCTCAGGTATTCATCGCACCCATTTTAAAAATATCTGGGACAATAACAGTGGGCGAATCAAATCCCCCTTCCAGGCTTCAGTCATTGATGGTCCATGGATTTCCGCCTCCACCTCTGTGTTTTCTCGGCAAACGCTCGGCGCACGACCAACTTTCACCGAGCCACGGTCAACATAATCGAAAAAAAGCGCTCGGAGTACCCAGGACATATTATATTAATGAATGATAACCACTAGTCGCTGATAAGTTGTCGGATATCCCCGCCGGGCAGGGCGAGATAAAAAAAAAGTAATTAGAAAGAAGAAAAGAAAATTGCAGCTGAAGACCTTTATATGAGTGATATTGAATCCTCTAGGCGTTTCTCCACTGGGAATAAGCAGGCTCGATCCCGATCAGGCCTCGTGCCATTCGATCAATGGGAATACGAGCATAATAATCCAGAATCCAGAATCAGAAGCGCTTACTCTCCGCAATCTTCCAGCCGCGAACGCCGGGGGGAGATCAGTGGCGACACCGCATCAGGCAGTTCATATTCAGACCCAGGGGACGAGGCCCTGACTCAAACGGGAATGGTTCGGCAAACGCTCGGATTCCCCACCCTTGTTGGGCTGGAATTGGAGGCCAGGTTTGGTTTTCCATTGGAGACAATGGTGAGAGCACAGATCTGCGTTGCAGTTGCATGGAGAAAAATTCATCATCGGCATCATAGTCAACCTGTCTTTTCTCAGAAGCGCAGAAATGAAAAGAAAGGAGAAAACTGAGAACTGAAGATCGCTTGTGGATGAATACGTAACCTGTGTCTAAATTGCCTCCATTCACAATGTCACTTGGTAAATCAAGCGTCTGGGTGCCAGTTGGGTTCCGAATCGCGGGGAGGAGGAGGTGTTTGTTGTCCAACCACGGAAGAGAAGTGGTAATATTAGAGTCTGATGGTCTGGACAGTTGGCAAGATTGATCTCCATCGGGTCCCCATCCACTCCCACATTTGTCGGACCGCGAGCCCGGTGGAAACCGGCAAAGCTTTGCTGGCTCGGAATGCTCTGATCTTCAAGAGCCGGACCGCACTTGCGTTCTGCTAGTGTCGGTTTTGTCTGGTTCATCTACATACTAGTCATCGTGCATTCTCCATACTCACCCCGATAATCCGTGCTTGGAGGGGGAAAAGATTGCAACCATGGGCCTTGGCAACCAGCCGTGACGATATGATTAGATATGGTGATAGACGGGACGGACAACCTTGATAATACGAGAACCATCCTTGATCATAGTATCTGACTGGTTGCGTGTCTTTTGGCTCGCCAATCACTTGCCATTCTGGCACCCCTGTAAGGAGACTTAATGTAGGAATCTCCGGTGGAAAGAGGCCTTGATGCACCGGTACCATTAATCATACATTAGTGGCCGGCGCTGGTCGGAGCAGGTCTGCTGTGGACTTGCCTTTGGTGGAAGTTGTTCCTGCCGCCGCCTGTGCCGAGGCGTGGACGCGGGCGCCAGGGGCTGTCAGTGCCAACTTTTTTTCTTTTCTGATAAGGTGACAGCGAGGAGAATGATGCCGATGGAAAGGGCGTCATTTACAAACTACTTACTATCTACTACTAGTTCATAAATAAATTAATGCTGTTGTTACCTATTGGATACTACGTATCCTCTACTGAACACATAAGTACTCCTCGTTCTCCGATGCAATACTCCGCCTCGGCCCAGCTAGTCATATCTAGTATTTACCCGCGTAGCTAGGTAGACAGATACCAACTACTTACTACGCAGAGTAGTAGATGGAATGGCGAATCATGCAATGTAAGCCGGGGTTGAGACCAGTGCTGTGTGTCTCTTGATAGTATGTGCTGTTCTTCCCGTAGGTGGTTACACAGTCTGAATCAGCTGCTGTCAACCGACAAGTGCCGAGGAACGGGCGGGAGAGAGTTCACTCATTGTGAATAACCTCAGCGGCTCCAGACTTACCATACCGGTATTACTCCAACCCACGAAACCTTCCAAAGATTCCAGTCAACTTTTGGAAGCCCGCCGACTGTCGGCTGAGCGAATGAGCAAGTCCACAACGCGGATTGGCTGGCATCCCAACGCATGACCCACAATGAGCAGCCCCACCAGCCCCCCTTTTGAGCCGGTTCAGTCCTCAGGCCGCACCGCGGAACATTGGTTACCAGGCCTGATACCTTCGCCGTACTTACATCGAAAAGTTGCTGCTTCTGGTCGCTCTTCTTCTGCCCCGTCGGTCCTCTCCTCCATCCTCACCTACGCCTTACGTCCCATCTTGCCGCCACCACACACACTCTCTCGCTTTTCACCTTTTCCTCCCTTTCAAAAGTCCTTCAACCCCGCTATTATCCTCCGCTTACCTTAACTTCGAAACTACTCCGCCATCTCCACCTTCCTTCTTACACGGAGAGTTTCACCTAGGTTCTCCAGACCCATCTTAACTGGTGATCCGAAGGCGTTCGCATCAACTATAGTACTGAACGTCCTCGAGTGTACTGTCGAATTACTCCCCAAAGTCCGGTGCCAATCCGACCCAGTCCCAAGGCAGATGCGCCAAAGCATCCAGCCAACATGCCTGGAATTCTCCCGATGAAAGTGATCAAGGTCGGGAACGGCTCGCAGAGTCGTATCGCCCAGGCCTGTGATCGTTGCAGAAGCAAGAAGATCCGTTGCGACGGCGTCCGTCCCTGTTGTACACAATGCGCCAATGTCGGCTTCGAATGCAAAACCAGCGACAAGCTCAGTCGCCGTGCCTTCCCCCGTGGATACACCGAGTCGCTGGAGGAAAGAGTGCGCGCCCTGGAGTCCGAAGTTAGAGATCTCAAGAATTTACTGGACGAAAAGGATGAAAAGATAGATGTGCTCTCTCGCATTCATTCTTTCTCCCCTTCCTCGCGTCAGAGACCTAGTGTTGCAGCACCGTCGCCATCTGCGCCTGCAAGGTCCAACGCCCCCGATGTAGACGAGGGCGTAATTCAAATCCCACAATCGTTGCCGCCTACCGAGTCGACCTCGGCTGAGAGTACAGGAATATCCAGTACTCGTGGCTTTGTTGGTATGTTTAACCGTTCTTACCTGCACTCATAATGGGACTCACTTCACATAAACTTCGAATTAAATCGAAGCAGTCTGAGAGAGAAAGCATGTGGCTAACCCTGTTTAGATATCTTCACGAATAGACTCATAGAGCAGAACCGATTACCATCCAATGTCGCGATCAAGTCTTTGGCCACTCCCCCGGCCATCTCCCATTCCCGTGTCGACCAGGCTATTCGCACGGCGCCTCGGCTCGTATCCGATCAGCTCATCAACATCTTCTTCCAAGAATGGGCTCCTCTCTATCCGGTTGTTCACCGACCCACTATCCTCAAAGCTTATGAGCAATACCTTTCAGGCACCGAGTCTATGCAGGGCAGCAAGCACGACTTGGCACAACTGAATTTAATCTTCGGCATTGCCGCTCTTGCTTCAATGGTAAGCTTTAACCCTAATCCAGCCAGACCAGGTCGGGTATTCACTGGACTTTTGCAGTCGAGAACCAATCAGGACCCCACCTTTTTTGAAGACAATTGGTCTTCGATCCTCGAATCAATCGCAAGTGATATTTCTATTACAACAATGCAATGCTACGTGCTCGCTCAAATGTACTGCATGACGAAGGGCGATTACACAAGCCTCCTACGCTATCGGGGTCTTGCTGTCAGTCTGAGCCAACAGCTTAGACTACACCAGAGCCAGAAACGCTTCTCGTCGAATGCGCTTGTTGCCGAAACCCGAAAGAAGGTGTTCTGGTGCCAATATACTCTCGATCGGTGAGTGGGCCCCCTCTTAAGGCCTTTTCAAAGCGTATCTCCTCTAACCCATTGTCAGATTCACCGCCGCTTTGACGGGATTGCCTGTCCTGCTACGTGAAGAGGATATTAAGACTGAGTATCCTGAAGATATCGACGATGAAAATGTTACGGAAACGGGCTTCTTGCCCACTCTTCCTGGCGAGTCTACCCGGATCTCGAGTGCGATCGCGCTATTCGCCGGTTCGCGGGTGTTGAACAAGGTTTTGGAGGAAATCTATCCCTCTGACGGAGGGTATGATATTTCTCTGTCGAAGCTACGCTCGGTTGCAGAGCAATTGGATGATTGGGTGAAGGGCTTACCTGCTCACCTCCGCCTTGAGTTCTCTCAAGACAAGCCTAGCACCAATGTTACCAGTAGCCGGTCGCCACTTCTGGTAAGTAACCGAAAAGCAGGGTCTGACCATCACATGCGTTTACTGACTTCTTCCCAGTCCCTCGTCTATTACTTCATTCGTTCATTGATCCACCGCCCTGCGGTCTGCTTCGGCGAGGAGCACGTCCGATCGCCTTCTATCCTTACAGTTTCCGACTCAGCCAAGCATATTGTCCAGATTCTTCAATTGCTCGACGAGAGACGTCTCTGCCTCTCTGTGAGTATTAATCGGAAGGAGCTGGTTTTCGCCACAGGACTGGGTCTTCTTTGGCAAAGCATCGGTCTGAAGCGTGACAGCAAACTCGTCAAGGAGAGCCAAAAGTTACTCACCGCAGTCATCGATCAACTAGAGTCTGAGTCGTCATCCTCTGCCGCCGAGTTCAGCGCTTTGGCCAGTGTTTTTGTTTCCTTGAATAATAAGCACGTGGCGATTGGTAAGCCGCAGGACATGTCGCCGCCCTTGCAGAGACCTCTGAAGTCCCCGAAGAAGCAGCTGCAGTCGTGGAAATCGCGCTTGAGTGGATTGACCGGCTCAAACCACCACGAAACGCCAGATTCGCCATCTCGGAGGGCCACTATTTGCGGAGCGAGTCCTAATGCCGCTCAACGCCACATCAGGTCTTCCAGCTGGGCTAGCTTGCCACCGGACAACTTCCACGCGCTAGATGTGTCTACGAACAAGACAGTCTATCCTTCGTCTTCCGGCACGTACGATAGCAGTCATGTGCTTTCGAGCTCCGCACCCTCGGATCACCCGGGCGGACCGATCACGGTATCCGACTGGGAAGTAGTCCTGAGTGACATGGACCGCGGCTATTCGAACATCTTCACCGGGATCTACGGAGGAAGGGAGTGTGGTGAGGACAGCGGTCCCTTCGCTTCCCTCACGGCCGAGTTCGCCCACAAGGGGGATCCCATGGTAGCACCGTTATCAGCGCCACAAGCGGAGCTGCAAGGGTTGTCTCCCGAGGCATGGTCAGCAAGTAGCAATAGCGACGTGCCAGCCAATCAGGATCTCCCGGCACAGAGTGTCCTCAGCTACTCTGATGAAGGCAGTGCGGAAGACGGAGTGCCATACAACGACATGCGGCTGTCGCCGGAAGAGCAGGCCAATTTCTTGGGTTCGTTCCGGAATGTCATGATCCCAGCGGTGGAAGACGAAGTGGACGAGTTTGGGCTGATTAACGGCTGGGATCGACGACTGGCTGTCTGAGCTATAAAGCTCGGGACTACCGGTATTTCTCATGAACGCAATGACCTTAGGGTGTCGATGGAGTTTCATTTGTTTTCGGGATTGTAGGAGTGGAGCGAGAGGACTTCTATGTTTTTTCTTTTCTTTTTGTTTCTTCCGATACGTTTCGTTTGTGATACCTGGTCGGTGCAGGGAGTCTCGGTTTCCATTCGGCACTTACAAGAGTGTCTGTCGGGGGTCATGTCATGTCCCCTTGTCACTATAATGTTTGAGTATATATTGTGAATAATGGATTTTCAAGTATGTCTGTCTTTAGTAATCATATTCTTTTAAATCGGATGACTGCCGTCTCTTGCATTTCAGTTCAAATGATGTTTACTGCCCTGAGTCCAGGCTTTAGACGATGCTAGCCAGTGCTTGCTCTCCCAGCCAGGTTACCAAATAGTCAGTTGTAGTTGAGACTCACATGAATCAGATCACATGCACCTGCCAAGACAGAGTATGGCCATCCCTCACATGCTTATAGGGCAGCGCATAGTAGGATTACTTGCCCGCTTCAAATCAGATGCATTGTGACTGCAACGACCGAACAGAGCGAGCCTACCACTACTAAAGTATTCACACATGCCTCTCACAGCCCCATCCATCCGAGCCAAAAGTCCCGAGCGCATACCCCGAACGGCACGCGGATTAGACAAATTAGGGAAGCCGTTCGATCTGAGCGGCCATAAAAGTTGCAAGCTAATTAGCTTAGCTAGCTAGAACCACCTAGTAGTCGAAGTACGCCCGGAAATAAGTAACAACGTTTCAGTCGGTGACTGCACATCTCTAGCTGCATGAGATGATTTTCTAGTTGCAACAAGAACTGACATGGGCCTACTACTTACTAACTACTTACCACAGTGGAATAGTCATCGCTATGCCTTTTGACTGTTTTACTGTAACACACCTACTGACCTGCCTGGGATGGAAAGGGCATCGGAAATGCACACCTCCGAGAGCAAAGCAAAGAGAAGAAAATTTCTGCTGTGATGCGTGATCGATAATTGCCGCGCGTTGTTGCTTCATAATCAATCATTTGACTTGCTGAATAGTTATTTAGGAGATATGTGCTCCGAAAGCTAGACTAGATACAATGTGGTGGTTGTGGTTATTGATGGAGACTGGGGCTGGAATCCGGACTCCGTAAAGCGTAGGAAGGAAAAGAAAAGCGGAGTGAGTGCCTGCCTGCCTTATCCCCCGTTGGCGGAGCAGCGTCCTCCGGGACCCAGCGGACAGAAACACACGGGGTTACTAATGGGGCTCGTTTGTCTGAATAATGTTCGGAGAATTGCTGAGTTGGGGAAGGACCGCTAATTCTGTCATTTCTGGCTTGAAAATTGGTGGTTGATTACTATTGCTATAGAAACTAGTAGGAGAGGTAAGGTCAATGGCCGGCGGGGGAGTTATTTGGTAGAAATTGAGCATGTTATTTGAGTTGTAGGGCCAACTCAGAGATCTGCGTCGTTCGATATGACAGGTAAGACGTGTTATTATCTAGACAATTGGCTGAGGGGAGGAAAGTGGGAAGTATCAATGCACTCTGTCCCTGCAATTATCATGTATGTAATGGTTGTGAGAGGGAGGGGGGAGCTTCCTGGTGGCGTTTCGGAGGGATACTTCCAGGCCTCTCGTATAACTGGCAGCAGACTGGATAATAGCGAACAATCCCGAGCTCTTGCTACGCTTCGTCAATTTACTAGTCTAATATAGATAGGCTAACAATATCAAAATTGTTCTCTGTAGCTTGACAGTACTTCTGTTGAGAGCTGGAAAGGTTGCATTGAATTCCGGAGGGACCGCAGCTTGCCTGAGGCAGCGGGGGAGGGGCACATCGTGCATAACATCATCATCAAGTATACTACCTTGAGGACCTCGACAGCTTCCCCCAAGCCCCATGCCAACATCATATTCCGTTCACATCCTCCAGCTTTAGATCAAGTACCGCCCAAGGTCAGTCAATTGCCTGGCAATAGCCGACCAAGAAACGAAGGAGTAGAAAAGAATAGCCGTGGCCAGCGAGTTGTAACCCCCTCCGAGCAGCCGGTGAAAGAGTTGGTGCCCCACCACAGACATCATTGCCCCCCCACCTTCCCTTTCTCACCCTCTCGTTGCTGGTCGCTGCTTCCCATCCCACTCCGCCCGCCTGGCTGGCTCGCTTTTCCTCGCCCATTCCCCCTTCCTTGTCATCCTTTCTTCTCCTTCTCTCTTCTCTCTCTCCTTCTCCTTCTTCTTCTCCTCTCTCAGTCATCTTTTCCCCTCTTCATCTCGTGGTGGTCTTCCCATTTGTGTTGATTGTTTGTTGGATCATCCCGCTCAGATCCCACTAGAAGTAAAAAACAAGAACTTGGTTGGATTTAAATAGTATGGCCCCTCCCCTCATTTCTTCCCCAACAACTTTCACTGCCCCCCATTCAACCTCCCTCTAACCTTTCAACTCCTTCTCTAGACACAGCAATCATGGGTTACAACGACGTGGACCAATTGGCCATCAACACCATCCGCACTCTCGCGGTAGGCAACTCTTGCTCCCATTCTCTTTGCTTCTATTCCACTCCCATCCGATTCCGGTGTGACGGAGAGCTTCTCTAGAGCTCCGGCACCGGAAGGCCATCCCTGGTATCACGGGGACTCCGCGGAGCACAGTCTCCCACACTGAGGATCGGCTTTTTTGTAGCTGCTATCTCCTCGGAGCTCCTTGTTTTACTAGCTACGGATTGCGGAGTGGTCATATCTATCAGAACTATCACTCTTAGTCAACTTTGAAGCTAATCCTCCTCTAGGTTGATGCCACCTTCAAGGCCAACTCCGGTCACCCCGGTGCCCCTATGGGCATGGCCCCCGTGTCCCACGTCCTTTTCAACAAGTTCATGAGCTTCAACCCCCAAAATCCCGACTGGGCCAACCGTGACCGCTTCGTTCTCTCGTAAGCTTCAACTGGCAATCTTTGTGTCCAGGTGATCGTTTCACTAACTTTCTTCCCCAGCAACGGCCACGGCTGCATGCTCCAATATGCTCTCCTTCACCTTTTCGGCTACCAGGTCTCCATGGATGACCTGAAGTCCTTCAGAGTATGTATCCGCTGAGGGTTTCTGCGAGAGCCATTGTAGACATGTCCTAACTATCATGCTCGTGTAGCAACTCGACAGCATCACCCCCGGTCACCCCGAGGCTCACGACACCCCCGGTGTTGAGGTCACCACTGGTCCCCTGGGCCAGGGTTTCGCCAACGCCGTTGGTCTTGCTATTGCCGAGCGTCACTCCGCTGCTGTCTTCAACAAGCCCGGCTACACCCTCTTCAACAACTACACATACTGCTTCTTCGGTGATGGCTGCGCCATGGAGGGTATTGCCAGCGAGGCCGCCTCCATGGCTGGTCACCTGAAGCTCGGTAACCTCATTGCTATCTACGACGACAACGGAATCTCCATCGGTAAGCTTCATTCATCACCCCCTTTTCCTCATTATCACAGCTATACTAACGAGGGCTTGTTTTGCAGACGGTGACACCAAGTGCGCCTTCACTGAGGATGTTATGAAGCGTTTTGAGGCCTACGGCTGGCACACCGAGTACGTCAAGGACGGTGACAACGACCTCGAGGGCATTGAGGCTGCTATCAAGAAGTGCCAGGCTGTCACTGACAAGCCCTCCGTCATTCGTCTGACTACTACCATCGGTTTCGGTTCCAAGCTCCAGGGTACTGGCGGTGTCCACGGTAACCCCCTGAAGGCTGACGACTGCGAGGGTGTCAAGCAGCTCTTCGGCTTCGACCCCAAGCAGACCTTCGTCGTTCCCCAGCAGGTCTACGACCTCTACCACAAGCACGCCGCTGAGGGTGCTGCTAAGGAGCAGGAGTGGAACCAGCTCCTCCAGAAGTACGCTTCCGAGTACCCCAAGGAGCACGCTGAGCTCACCCGCCGTCTCTCCGGCAAGCTTGCCGAGGGCTGGGAGAAGAGCCTGCCCGTCTACAAGCCCACCGACGCTGCCGTTGCTACCCGTAAGCTCTCCGAGGCTGTCCTCGAGAAGATCCACGATGTCGTCCCCGAGCTTCTGTCCGGCTCTGCCGACTTGACTGGCTCCAACAACACCCGCTGGAAGAACGCCGTTGACTTCCAGCCCCCCGAGTACAACATCGGTGACTGGTCCGGCCGCTACCTCCGCTACGGTGTCCGTGAGCACGCCATGGCCGCCGTCATGAACGGTCTTGCCGCCTACGGCACCGTCATCCCCGCTGGTGGTACCTTCCTGAACTTCGTCTCCTACGCCGCCGGTGCTGTCCGTCTGTCGGCCCTCTCCCGTGTCCGCACCATCTACGTTGCCACCCACGACTCCATCGGTCTGGGTGAGGACGGTCCTACTCACCAGCCCATTGAGACTCTGGCTCACTTCCGTGCTCTGCCCAACTGCATGGTCTGGCGCCCTGCTGACGGCAACGAGACCAGCGCTGCCTACTACTCTGCTCTGACCTCCAAGCACACCCCCAGCATTCTGGCCCTCACCCGTCAGAACCTGCCCCAGCTCGAGGCTTCCACCATCGAGAAGGCCCTCAAGGGTGCCTACGTTGCCCTCGAGGCCCCCGACGCTGCCGTCACCCTCATCTCCACCGGTTCCGAGGTCAGCATCTGTATCGAGGCTGCCACCTACCTCAAGGAGAAGCACGGCATCGCTGCCCGCGTTGTCTCCGTTCCTTGCTTCGAGGTCTTCGATGCCCAGGACAAGGCCTACAAGCTCCAGGTCCTCCCCGACAACATCCCCGTCCTCTCCGTCGAGGCTCTCACCACCATGGGCTGGGAGCGCTACGCTCACGAGCAGTTCGGTCTCAACCGCTTCGGTGCCTCTGGCCCCTACAAGGATGTCTACAAGGTAAGCTACAAAATATGTCCACCTCTTTAAATAGCTGCATATGCTAATTCACTTCACTGCAGAAATTCGAGTTCACTCCTGAGGGCATTAGCAAGCGCGCTGTCGCCACCATCGACTTCTACAAGGGTCACACCGTGCGCTCCCCCATCAACCGTGCTTTCCAGCAGATTCTGTAAACGTCTTGCGGTAGCATCGTGATGGTTTGTACTGATTCATGTTTATGAGTATCTGGGACGATGTTGATCCCTGTGGGCAATGATACCCCGGGAGAAGTCCTATTTTAACGACTTTTTCTTTGAAGATAAAAATATATGCAATCTGTTTCATTCAATCTCTTGGTCTATAATCGTTCTAGTTTTCTTTGGGTAGATTTAGAGGGGAATTGGTCTATGACGGGAGAATACTATCACCAGTTTTGGCTTTCAAATTGGACTTGGCCAACCTGCACTGGCAGCAACACCGAACTAAGCACGTAAATATAAAATTTGCTTACGGGATAGTCATATCTTGTCCACTTATCCAAAGCGGATATTGGCTAGTATAGTTTCTTAGGAAGATCCTTTCGGAGTGCATCTCACGCTTCAAGCCATGTGAAGCATCGGGGGGATATTATGAGGAAGCAGCAGAAATCTTTTGTTATATTCGTCATCGTCAGATCATCATCGATTATCAGCCGCCGTGGGGCCTCGAAACGGAGGAGGCCACCACCCAAAGTATTAGAACGACAAAACTTCAGATAGTCTAAGCATCCAGAGCCTTGCGGGCGAAGTTGGGGAGAACGAAGCTGGCACGGTGGATGTCCTGGTTGTAGTAGCGGCAGAGCTTCTCCTCCTCCTCACGGGTCCAGCTGCGAACGGGCTCCTTGACGTTACGAGTGGCATCCTTGCAGCAGACCATGAAGCCGATCTGGCCGGAGGGGTAGGTGGGGATGGTGGTGTAGGCGTATTCGGCAACGGGGAAAACCTCCTTGCAGGCCTTCTTGAGGTCGGTGATCAGAGACAGGTGCAGCCATTGGTTCTCGGCTGTATGGGTAGAAAACACGAACCCAAACCGATCCCGGGTTAGGGGTCGGGTGGTTTGGGGCGTAACAAGGTTAGCTTCATAGTTCGCGACGAGAAAATACAAATAACACAAATAGTACGTAGAGATTAGGGGGGATATAGAGGAGTCAAGGAGGGGAGAGAGAAGTAAGATGTAAAGGGCAAGAAGGGATTAATGAAAGGCGACGAACAACCTTGTGTGGTGATGACACCTCCCTCACGGAGCGCATCGCGCAGAAGCTCGAAGTAGGGCTTCTGGAAGAGGCTCTCAGCGGGACCCTCGGGGTCAGAGCTGTCAGTGATGATAACATCGAACTCGTTCTGGCGCTCCTTGAGGAACTGGAAACCATCGCCAACGTGGACCTTGACGTTGGGGTGCTGGAAGCCAATGCTCATGCCAGGAAGGTACTTCTTGGAGACACGGATGACAGCCTAAGAAACCATGAGCCACATATTCACATACACAGCAAGAGCACACGGGGATTTCTTTTTGCTATTTTACCTCATCAATGTCGCACAGGGTAGCCTCCTCGACGGTCTCGTGCTTGACGACCTCACGGAGGACACCACCATCACCACCACCGATGACCAGGACCTTCTTGGGGTTGGGGTGGGAGTTCATGGCGAGGTGGGTGATCATCTCCTGGTAGCTATGGTCATATAACGTTAGCGCCAATGGTGCTTCCGGGTATAAATAGCTCGTGGTAAGAATTTCAACATACGAGAACTCATCGCGCTCAGTGCACTGGATGACATTGTCGAGGACGAGGACGGTGCCGTAGTCGCTGCTCTCGAAAACAAGAACATCCTGGTACTTGGACTTCTCGTGGTGGAGGATCTGGTTAACCTTAAGGTTCATGGCCTGGCCGGGCCACATGTCAGACTGCTCGGAGAACCAGCCATCTGCAGAAAATGGGAAGGACCAATGTTAGCGAGGGGTAAATTTCGTAAGAGGGGTAGCAAGTGGAATGACATCGTCTTGGGGCGAGATTGCGCTCATTGAGGCGTCATAAGCGGGCATTGATCCATTGAACAGATCTGGAGAGTAGGTTTGGGGATTGAGAAGAGAACAGGAGGTGGGGTAAACAGCGAGGTGATGGAGGGGTGGTGGATGGTGCGGATAAGGGAAATACTACATACCCTTGATGGTGGGGTGAGTGATGTCGCTCATGGTGATGGAGTGGTGGAAAGGACGGAAAAGACGAAGGTGAGGACGAGGACGGAGAGCAGACAGCGAAGAAGCAGCTGAGGGGAGACGAAAGAGAAGAGAGGAAGAGGAAGAGAGAGAGGAGGAAGGAGGAGAGAAGGAAAGCGAAAGGAAAGAAGCGACGAGAGACGAACGCATGCGGAGTGGGGGAAAAGGTGAAAACCAGAAACAGAAAAATTGTATGTACGGCTGGTGACCAGTGGTAATTTATCACCGGCGATGGCGGCCAGTCAGGTGGGGTTTTCTCTCTTTTGTCGCCTGTTTCGGTAATTTTCTCTTCTGGCCGATGGGTTTGGTTGCCGTATTGCTGGTATGGTATGGCCTGTCTGTAACATTAAGAGTAATAGCATCCACTTCAACTTGCCTCAAAAGAGTCTTTCTTTTCCTTATCTTGATCAAGAATTTCACGATACTCCTAATGGACAATGGACACTTGCGTAACTCAATTGGTCAACTCGCATTGTACTCCATCCAATCGTCTGGGCAATTGTGGTCCATCACGATGCGTAGTATCACGGCCAAGGCCATCCATCATCCCCATCCTGTACCACAATCATCACATTCGGGCATTCGGGCAGCACTCCTTCAACATCCCAATTATCTAAAGGGAAATCGTATGGCCAATTGACCTGCCCAGGAAGCGTGGGATACTTCCCGCGCTGGGAAAAAAAAAGGCTCAAACAATAGCCGCCGGTGATTGGCAGAACTACACTACGGGTTGGCTTCAAGCGGGTGTGGAATCCCTCCGGCCTATACGATGCCGCCCATTCTTGATTACAGATGCACCCCACGCGCGGTCAAGGCAACCAAAAACATTGCAACATACTCGATTGCTTCTAGTTACTGTACAGTGCAATCACACATCCAGCCCTTTCATATTGCCCAATGTCATCCCTTTCTTCCAAACATTCTCCGAGCTGGCACGTTACATTTACTCTTCACCACCCTCGAGAAGGCGGCCAGGCTTGGAGTTGAGGTACTCGTTCCTACAAGCAAGTCTAAGCGTCAGCTCTGGGGCAATCAATTGTACCGGAAACGTGTGTAATATAGGCCTTCATGTCCGCAGGTAAGGGGGAGGCATACCTCTCAACAGCCCAGTTCATGATGGCGTAGGCGGCAATGAAGGGAGGAGCGACGTAGAGGACCTGGTGTCTGAATCTGCGGAAAACGTTGAAGATGGCGGCGTGACCGGCACCAGCAAGAGGGCGCTGACGGTTAGGGGACATGGAGTAGGAGGTCACACGCTGGGGAGTAGGGCATCCTAGATGGGGCAAAGACATGCCATGTCAGCAAGGGTTCCGAAACGCAATTGCACATGCTGTCGTCTTTTATTGAAGCAGTGATTCGTCGGCAGTGCAGGCCCATAATCGAGTAACAAGCCCGGTGGCCCGATGTTGCTGACAGTCGAAAGGCTTCGCAGACAGCCAAATCAAGTTGATATTGTAGACATACCGAGATCACCCCACCAGCCGAGGAAGCTAAAAGAAACCACAAATTAGCCATCATGATTATCCAATATGCTACGACTCAACAAGAACCGGAGCCATTCGGGGTAGGGGACATGGGTAGATATCTCATCGCAGACGAGGCCGCATGGTACCCTTTCCCCCGGAAAAGCTAGGGAGCGGACAAGACGAGACAATGGGGCAAAAATACTCACACTCCATTCTTAGGATCGAGATGGCCACCCATTGTGAAGATATGCGAGGAGAATCAGCGACGAAAAGCGCGATGTGGGGAGTGAGAGATGAGGCGTGAGAGGAGAGAGAGAGAAGTCGTCGTCGGTGACCTTCGGACCAAAACGGACGAAAGTCGAAGTTGGAAGTTCAAACCACCGCCCAGCGCTAATCCGTTTCGGGACAGCATGCGAAAAGCCTCGACATCATCTCCAGCCAAACTCCCGCCCGCCTGATAATTACGGTCGTTTCTCTGTCGCTGCTGAAGTCCCCGTCCCCTCGCTCATCAATCTATCACCATGTCTACCTTCCTCCAGCAGATCTACCGCCTCGCGGTTCCCATCTCGGCGGGAGTCTACATCTTCAACTCCTCCATTTACGATGTTCGTGGTGGTACCCGCGCTGTCATCTTCGACCGATTGTCCGGAGTGCAGGAGAAGGTCATGAACGAGGGCACACACTTCCTCATCCCTTGGTTGCAGCGAGCTATTATCTATGATGTTCGCACCAAGCCCCGCAACATTTCCACCACCACGGGTAGTAAGGACTTGCAGATGGTCAGCTTGACTCTGCGTGTGCTGCACCGTCCTGAGGTCCCGAAGCTGCCGGCCATCTACCAGGTAAGATGCCTGTGCCCTTTTTATACCCGACTCTGAGTCCATTCCCTCTAACCATGCCTCTCCCAAATAGTCCTACGGTATCGACTACGATGAGCGTGTGCTCCCATCCATCGGAAACGAAGTTCTCAAAGCCATTGTCGCTCAGTTCGATGCCGCCGAACTGATCACCCAGCGTGAAGCTGTCTCCAACCGCATCCGCACAGACCTCATGAAGAGAGCTTCTCAGTTCAACGTCGCCCTTGAGGACGTCTCCATTACCCACATGACCTTCGGAAAGGAATTCACCCGTGCCGTCGAGCAGAAGCAGATCGCCCAGCAGGACGCCGAGCGGGCCCGTTTCATTGTCGAGAGGGCCGAGCAGGAACGTCAGGCCAATGTCATCCGCGCCGAGGGTGAAGCCGAGAGTGCCGATATTATCAGCAAGGCTGTTGCCAAGGCGGGCAGCGGCTTGATTGAGATTCGTCGTATCGATGCCAGCAAGGAGATCGCGACGACGCTTGCCAACAACCCCAACGTCACGTATCTGCCTGGTAACGATGGCAAGGAAGGCGGAAAGAGCACTAGCCTCTTGCTGGGCTTGAGAAACTAGAAGGCGCTGTGGCTTGGTAAATGGAATTACGTGTATTTCTTATTTCTCTTTTCTTTGTTGTTTTCCTTCAACCGGATGGATCTCAGGCGTGCATGATCTCCGTGGCGAATTAATGTCGTTTGGTCTTCTTTCTTCATCACTTCCTCTCTTACACACCCTCTCGCACGCATGCACTCCTACACGCATGAACCTGTAGCAATATCATACCCATTCCTCTCTCAAATATGCCTCTACATATCTAAACCTTATAGCAGGTAACGAACACCACGACATAGACTCCACGACGGTAGGTATCATTGTAAACCATGAACAAAATGCAACCATACAAAAGAACACAAGGCACAGAGTATTAACTCTACTCCCCCACCCTCCGATAAACATGAACCTGAAACCTCATATCCTCCAGCCCAGCCCCCTCCCCAACATCATACCTCAACCTGGCCGCATTTCTCCTCCACCACCTCGAATCCTCCGACATCAACCGTTCCCACTTGCCCTCCGCCACCGACAGCAGCGTATGATCCAACAAGAACTTCATCGGATACTGTCTCTCCCGCACTTCCCCATCACCACCCTTGCCCAACTTCAGCGTCGAATAACTCCCGGGGCTATCCACCACAAGCAGCACCGTTCCAGGCCGCAACATATCCGTCATGCGCAACAAAAACCCTGTAGCCTTGGCCATAGATGTCGAGAACAGTTCATTCAAAGTGAACATCAACGTTACCAGGACAGTAGAGCATGATTCCGCTTCCTGCCGCGAGAATAATCCCTGAAGTTCCTTCTCCCCCGTGGAGAGAACATCTAGCTTCTCAAAGCCAACGCTGAAGCTGGGTGTCTTCTTTTCTTCGTCTTTGTTGGAGGGTAACAATGGAGCAGGATGCGACTTTGACCCTGTCACTGTGGGAGATTGAATAGCGGTGGATAAGCGCTCAACTACCTTTGACCAGTCTGCGATGTCTACCGCCGTGACGGAGAGGCCGGGGTAGGTGGTAGTAGTAGTAGTAGAAGTGGTGGTAGAAGTTGGTTGTTTTACTGCTTCTTTGCTACCTTCTTCTTCTTTCCCATCGTCCAAAGATACCGCCTCAACAGCATCTGCAATCTGATCCTCATCTCTTGCAGAAGAAAATCGTAGTTCAGCACCATCCAGAAAATCCCTCCACGCAGCCGCAAGCGCAACAATCTCAGCACCCGCGCCACCTCCAATACACACGACATTATTCGTAGAAGTAGTAGCAGCAGCAGCAGTATGGTCAGAAACAGGCTTAACCACCTCCCTCAACAGCGCGCGAAAGATGCCCGCATACCCCAACGCCCTGGACGAGCTCCACCGCAACGCATAAGCACGAAGCAAGTCCTCATTGGCATCTGTAAAAGCGGAGTCAAAGTCACGATTATACAAATGGGTTTTGATTGTCTGGATCAGACTTTTGATGTCTAGTTGCTGCTGTTCCTGCTGTTGCTCTGCTGAATCAGCAGTGGTGGCTCCGGATTCATCATTGTCGTTCTTCTTCGTCTCCTCCCGGTTATGGAGATAATTGTGCCCGTTTGTGAGCAAGGCAGTTTTGAACACATTTAGTAACAGTTGCTGGAGAGTCAGCGGGATGGTGGTGGAGAGGTTGAGGTGATCTTGATGATGGTTGGGTTCGGTTTTGCTGGTGTTTCGGCGCGGTTGTGTTTGTGAGGAAGAGGACAGCTTCTTTTTACTACTCTCCTTTTTGTTGGGTTTTTTGGATGTGTTGCTGGATCGAGGTGCCATTTTTGAAGAGGTTGTGGTTTTTGTGATTTATTTCTTACATTAATCGTTAGGATATGTTGTCTGAACTTAGTTAAGAATTTGGGGAATTTTCGGTTTCGCCATTGGGACGGGCCTGTGGGGCCCCGTGGTTGGATATATATCGTCACTCTACACACCAGTACTGGCCGCCAGACGGTGTTTGGCACTTAGTTTGGAGTATGTGCTTCAATTTGCAAGATGAGCATTGCTAATATTGAACTACAACCAATCGTTGCGTGCTACAGCTGCTGTACTGACATCATGAATCCCTACTAATATAATTGATACATGACACACTACAAGGGCTCGAAATGGTTACTGAGTAGACGCCATCAATTTGATGACGCAGAGTGTAGATTGAATTGTCTGTTAGCAGCTCATACTGTACGCATGTAGCTCTGCACGCTCAAAGTGGCAAAGATGCTTGCACTTCGTGATTTGAAAGACATGCACCTCCCAAGGAAGTCGAATAAAAAAGGACCCCATTTCAGAATCGCCAACAAAACCAGTGAGCCCGTGTAAGAAGAGTCTCGTGGAAAAAAGAATGACACAAAGATGGATGCCATAATGAATGCAAGAAAAAAGAAAGATAGATGAATGTGAAATCAAAAGAAGCTGAGAAAGAAGAAGAATGAAACAGTAGAAGGGCCCTGAAACATTAGATAGCGAACGGAGATGAAGGCATTGTTCACAACTGCAACCGGCCATGAACGAGAGACAAGAAAGGAATAAACAAGATAGAGCTTTCATACTCTTACGCTTAACCACATATCGATGAAAAAGAGATTCGTCAGTTACCACCCAACACGCAGAAAGGTGAACCGGTCCGAGTAAAAATCAAAAAGAAAAGAAGTAAAAGGGAGAAAGAAGAAGGGGAAATAAAGATGAAAAAAAGTAGATCTTGCAAAGACCACGTCAAGAGAATCATAAGGTTAGATATGTACAAGGGGCAGACAATGGTCTCAGCAGCGATGGCTCAAGAGGGCCGCTGATCCCGAACACCATGTTCATGACAGGACTTGTCCTTGTCTTTAATTCGCCAGAAGTGCATGAGACGGCTGATCCGAAGACCCTTCTTCTTGGCTCTTTCAGGCTCATCTTCCGGTGGCTTCTCTTCGTAGCTAAGCTTGCTCCGTTCTGCGTGGGGCCCAACAACCAGCTTGGAGAGACTGGCGAGACTGGATCTTTTAGAGCTGTTGGCTTGGCTGGTACGACGGCGCACAGCGGCAGAAAAAGACGCCGAACGATCAGTGGACAAGCGAGGGCGAGTGAAGAATGTGCCGGAGATCCGGTTCAATGTGTTTGTCGTCGTTGATGCACTGCTGGTCAGTGAGGGCACATCCTCAACTGAACCCTGAGGAAGATCCACCGAGGGATTGTATGAGGGGTTCGAAAAATTACGGTCGGTCGTGGACGAAGTCGTGACTGAGCGAGGAACGTCGGAAGACAGTGTGAAGTCGGGAGATGGGAAAGAAGAGTTTGGAAGAGAGTTGTTGCCTTGGAGAGACAATGGAGGAATATTGGGGGTCAGTTCCAGTGGGGTGGTAGTTCGGTCAGCAGGCATAAATCGAGGCGAGATGTCAGGACTCGGTGGAACAGGCTTATGTTGCCATTCCTGTCTGTCCGTCTCTGTCGAACTCTGCAGCTGAGCAGAGAAAGGGTTAGCCGCATTGTGGAATTGAGCGAGCGAGGTCTGCTTTGCGGTGAGCTTCTGCTCCTCCTGATCCGGACGGGTAGCAACAATGTCCGTGGCATCGTTCGGTTCGTCCTTCTGTATACCCAGACCAGCGTGAGGTAAATCGCCCTTGTTAGTTTCTTGAGCAAGCGGCTGGTGTGTCAGGGTATCAGAGCTGTCTTTGCTATCCGCAGATTGCCTATCTGCATCAGCCGTGTCGGATGTGGCCACCTGCGGCCCTGATTGCTCAACAGATTCCTGTTGAGCATCGCCGGTGGCAGCAAGAAAAGCATCCTCCTCTTCTTCGTACAGAACATCAGGGTTCTCCAAGGTTGAAGTGGTGACAAATCGGTTGCCACCGAGAAAGCTGCGATCAAAGGGGGGCATTTCCGGAGCGCTCTCTGCACGGCGATGATAGCGCATCTCCGGACCTATGAATTCACCCCGTCGTCCACCACTGTACATCCGCTTCGTTGCCGCCGAGAAACCGCTCTCTGCAACACGACTAGACCGCATATCAGGGGTATTGAATGGACCCAGAGCTGCATCAAGATCTATCACTGGACTAAAGGCATCATTCTGAGTATTCTGTTCGTAGAAGCTCCTTGGCTTCCAAGAGTTATCCAGGCTAGGTTGTAGCTCCTCCTCTGGAGGCAGGTGACTCGACTCCGGTGTAGCCGGGTTGGTGGGTGTTCGCAAGACGACGATGTTGTCATCATCGAAATCGACGTCCAAGCCCGAACCAAGATCCGAATTTGTCCTGGTTAATGCAGGGGGAGAGGCAGTGGACTTTGATATCGGCATGTCCTTCTTCGTATGCCGCTTATTTTTACCTCTTGTCAGAAGAGCGCCCGCCCAAGACCGCACTTTCTTCTGCCTTTTCTTGGCTTTCGATTTCTTTTTGCCTGACGGAGATTCCGACGATTCATTTGTCTCGCTTACCGAGGTATTCGAGCTGCTTTCTGAACCACTGGAAGAGGAAGAGGAACGACGCGATGAGCCTGCAAGATGCTCGAGAATCCCCGAGGACAAGCTTTTGCGATTACGCGAGTGGCCTGCCGCAGACAATGGCCGTTTCATGGGCGATGCATCGTCCACGTTGGCGGTCTTGCTCGGGTCTAGCATGAAGGATGCATCCGCAGTTCGAGGTCTTGGCCTTGACTTCTCAGCCTTAGGTTGTGTGTTGTCGACTGCAGGAGAAAAGCAAGTATAGCCGCTATTTCTAGCGGAAGCACCAAATCCTGGTGTTGCCGCCGGCTCAATTTCTTTCGACAAAATTTCGGCCGAGTGGCGTTCGGGCGTGGGAACATAGCTAGGAGTACCAGGTTCAGCAGGCTCTGAGTGGTCTTCCTCAATCACGATGGTAGGCGATACTGGAGGAGATCGCCGGGTCAGAATGGTTGCAGACTGAGAGACTGGCCTGGGAGGTTCATTAGAAGCATGGCCTTCGCGCGTTGTGTCTGCCGGAAAGCATGGAGCACTTCCAATGGGTGGTTTCAAGTCTAGCGCATTCGAGATAGCCGTGAGATCCACGCTGGATATAGCAGCCGAGCGGCGATGGGCATGACGGCGTTTTCCTTGACTACCCGCACTGAAGCCGGGCCCTGGAGCGGGGAGTTTGGCGGGTGCTGGCGCTAAGTTGTCATCCTTGCCTTGAGTGGCCTCGATGGACCCAGCCGGAATGATCGGATGTTCTCCACCAACGAACTCACTGCATCGTCTGCGGTGTCCAGCTGGCCTACCTGGGGAAAGAGAGGGCATCGATGGTTGTGACGAATGTTGAGCGCCCGGATTGTAAGAGAACGCTGGGAGCGGCAGAGCAGTCCTCGCACCGGTCTCCGATGACTTGGGTGTCTCATCGCTAGGATCCCGGGCTGGAAAGACGAAGTGTGGGTTTGGAAGCGGAGCAGACATTCTCAGATTGCGGCGGCTGTGACCCTCAGGAGACCGATCAGCTGAGGGAAGATATGGAGAGAATGCCGGACTAGCTTGTGGCTGTGGAGGAAGGGATATCGAAGCCATAACGATATGCCGGGTTGATCAAGAGGTCTGGATGATACCGATTAAACCTTGATGCAATAATGACTTGAATCACGCCGTAACAAGTGATGGACACAGTTGATGTGACCTCGACGACGCACGGGGACCTCCAGACCTTGGTGACTTCCCTACAATGATTGGAAAGCCCGGTGTTGTCTGGAGGCCTTCAGTTCTGCAATGGTACCATTGAATCCTCAAATCCAAACTCTCAATAGTCGCACCGAGAAAGAAGCGAGGTCCCGAGATCCGAGAAATACGAGCCGAAAGAATACAAGTCGAAGTATATTGTTGCAAAAAACGGTCTGAAACCCAAGATACAAGAAGCCTCCACAATCGCTTTTGTAACTGATCGAGTGGTCGAACAACGCTTTAAAACAAGGCGAATCGAATGAATGTATCGAAATCGAGGGAGTTAAGGTTAAGGTGTCGTACTGGTTGACGAAGGAGACTGATGTTGTTGTAAGGAGCGGACGGCCACGGGAACGGGCCAAGGAGAGGATGGGCGGAAGTGTCGGGAGAGGGCGAAGTGAAGTTGAGAGAGTGAAAGGTTGAGGTGAATAAAAAGGTATAGTAGTGAAGAGGAGAAAGAAGAAAGAAGTGGAGGGGAAGGAGGAAGAGGGAGGAGGAGAGACAGGAGGAGGAAGAGAGAGGAGAGAGAGAGAAAGAGGATCAACCTGGAAAAAGGAAAATGAAGTTGAAGGAAGGAGAGGAAAGGCTGAGGTGCAGCAAAAGGCTTGGTGGTGGAGGAGGAGGAGAGGAGACGGCGACGTATGGAGGGCGGCAGGGGATGATTGGCTGGGTGGCCGGAGGGGCCGCGCTCGTACCGTTCAGGTTGGTTTAGTACCAAATTATCCGTACCGCGTATTACCAGGGCCATCCGATCGCCCAGCGCTCCAGTCAGCATGCGGAGGCGTGACCACCGAACGATGCGCACCGGTAAAGTACGGGAGGCCAGTCAATTAATTCTGGCAGACCTATCGCTCTCTCGCTCCTCTCTCGCGCTCTCTCTCTGTCTCTCTTGTCTCGCACTAGCCCGCTTTCGAGGCACACTACTAATTAAAGGTGATAGTAATAGGCTCCATCGTAGCATTAAAATCCATTAATACTAGACTAGACTAGTCTGGCCAGCGCCTTCATGGGGAAATTGCATACTTCCAGTTAGTCAGGCCTGCGGAGTTCTCGGATGAATACGTGCCTACTAACTAACTAACTTGCTACTGCGCCTACGTACGTAGTACCCTGTCGATGAAGTCGCAATACTCCGAATCTGCAGGCTTCCTTATTTATTTTTTTTTCTCGGCTTCGGTACAAAATCCGGATGGTCTAGCGAAGCCAATAGGCTTTACTGTAGAAGAACAATGCGGGTGGCAGATCTAATGTAGTAGTTCTCGCACTTTCCCATCTACACTCAAATGTTCGTCTTGCATTTCTTCATATATAAGACGTCATAGTGTTTGATTGCTACCAAGTGCGAATACGGTGCGCATCCCTGGTTGAGCTTGAGACATAAGCCAGACATGGAGGACGAGAGAGAAAGTCAGAGCCAGTGCCAGAGCCAGAGGTCTCCACTTTCCCACTGCCACCTGTTCATGCCGTCCGTTGCAATCAGGGTTCTTGCAGGGCGGCAATTTGGCCATTATGGAGCATAATAATCCCGCTGATATTAACGATCCATCTCCATCCTGAATTGATGGCCCGTGAATGGCTTGATTGTGCCTCCGAGCTATATTAACTTGTCACCAGCATGACTGCAATATGCGACGGAGGGGGGGGACCACCATTATTGGGTCAAATTCCGGAGAAAACCTCCCCAGGCACCAGTAGACTAAATTGGCCGTACCTGAACGGGCGGCCAATCCGCAACGCGAACAGGGGCATCGAAATCTCGCTTGTCTCGGTGGGGAAAGACCGACCGCCACCCACTAGACGCTTTGGGCTAACTGCATTCGAGCTAGTTTAATTAGCGCCTGTGACTCCTTGCCCGTCGCGCCGAAAAAGCAAGACTAAATACGGAGTTTGTCGACTAGCCGTATCTAGTACTGACTCGTTACTGTCCTCGTACTCTTACTCTTACTCTTACTGATCTCCTTAGTTACTCGCAACCTTTTCTCTCTTACAGTACATCGATACCAAACTAATCAATTTAGCCAGCCAGCCAGCGATCCCTGCAATGGTTGACACGTCCCGACATCCCAGGAGGGGAAAAGCCATGCAACTGAAACATCCCGCATGGGAGTCAGAGACAACCAAGAATAGATATCTCCCAAACTTGTTGTGTTGTTGTTCTCCCGTCCCCCTGGTGATCCTCTCCATCATCTGCGACTTCATCCCATGATCGCATCATCATCCTCGGTTGTTGCGAGCCTGTTGAGCATCCTGACGAAACATCTTCCACATAAGATAGAACTGACTAACTGACTAACAAGGTAATAATGGTGGCTTACTGTAAAAAGTCATGGATACGATACGGGGCTTGGAGTACCTACGTAAGTCCGTAGCTACTTGATGAAGGCGGGCGCCAATTCTTCCCTCCCAGAGCGCGAGGCACATCACTTGCCTGTGCCCATAATCCTCCCCCTCCCCTCTCCTCCCCTCCCCTGATAAGTGATAGACCAATACTTTTGTCAGGATCACTACTAGCCACATGAGTCTGGCGGCACATGTCACGCCTATCATTGGCTGCCAAGAAACTGTTAGTGAGGGACTAGATATCGCCCATGTGTTCCAGTTCCAGTTTCAATGCGGTTCAGCCACGTCGACCGATCTTGGTTGCGGCCTTCTATTTCAGGAACGGCCCATTGCATAGTACTACGGGATACGCCGCTGAGAATCCCGGATAAGGTCATCATGAAAGAGGTACGGAGTACTACTAGTCATTGTAGAAGCGCCAAGTGACCCGTCGAATTGCTTACACCCCAGACGCAATTCAGCTCCCGTCGACTTCCCGCGCCTACTACGATAGAAAAGATGTTTCAGCTTCGCCATGTCGCGGTCTAGATAATTCGATAACTAGTAACCATCCCAGTAGTCTGACTTATTCCTTCTCCTGGGAAAAGACCGGCGATCCTGAGCTGGTCGGAGCGCCAATAGAAGGAGGAGCTGACGACAACTGAGTCATGGGACGCTTATAACTACTTTTTCATCAATCGCGACTCATCCGTACGATGGACAAGCAATTCTATCATCACGACATCATTCGAGCTGCCTGTGGCGTTGCCCAAGGTCACTAGGAGTATCTACTATCTCTCAGCGATGTTGTGCAGCCAGGGACATCTATCTATTGGCTGAAGGGAAAAGATTGATATGCCCGAACCGTCGACGTACATGCGGCCTAGCCGGAAACCAGACATGGCTGTCTGACTGGCACAGGGAGTCCGTCAGACCCGATAGACCGTCACCGGACAGGGACCGGGCATCTTGGGCTAGTCGAGTCTACTCATGGTTTGAAATGTTGTGCATCTAACCAACCGTATCCCATATTTGGGCTTATCTGCATAGACGACTACGGAGCACAGTAAGTAGAGATGTATCCCTCGTTCCTTATCGCTTTTGTTTTCGGAACACGCCTTGAATCCTCAGAGAGGTAATAATATTGGAACCAGTAGGTCGATCTTGGGTCGGGTTGGTATAAGGCACCGACTGACTGATCCCAAGTGAAACAACAAACATTCAAAAGCAGTATCATGCTTACTGTACCTATCTTACCGCCGTGTCCTCCTCCTCGTTTACGATACAATAATAAGGGATAGAAAACCCTTTCCCCAATAGTCAATTCCAATGCAAGGGTCGATGCCTACCTGTTCTTGCCAATTTACCCTCCGAGACTGACCCTCTTTCAGCCCTCCACCCGATCAGATCTGTCTTCCGGAAACCTTCCCCAGGCTGAACTCTTTCGTTCGTACTTGCCTTCAAGTCAATAGTGCCTCGACTCAGCCGCGCCGATCCATGGTTCACAGCGGATATCGCTCTCATGTTCCAGAAAATCCGGACCGAAGCCCTGGACTTAGCCACATTGAAAATCGATCGGTCCACTTTGCTTTCTCGTTCGTGGAGTCGAAAACTTTGTGTACAATGTGATGTCAGTAGGCTCGGGGGCGTTGCACCGCATATGCCATCATTGGCATCATGATCCACGGCGCGGAGTAAGCCTCCGTCCGAGGCTCCTCGATGAGTTTTGGTAGGCTGCTCGGCGGACGGATTTGGTAGACGGCAAAGCCGAATCCATTCCGATGAATCCGAAGTGGCTCAAATCGCCCTTTCCAGCGCCATTGTTCACCCCATTGGGTTTCGTCGCCACCCTATGACAGCGGCACCCAGAATACTTTTATGTATGCCTCGAGATTATGGCAATGAAGCTATACCTCCTTGGGAAAGGGGTAATGGCTGCTCTGATAATTGGCGGTCAGTTTCTGCCGGTCAACACAAACCCATCTTATGTCATCGCGAGCGGTGTCAGATGACCGTGTCTGCTTATCATATTCTCGTCCGACGATAGCAGCAATCTTCCTGTCAGTTGTCGTCCGGCAAGGTCACTAGGACGATTGAATCGCGTTGACTTTCATAAGATATCGCTCAAAATGGCCTCACAAGTTTCTGTATCTAGTCCGGCACCGAAACCGAAGATTGACCTTTCCAAGAAGCTCTCGGAACTTCGTGCGAGTAAAGCCAAGTCTCAGACGTCCTCCCGCGAACCTGCTCCAGTCACCCCGCCTCTCCCTAGTCCTCCGGACCTGTCCTCCCATCAATATGCGCGCCCTGTGCGTCGGATATTATCGAAGCAAGACCATGGTCTATTTCTCTCTTCCTCAACCCACACCTTGATCCTCGCCTTCATCTTCGGCCTCTCCGATTCAGTGCGGGGGCGGGCAACCACGGACATTGGCAGCCCTTCCCCCATAATCAACCAAATTCAGTCTATCGTACTTCAAATCCGATCGCTTCTCGAGACACACCCGTCACTTGACCAAGGCGGCTCGCGATTTGGTAACCCAGCTTTTCGCGATCTATTTGACGATGTCGCAGTACAAAGTGCGGCGTGGCACAAGGACATACTCGGGTTTCAAGACCAAGCTCTCATAGAAGAAGCTTCGACCTATCTGATCAATTCGCTTGGGTCGCGCGACCGACTAGATTACGGTTCAGGCCACGAATTGAACTTCATGATGTGGTTGCTGTGTCTACGACAGGTGCACATGTTCTCCGCCACGGACTTCCCTGCGATCGTCTTCCATGTATATGTTAGCTACATGAATCTCATGCGTGATATCCAGACCACGTACTACCTGGAACCTGCTGGATCACATGGAGTGTGGGGTCTCGACGATTACCATTTCCTGCCATTCCTTTTCGGTGCCTCCCAGCTTGTTGCACATCCCTACATCACGCCACTGGCAATCCACAACATGGTAGTTCTCGAGGAAGAAAGTGACAATTACATCTACCTAAATCAGGTGCGATGGGTGGATAGTGTGAAAACAGTGAAGGGATTACGGTGGCACAGTCCAATGTTGGATGACATATCAGGAGCCAAGAATTGGAGCAAAATCGAGAGTGGTATGAAAAAGATGTTTGCCAAGGAGGTTTTGGGCAAGTTACCAATTATGCAGCACTTTCTTTTCGGTAGCTTGTTGCCGGCGGCTCCAGGGATGAGGGAGATCACGGATGACATGGAAGATGACGAGCACGACGATGAGCATGGCCATGGCCACAACCATGCCGACCACACAGACTACTTTGGTGACTGCTGCGGAATCAAGGTACCCAGCACGATTGCAGCCGGGGCTGAAATGCGAAAGCGAGGAGGCGGATCCGGGCTGCGCCCGATTCCATTCGATTAATGTGCATATGTTACGATGGAGTTTTAGGGATGGGATAACTGGGTTACTGAGGCTGAACTTGACATGAGAATAGCAGGGCATCAGGGAAACAATTTCTAGATAATAAATTAATAAAGCAAAAAGGACAGGTTAATCATGATATCACTCCCTACTCTGACATTTCCTCATAGACTTAGACGCATAGTGCCAGACAGAGAATACCGTAGATGTAGGGCACACCATCATAGCTACGAGACAACCATCCACATTGAACCATAAACCAACATAGCAAATTCGAATCTTACCAAATTCGAAGATCTTGTTTCTCTTATAATTGATAACAATAGCTCAAAACTACATAGTCTCACCAACTCATTAGCCTAACCAACCATCAATACAAAATGACACAAGTCACCTGACCAACCCGCTTGAAGCAGCAACCGAAATCGCCATCCAGTAGTGGTATCCACCCATCCATCTCATCATCATCATTCATACCTCCCCATCGACCTAACCATGCACCACCATCTAACCCCCAACATAGAACAAAAATAAAGATAATCAACTATATCCAAAGAGAGGGGGGAAATGGCACCAAGCGAATACTCCACCCCCGGTGGAGGCGGCAAACTAAAACTGAAAGGCTCCAAGACGAGCAACGGTCGAATAGAGAAGAAAAAGAAGAAGAGCAGCAAGAAAGGCAATGCGGAGGAGAATGAACAGCAGAAGCAGCAGGAGCAGCAGCAACTTACAACAACAACAACATCAGCAACAGCGAGTGGTGCTGAAGAGGAACCTCGCGCTAATGAGCATGAATCATCATCAGCAGGGGCTGGGAAGACCGAAGCGGAGAGAAAGTATGAGGAGATGAGGAAGAAGAGGGTATGTATTGATTATGGTTTTTCTTTTGGTTCTAGTATTATATATTTCGGTTTATTGATGTCTGTCTCTCATGTATGGGGTTGATCTACGTGCTGCTTCACTAGAAAGCTCCCATTACATGGAAAATGAATTGATAAGGGGTCTATGTAACAGACGAAAAGATAAGCTAACAATTTTATACAGCTGCAAGAGCGCCTGAAACGAGAAGGGGTCAAAACTCACAAAGAGCGCGTCGAAGAATTAAACAAGTATCTGAGCAGACTAAGCGAGCATCACGACATGTATGTTTGTTTCTTTTCCACTCCACCCCTTTTCCCCCTGCTGCAGTTACTGGTTGGTAGGTGGTTACGGTTTTTTTCCCTTTGGCTGACTGTGTGCGTGGTAGGCCGAAAATTGGACCGGGCTAAAAGGAGTGTCCTCCCCCGTGGTACGGATCGGTGGCTATCGTATCACTTTGTTTCAGACTCATTATGTACTAGTCGTAGTAGTGGGTGGGTGCTTTTGCTTTTAGGGAAGGAAGGAGGGGGGAAATGGGAGGGGGTCGAGATCTTCTTGTTCTCTGTTGCAGGGATTCTAGGTGTCAGGTTGGTTTCAACCTATGGGAGTTCAGGCTTGTTGGTTGGAGAGGTCGTAAGAGTGTTCGGGCTACTACTATCATATGACGCTTGCTACGTTCTGCACGCTCAGTGGTCAGAGCAGCGGGATAGCTACCTGAGCTTACAGCTACGTGGGTAGCTAGCACACGACTAATCTCCGACCACGCTGGGATGATGGCTATTACGTGGGGATTTGGATTTATGAGTTCAATTGATGGAAGGTGTGGACAATATGCATATATACCTATGACCGCTTGGCTATGTGACACGCCAATGGAAATAGCAACCATTCACAAACGGGAAAAGGTCCATCAATTCTATCCAAACGCAACTGGAAGATGGTGATGTTGTCTAGTATCGGTTCGTTGCCAACAACCGCCCGCGGGGAGTTTATGGATGAACACGATCACATGGAAAAAGATAAGGAAATATGCAGCAAATAGATACTTAAAAATATAGCCGTCGAAACTCCAGAGCTGTGAACGCCAAACAAAACAATATCAACATCAAAACTCCCTCCCCAACCCAAGGTGGCGAACTGTCGCGGAAAGCGTTACTGGCCATGCAGTACTTGCTAATGCCGGCAATACGTGTGTGTGTATGTGTGACGTAGGAACACCGCGCTAATATGTATGAGGTTTGCGACGCAGCGAAATGTAGAAGAAGAAAGATCAAGGAGAAGATCACAGGAGGAAAATTAAGGTGAAGTCTCCAGGGATGGGATCTCATACGCCCTTAATGACGTGAGTCCGCTCACTGTTGAGCTTATCGGCATTGCGGGCGTGGGACTCCTTCTTGCAGTCCTCGAGACCAGTGCAGGCATGAGCCTCCAACATGCGATGCTTAGAGCAGTAGTGACCACTGCAGAAGCTGCAGTCTCCGACGATGCGTTGAGCGGCTTCCTTGCACTCCTTGAAGTTGCAGCGAGGCTTGCGGGGCGCCATGATGAAAGTGGTGGCGAGAGTGGGAGAAGAGGCGGTGTCAAGAGTAGATAGTAGCCGCCGGGGCAGCAATGACGATAGGCCGACTGGAAATGAGGTGCTTGTTCCCCGGGGAGAACTGGTAGTGACAGTGAAAGACGCTCAAATGGCAAAGTAGTAGTAGTAGTTTATGCAGTCCGAAAGAGAGGACTGGTTGAGCACACCAAGAGTGTCGGACGTTGCGGGTGACGTGGAGAGCAGTAGTCCGGTGAGGAGAAAGAGGAGGTGAGTGAGGAGTGGTGATAAGGAGGCAGGCAGATAAGGATGGCGGTCTATGGATATTGGAAGGGGACCGAAGATCGGAGTTCAAGGTAGCTTAGCTGGATAGCGTGACAGGGGGATACGATCGAAAGCAGAGCAGAAAGAAGTCCGGGCTCGCTGATGAAGCAAAAGATAGAAAAGGTAGAGAGGGAGGAAGAGAACAAAGGACGGAGGAGGAAGCGAATAAATAGGTGGCAGCGGCAAAAGCGCAGTGCAAAGTCAATTTATACGGAATGGAGGCCGATGGGGGATGGGGAGTCATGGATGACTTGCTGAGTCAAAGAACGGCGCTGCAATGCGCTGATCCAGCATCGCAGCAACCCGCACCGCGTTACAGAGAGGCGCCGATGGGCTTATTCTTAGCCCAGCGAACAGCCAGAAAAGGCCCTGCGGACGCTTGGGACTATTCCTCCGACGGGCAACGACGACGACGCCCGGTGGAGGCAAATCGGCCTGGTGGACCCAGAAGCTTCCAGGATTCTTTGGGTTTCGCTGGTTACTCTCTCCTTTCACAGCCATTCATCCCCATTCATTTCATTCATCCATCCATCTTCCTCTTCGGTTTCCTTACTCTGCAGTCTCTGGTTCCCTTCCTCTTTTGTTTTACGCCTTCGGGTTTGACGGCTATCGAGTTCGGTTCATCCTGCTGCTGCGTTGGCCGGATGCGCACGAGGTTCCCGTTCGGTACCCGGCAAAAGGTTCTTTCTCTCTTTGCCTTTCCTTTCCTCTTATTCAGGCTCCGAAGTTAGTAAGTGGTAGTATTGGTTAGTAGTAGTAGTTAGTAGTAGCAGTAGTTGGTTACTAAGTCACATAGCAGCAGATGGCAAGTCGCTGGTCACTGGCAAAGTTTAACATTCCACCGGACCAGGGGACTGAGAAGAAAAAAAGAAAAAGAAAAAAAATGAAAATGACTCTATACTTAATAATTAATTTAATGGCTAGAAAAATAGGAGAAGGCAAAGAAAAGAAAAAGTAAAAAAAATAAATAAAAAATAAAAAGAGAAAATAGATCAAAGGTCATACAAGAGCCGTTTTCCTACGTGTCCATCCATGCTCTAAACCAACGCATCATCATCAACTGGCCGTTTTACCCTTTTCATTTTACAACCACCACCACCACCAGCACCATCACACCCCCTTTCTTCTTCTCAGCATCATCATCAGGTCGATCAATCCTGTCTAAGCGAGGGCAACCATGTCCACATCAGCTGCTTCTATTCCTCACGAGCCTTTTCCAACGTATATATCGCTGCCAAAAGTCCCCTCCTCCACCTCTTACCCCCTCCTAACCCAAAAGGTCGGCCACGCTTACTAGTCTACTGACCCGTTCAACGTTGCCTTCCCTTCCCTTCTTCCCCCCCGGTTTTCCCAAACTATCCGGCCCAACAATGCATGCAAGCCTGGGCCCTCTCCCTCCCTCTTTCTTCCTTCCATCCAGGCACCACCACGAAGGAGAGGAGAAAGGGAGGAGGGAGGGGGGAACAGAAGATCCCTTCACGGATGTCTGTGCACGCCAGTGAAGCTGCATCCTGAGGGTCGTACTACAGTAGTAAAGTGCACACCCTCCTGATTATTATGATTTCCAACCTTGCCATCTTGTTTCCAACCTGGGTTCCCCATACCTGGAAACCTAACCTTTTACCAAACTCTCCTCAACTTCATCACGTGAGAACTCATACCTTGCAGCCAGCATCCATCCTGATGACTTTTATTTATTGATCTCTTTTCACAATCAGGATTTCTGGATCATCATCAAGATCAAGTGGTCCTTCCGTACATAGTGATGATCTCATCGTAATATCCTGGAAGGCTTTCGTTTCCTTCCTCGAATCATCATCAACATACTATCGATCTATCTAGTAGTACAGAGTAGAGCACGGGAACCAGGACGGAACCCTTACCGATTCTACGGAGTAACCCCGGTAAGTAGTTATGGTCTTATTATCAGCATGCACCTACCCTTGGGTTTGCAGATTCCATGGAGTGCATAAATAAGCACATTCGAATTTTAATCCCCAACAAAGCCCTTTTTTGTTTGTTTCACGCAGCTGATTACCAAATCATGAATGGTGCAGATGGAGCACAGCCGTGGCCTCCGCACAGATCCATAAGATAGCAAGCACTGCATCAGTATGTCGACGTAGGTGAGTAGTACAAAATACCTGAACTGATAATAAAATTAGTATCTAGTACCTAGATTCCACAACCCCCCCTCCTCTCTCTCCGCGACCAATTTACTGGTCATTTAATGCCTGCAGCTACGTAAGCACCATATGCATGTCCAGTCGAGACAGACACAGACCACAGACCGCAGACCGATGGAACGAAATGAACCAACCGCATCCAAGGACCCCATCCTCCATGTCTCGAGCGCAATTGTCCTATGGGCGGGGAGGAAAGGGAATGGGCCATCCTACTACCTACAGAAGTACTACTTCCTCTCTTTTTAATATCATTACTAGTCATCTAATCTAGCTAGTACTATCTACCCCGGTCCCCATACTACTCTGTACTGCCTAAGCACAGGCAAAAGTAGGTACCCAAGTGGATCATCGTCCAACCATAACGCTTATGCATTTGATTTTCTCCTACTGGTCAGTCCTCTTTCTATCCGACTGATTTTGTTTGCATACAAGGTCCCCCGTCCCCCCTCCTTTACCCTCCCAAAGGGAAGGATGAATAGGAACACTGCTTAATTAGCTACTCTTATTTCATCTACTACTTTCTTAATTAATCACTACACCTACTCGCCTAACCAGTAAAACAGGAGTTCAAAGGGTGCCTTGACTCTCTGCAGCTTGAATCCGAGGCTTTAAGGCACCTATTTCCTACTCACAGGAGTACCCTAAGCCATACTGCTACCCCCTTCACCTTTGGGCACGAACCTATGCCCTCTTCTTAGTAGTCGGATCTTACTTCCCCCGCCTCACTATCGCCAGTTCACACCCACCTACCCTCAAGTGAAACCATGCTGAGAATGCTAGAGGGAAAAAAATCCAAATCCAGCCATACATGGACGAGACTCGGCTAGACTAGATCAATAGACCAGGTATGGTGGCGCGCACATTCTTCGAAACCGGTGTTTTCCCAATGCCATTGTTTTGCTTTAACTTCCTTCCTTTATTGCTGGGTTTCACCGACTGAGACATGAACTTTGTTTGTAAAATGAGTTAAATAACTTGTTTCTGGAAATTAACGGCGGAGACAAATGGCCCAAATAATGGCTGGCTGGGAAACCGGTCTATCTTGCAACAGGGAATTGGCGGTATAACATATATGTGGAATAGGATGCCTCGGGTTAGTGTAGTACTTGATTCAAAGAGGTTACACATTCGAATGTAGGGTAGGTACAATGTGGATTGGATACCTTGGGCATGGGTATGAGCACGGGCATGGGCCTGTGGGTCAGCGAATTTGGCCGTTGTTCTGTCTGGCTGGATGTGTGTTTCATCGGTTTGGTCGCCAGGATTATTACACAATTGTACGATGTGCCGAAGACAGGCACGTCAATTTTACGCAGTGCAAACCACTCAACATTTTTCTTGTTCATTAATAACGCGCCCAAGTCATAGCAATTCAAAAGATAAGGTATTCTGTTGCAACACAAATAATGAAAAGAGAAACGCCCTTGCCACTCGACACCGGTCAACCCTTGTAAGTCATGACGGGAAAATAAGAACAAGAAGAGGTATGAGGAAAGATGCAAGTGGGACATTAGATTGGACCAGCACAATCACAACCACACTCACACCCCCAACTCCTTCTCCTTTCCTGCATCTGGATCCAGGTAATCTTCCTTCTCCGCGGCTTCGTACTCGCCGACGAGATCCATCACCACTGCTCTGGCCTCGTCGAACTCGCCCAGGCCGTCCGAGAAGGGGCTCTCCTTCTTGTATTGTTCCAAGAAGGCGTTTCGCTTCCGCAGACGGTCGTATTGCTGGACAATTCGTTTAAACAGTGTCGCGACTGAGGTGTGGTTCGCCAGCATCAGACCGCTGACTCGGTGAGTGTTCTGCATGTAGGGAGATTTCTTTGTCAATGCGACTTGGATGCTCGCTGGTCCCCATGGGATGAAGGATGCCAGGCGTCGCTCCCGAATACGGAGGAGTGATTTGTGTACATCCGTCGGGTCTGCTTCTCCTTGAATTATGTTGAGGATACTGATGTAACAGCTGGATTTGCTGGGGTTGATGGAAACCATGCGGTTCTTCGGCTGCAGCAGACGGCGCATGACATCCAAAACAGTGGTCTTACGCACTGTCTTGGCCTGTTCGATGTTGTCGCCGGTGAATGGGGTGTATGAGGTGATCAGGAAGTGGCTGCGCGGTGTAGGGATGAGGGAAGCAATGATTCCCACGAGGTCATTGTGCATATATCCGGGGTAACGGAGGGTCGTCGTAGAAGCAGACATAACAGTAGAAACCTAAGAGTGATTAGTGCCAGTAGGCTTGCAGACGGGCGGTTACTTACGAGCTGGTTTGTCTGCTGGAAAGAAGGCTCTTGTACGTGGAGCCTATCCGCGACGATCCTCGAAAGAGCACCGTTATCCAATACCACCTAGAATGCAAATTTAGCGAAGCCCGTCATCAACTCATTGGAGTGACAGTGCCTTACCACAGAGTCCGCATTCTGTGTCAACCGCCTCATTGCAAGCAAACTATTGTATGGGTTGACCACGACGTCCGCAGACTGCGTATCGGGAAAGACGGAGTAAGTCTGTATCAATTTCTTGGGAAATCGATCATTCATGCGTTCCAGTATGAAACTGCCCAGCCCTGAGCCTGTACCGCCTGCAATTGAATGCAGAAACATGAATCCCTGCCGAAAAAAAAAAGACCATCAGCACCACGCTCAATCGCAAACCCAAGATTGCACACCATATATGTATCATGATTGCACCGGTATCATACCTCCAAAGAGTCACTGCCATCTGCTTCACGGTCAATCATGTCAAAGATCTCTTCTTGCACGACCTCGCCTGCAGAATAGCCTGCTCCCCAGTTGTTTCCCGCGCCAATACCCTGTTGCCCGATAAAGAAGTTCTCTGGATTGTAGATGTTTCGGTATGGACCAGCCTGGATGGCATTGAGGACCTAATCGGAAAATTCTCAGCTCACCGTTCGCGCGATCACACTGGTTCCTTCGAGATGGTCTTTCGCGGAAGGGGTCGTACCCTAGGTTCTAAATCGAGCAGGATCGCTCGAGGAATATAGCGGGTGTCATCACTCTAAGAAGCATGTTTCATCAGTTTCTTAGGTTATCGAAGCATAATGAGAGTGACAGGTATACCTGATAGAAGAAGACGTCTTTACGATCGCCGCCCTCGGTCGCGAAATCCTCCAGGTTTCCATCCTGGCTTATGCCGTGCTCAAGACAGAGCTGTTGCCAAAATTGAGCGCCGACTAACGCAAGTATAGGTTAGCGACGCCTCAAGATATGCCAAACGGTGTTTGTTCGAGAGCTATAATTGGAGCTGCTTCTCGTGGGAATCCGTACCATTGTTACCGCACTGGCCGGCTTGGATCGTTATGATTTCCCTAGATATAGAGATCAGATCCTGCTAGAACAATTCCATGTTTCTAAGCATATTGCAGGAAAGCTGTGATAGTCAAACTCACCTGGGCATCTTGTTTCTTGATCACCGCAAGTGATCGTGGATTATAGTCTACGCGTAGCGCGTTCCGCGGGGAAGTTCAAGTCTCGATTAGGTGTGTGGGGGCCTTAGGCCAAAACAGTTCCTTGTCGACGGCCTTGAAACCTTCCGCACCCCAAAAGTAAACCAGAAACAAGAAGACCATGGCCTACCGAATGTTCCTGGATTGAACTTCACTTTCAATGGTAAGTAGCCAGAAACGGCTGCCAGGTATGCTGCGAAGGTTAGATAGTGAAGTTTACGTCTAATCAAATCTATTTTATTGCTTTGGCTAAGGGATGAAAATTATTGAACTAGTCACACATAACACTGGGTTTCGCAGAAAACCATTGGAAACAAGGCTACTAGCTAAAATGACATGAAAGACTCTCTCTCCTCATAATAGTACAGACAGCGGCAGTTCGTTCTTCGTAGCTGGGTGCGTTGGCCGCAGCTCATGATAATACATAGCCTCAGTCTTAAATCGTCTTCACCATGGGAGATGGTGTACTGACTGCCGACAGGCCCTTAGAAACCGGCTTTGCAAGCCGTCGCAAGCATCCCTGCTCCAGCAATAACGCCGTCGACTATTCTGACTTGACTGCCTTTCTGTCGTCCGTATGCTCTGACACATCCCTCTCTTATTGCGTCTTCCATGCCCACCATACCGGCACAGCCCATGCATATCGCACCAACAGGATGGGTTGCTTTCTTCAATAGCCGTTCTGTCGCTTCAACAAGTCTCCTTCTCACTTCGCGAGGAGGGGTGGTGTGTAGTTCGACGGCAGTCAGTCCAGTTGTTTCCACCCCGGCAAACCGACCGGTGGATGTGGAATCTCCCGAGTTGCCGAGCATATCGGCGACCGCTTTGCTGAGTTCAGCCTCCCAGACTTTACCGGTCGAGATTATGCCAAACGTATCTCGAGATTGAGCCTTGCCGAGATCTGGGCCCGGAGTGGCTTGAAATGAACTGATCACGCCGAGGGCAGCGAGAACTGCCGCTTCAAAAATACCCGTCACGTACTTTTTCTTGACCTTGAGTTCCGAGGGAACTCCCGATGACTCTGCATCTTCGATGGATCTGACTTTTTCTTTGAGCATACCAACGAGGGGGTGAGCTGAGAAGCAGGCCACAATGAAGCCATCGTACTCGGACACCAGCTGCTCTATGAAGGGCATGCAATAAAAAGCCGACTTGACAGAGTCTTCACCGGAGTCGATACTGGGCACTCCTTCTACCACTCTTCCATCGGGAAGCGTGACTGATTCGGATGCTGGAGCTGTGAAGTAGTCGAATTGTATGCCACCATGCCCGAGATTATCCAGTATGGGTATCAAAGCATTAGTCATGTGCGTTGAAGTGTTGGGGTTGATGACAAGAATAGAATATTGAGTTTTTGTTGGCACAGTCATCTTGATTGATATGAATGTTTGTATGTATGTATGAATGAATGCAAGAGAGAGTGTTATGGAGTGCTGGACATGTAGAGAAAATGTTGAGTTGACCAGACAAGGAAGCTGCCGATGACGGGCTTGTTGGTTGGGCTACTACCACCGGCCTGCGGGGGAGCTACTAAGTAGTCTGGGCATCTCATCCACCATTCAGCATGGCCACCACGCTGACGGCCGGGATATATATCTCTCGGCTTACTCGGTTTGCAGTGGGAAATCACCTCATGTGTAACCGGGTAATATTAATCCAAGCTCGTCATCGACGCCTCAGATGATAGATATTGGTTCTTGTGCCATGGGACGGCCGGAGTTGCGTGCGACAAGAAGTGTGGGGGAGCCGGAAGTTCTTATCTATTTGAACCCCTCCCACCGGCTGGGTCTTTATCCCCTTCTTCCTCAGGCCTAAACCTTCCTGGCACCATCCAAACTCCGCTGTCCCTTGGAACAGACTACCTAAGATTTCCCGGATTCCTCTAACCGAGGTACGCATACATCTGATGCTTCCTATCCTCACTTGGTCATTCTCAGCTGAATTGTTCCAAGCAGCGTCTTCTTCGACTTCAATATGCCGCTCCTCGCACAGAACCCCGCACCTCGGGTTATCCTCGGCTTGATGACCTTTGGGCCTAATGAAGCTGAGGGTGCTCGTATCACCTCCCTTGAGGATTTCAACAAATGCCTGGACTATTTTCAACAGCAAGGTTTCAATGAGGTCGACACGGCAAGAATCTATGTTGGAGGAGAACAAGAAGCGTTCACTGCCCAAGCCAAGTGGAAGGAGCGTGGTCTGACCCTTGCAACAAAGGTGTATCCGAAGGCTCCGGGCATGCACAAGCCTAGTGTCTTGCGAGAGACCTTCGAAACGTCTTTGAAGCAACTGGGAACAGATAGTGTTGATATCTTCTACCTTCATGCACCTGACAGGTCGGTTCCCTTTGCGGAAACCTTGGAGGCTGTGAATGAACTGCACAAGGAAGGCAAATTCATAGAACTCGGTCTGAGTAACTACACTGCCTTCGAGGTTGCGGAGATTGTGACCATTTGCAACGAACGAGGCTGGGTCCGGCCGACAATCTACCAGGCCATGTACAATGCCATCAGTGAGTCAACCCCCTGCATACACGCTGAATTCTCGTATGGCCCGGAAAATTGTTTCTGACTATTTTCGCCATAGCACGCAGCATAGAGACCGAGCTAATCCACGCTTGCAAGCGCTACGGCATTGACATTGTAATTTACAACCCCCTTGCTGGTGGACTTCTCTCGGGCAAGTATAAGACCCAAGATGTGCCAGAAGAAGGTAGGTACAGTGATAAGGCCAACAGTGGATCATTGTACCGCAGTCGGTATTTCAAGGATGCGACATTTGACGCTCTACGAATTATCGAGCCTGTCGTGGAAAAGCATGGATTGACTTTGCCCGAGACTGCGTTTCGGTGGATCCGCCATCACTCTGCATTGAATATCAAAGAAAATGGCCGTGATGGAATTATTGTAGGAGTGAGTAGCCTTTCTCAACTGGAAAGCAACCTCAAGGATATCCAGAAAGGCCCGCTACCCGATGAAGTGGTTGAGGCTCTGGACAAGGCCTGGTTGGTTGCAAAGGCTTCGGCTCCCGACTATTGGCACCTTCAGCTAAAATATACATACGACACCAAAGAGGCGTTATTCAAGCCCAATGCTAAGGCTTGAATGCATACCAGGGTATCTGGCATGTCTGAAATTGTGAGATTGCAACAATAGGAATCAATGTTCATGAGAGCAAATCCAACTCGCTTCGCGACGAAAGCTCTTAGCACGTGTTCTAGCAACTATTTCCTGTAAGATAGAAGTAGAATGGGAAATGCAGAAACTCACCGGTCCAGGCCATGTAGCTATGCAGTGGTTGAACCGACTCGAAGATCGGTGGGTCTAGATCGAGATCCTCCTGCATGTTCTGCATATCTCCAGGCAGGTGACTGTGCCGCACATGTGAGAACCCACATTCCCCTTCTTTCCCCGCCTCATCCTGCTTACTCTTGGAACCAGATCCTTTCGCCTGCACGCATCCAGGTATTGTCCGATGTCTGCAGTCTGTCGGGTTCATGTTGCGAAGCCTGGATGGCGCTAATTATCAGCTGCCCAGGGATGATCCTCGCATAATACACAGTCAAGAATGGACTCTATAGGATTTATGCTGTACCCTTGCATGGCACTTAACCTAGACCATTGCCTAAGCTAATCTGGGGTAGGCGCCTGACAGCTACTGTGCCACATTCTATTACCATTGCGCCTAGAATCTCACCCAAAGTCTTATCTCCAACTCCTTACAAGTGCACATATCCCTTCATTGTGCTACCGCGGAAAGTATAGTTCTAAGAGAATTGAGGGCTTATCTCCAGTGGTGACACATCGGAGCGTTAAGGGCATAGGAGGTTGAAGTTCAGTCTTAACTGACCTTGAGGTATTTGAAGACAAGGTAAATTGCGCGACTATGCAGTCCTCACTTCATCCGATGAAATCGTGCAGAACCAAGTGGACGCTGCAATGACACCTTACTGTCATGCATCTGTGCCGACAGTTAGCCGCCTGACATCAATAACGGGCATGTACCAGTGGTATAGACTAGATACCAGGAGCTGTTCCAAGGAGTTCGCAGACCCGGTTGTCCTTGGACCTCGAGGCTTGGTCATCTAGACCCTGGTAACTTGGCAGGTTGCGTCCATGCTGTGATCTAGATCCCAACCTTGACGATGCAACAGTTGTAAGGGCCATGTGAGCTTAGAGCTGCGGTAGTTGCCCTAATCTATCTCCTTGCGTGTTGCGCAAGTCAAGGGTGGTCCAAATATAGAGCAAACTACGAGAAGATATAAAATGGACTTGCGGGCTTCATTGATCGTAATGGCGCAGAAGGAGTCACTTGGGCAAGTAGTTTGCTCTACAGCTACAATATGTCTCTTGTCATTGCCCGCTCGTTTACGGTCAAGAAGCATCCAGACGAGGAGGCAAGTGGTTACGCAACGCCAGACATCGAGAAGAAGACGGTGATAAGTGTGACGCAGCAGTCTACTGCCATCTCCGCCGATGAAGTACTCAGTGACCTCCACAAGAAGAAACAATCTTGGTTTCAGCGATCTCAGCCCCGTGATCCCGATGCCATTGCAACGCAACCCTCGGTGTACGATGACCCTGATCTTGTTGAGGAATACAAACCACGCCCCGATTGGGAAGGCATTCATCGCTTCGACCCGGCAGCAAGATGGACTTGGGCTGAAGAAGATGTATGTATGCGAGGCTCAATGCGAGCCGACGAGTGCTAATCTTATGTGTATCTAGAAAATCGTCAGGAAGCTGGACCTACGTATCATTATATGGGCTTGCATAATGATAACTGCCCTGGAGCTCGATAAGTCCAATATTCGTGGGTAAATCTACACATTGATCCCACCTGATCCACTGACGAAATCAGAGCAAGCCAATGCCGACAATTTCCTGGCCGATATTCGGCTAAGTCGTGATGGTCAGTATACTAATTCCCTTGAGTTGGTTTCCTATGTGATGAATCATGCCTTATACAATTTACAGATTACAATTTAGGGAATACATTGTACAGACTGTGTTTCATGTTCAGTGAAATACCCACCCAGATCATCAGCAAGAGAATTGGCTGCGACAGGTGGATTCCTATACAGATGATTTCGTGGTCGATTGTTGCTAGCTGCCAGTTCTGGCTTTCCAACAGAGTCTCCTTTTTAATTTGTCGAGCTTTGATAGGGTTGGTTTCAGGGGGCTTCACGCCCACTGTAAGTGGCTTTACTGTTTCTCGTCCTCGGTGTACCACTCTAATGCCGAGCAGGTCATCCTCTATCTCTCGTATTTCTATAAGCACCATGAGCTATCGATACGTCTTGGATACTGGTATGCAGCATCTTCTCTGGCTGACATGCTGGCGGGGTTACTGGCGTATGGGATCCTTCATCTGGGCGGTCATGGTGGGCAAGCTGGTTGGCGATGGCTTTTTTTGATTGAGGTATGTAAGCAATGTTTGTCTTTGCCACAGCGTCTGATTCAAGCGGAACAGGGACTCCTCACCCTCGCATTAGGCCTTCTTGCTATCATTCTCCTGCCACCTTCAGCGACACAAACAGCTCACTGGGCTCGTGGGAAGAAGGGCTGGTTTACAGCAAGGTGAGCCATAATATAGATGAAACGAGGAAGTACTTGGATACTGAGATGTAAACATGAACAGGGAGGAGACCATCATGGTCAATCGCCTGTTACGAGAAGACCCGAGTAAGGGCTCGATGCATAACCGCCAGCCACTAACGGCCAAGCTTGTATGGATGAGTATCAAAGACTTTGATTTGTGGCCGCTATACATTGTCGGAATTCTGTTCTCGGCACCCTATAGTAAGTATACCGCATTGTATATCCCATGCGCACGAATTTAGGGACGTCGTCGACTAAGCCTATGAACAGCTACTGTCTCGCAGTACTTTACATTACAATTGAAGGACTATGGGTTCAGCACCTTTAATACCATTCTACTATCTCTCCCCTACAGTGTAAGTAGAACGAGGGAAACCGAATCGCTCGTGCTATGACAGTTCTGACTGCCAGGCAGGCCATTGGAATCATAACAAGGATTCTCCTCACATATGCAGGGGAAATATTCGGCTCACTTGCCTGGATGGGAGTTTTGGCACAGCTTTGGTGCTTGCCATTCCTTATCTACATGAATGTGGTAGATCTCAGCCAAACCAACAAGTGGATCGTATGGAGTATCCTAACACTATTCCTCGGATTTCCTAATGGTAGGCAGATTGATGCTGAGGCCAAGCTCATTTGGTAGAAGAATACTGACGTGAAGTTTCAATAGCTCATGCACTCCAAGCTGGATGGGTGTCCCGCAATTCCAACAGTGTGCGAACTCGGGCTATTGCAGCTGCGATATACAACATGTCTACACAACTATCTGCCATCATAGCTTCGAACATCTACCAGGATTGTAAGTATCTTTCTCACCCATCAGCCTGCAATGCTGTATTCCTAGGCTGATCATGAATATTTTGCGCACTTTGATCTGTAGGGGATGCACCACGTTACGTGATTGGCAATCGAGTGCTCTTATCTATTGTGGGTGTAAACATGGCTATCTACATGGCGATCAAAGCGTACTATATGCTACGGAACCGCCAACGGGACCGAAAATGGAACGCCATGACTGAGGATCAACGGGTCGACTATGTCGCAACCACAAGAGATGAAGGAAATCAGCGGCTAGATTTCCGGTTTGCACACTGAGCGGGGAGTATTAGAGAATCCTTCTGAATTCTGGCGTTTCGTTTGAAGTCTGAGGGCGTAGATGCAATACGACTCAGATTGGTGATAGCTATTGATTTATGCATGGATGAAACCATGTTACTATAAATGAGAAGACGTTGATAACATATTTGAAAGGTTGAACCTGGAGAAAACCCACGGCATGTCCCAAAGCGGAAGGCACCCATGCGTCCCCGTGGAATCACGTGAGATGAGACGCGGCTTTCCCGATGTGGGATGAAACGGGGGTCCCGGTGGGCCAGTCCAATGCGAGAGTCGCATCTAATACGGAGTAAGTAAAGTAACCAACCCCGTATCAATGGACCGTCTGCGATTCCCTTCCGAACTGCTTGCAATTGCAATGTAACCGCATCAGCCAGATCTCGTTCCTCCTCCCTCTCCCTCTCCCTCTCCGCTGACACTTGCACTGCTGTGTTTCAATCTCATCTCACTCTTGCTCTTCCCTTTTTCCCTATCATCATCCTTCTCTGTTACTCCTCACTGCGGCCAAGTCTTGGCTACAGTTTCCTTGACATCCCCCTAACCCTGACGTACTTGGCAAACGTGGCCGCAGCGGCGGTGCTTCGCCCCGGAGCCGCCCATTATATACCGTGTTGCATGCCCTCGTCAGCCGGTCTTTTCCCCGGGGGCAACTGACCTGGATTCTTTCTGATTTCCATGCGCAATTTCCACATGAACAGTCTTTCTTATACTTGCATATTCCTACTGTCCTTTCCGTCTGTCTTATTCAGTTGCGACCCGCGGTAAACCAGCGGTCTCGTGCATCGTCGTTCTGTCAACGCGCAAAGTCCATTCTTTATTAACTGCAGGGTGTCAACCCTAAGAAAAGGTTTATACTTATTTTCTTTCTTTGCTTTCTGCATTCCTTCTTTATTGTTTCCCGCTTGAAGGGTTAAAACGGAAGATTAAGACAAGGTGGCTTCAGACAGTGCGCAACTTTCGGGTTCGAGGGAGGTTAGGGACCCCGAGCTGGTTCTCGACACTCACGATTCGGATGATGAAATGCCCTTGAATCGCCCATCTATGCATCGCCCAGCCGACACCCGAGCAAATCAATTCTTGCTCAAGGATGAGCACAGAGGGCGACTGTCAAACGCCAGCCTGGGCCATGGGGAGGCAGAGGGCAGGCCCATGCTACACCATTCACGGCGGCCCACAATCAGGGGCGTGAGCCCGGAGCGCAATGCGGAGCAGGAGACTCGGCGCAAGTACATGATCGCGTCCGGATTCCTGTTGTTGAGTCTGGCTAGTTTCGTTGTGCAGACGGAGACCGCGGTATATATTCAGCATGAGTTGCACTGGGATAAACCGTACTGCATGCTGTAAGTGGTGCACCAGTCGCATGGACCCGTTGACTGCCGGACGACGCTAACTCTTGACCTGATCTTAATATATAGCTATCTTACACATGGTTCCTGGTCCCTGCTCTGGCCGGCACAGCTCCTCATTCTCCGCTTGCAGCAACGGAAACTCTCATGGACGGCATTCTGGCGACGCCATGTCTATCTCCTTCGAACGACAGCTAAGATGGTGGAGGCTCAAGATCTACACCTCACTTCTCGTGACTCCCAGCGATCACCCGTTCGATACATGCTCAAAACGACCGCGTTCGTCACCACCGCCCTCACCATAGCCGGTGGCTCTTGGTATGTCGCGGTCAACATGACAACGGCCAGTGACTTGACCGCGATCTACAACTGCTCCGCCTTCTTTGCCTATGCGTTCTCCATACCCCTCCTCAACGACAAGCTTCGCTTTGACAAAGTGTTTGCCGTCGTGGTAGCGATTGTTGGGGTTCTTGTCGTCGCGTATGGAGATAGGGACGAAAGCAAGAAGACTGCAGATGGCACGGTCGGCAAAGCGCATGATGAGGCAGAAAATAGACTTTTCGGAAACATCATTATCGGAGTTGGCAGTGTGCTCTATGGATTGTACGAGGTGCTCTATAAAAGATATGCTTGCCCTCCGGAGGGCACGAGTCCCGGCCGGAGCATGATCTTTGCCAACACTTTTGGCAGTCTCATTGGGTGCTTCACCCTTCTTGTTCTCTGGATTCCGCTGCCCATTCTCCATATCCTGGGCCTGGAAACGTTCCGCTGGCCCACTGGTGAAGCCGCATGGATGCTTATGATATCCGTCCTTGCTAATGCTAGTAAGTCTTGCAGCCCTGATCTCCACTAACGTATAACGTCAAATAAATATGCTGATCAACCCTTCCTCGAATCAGCATTCTCCGGCTCATTCCTAGTTCTCATCTCGCTCACCTCTCCCGTCCTCTCATCTGTGGCAGCACTGCTTACCATCTTCCTCGTCGCCATCGCCGACTGGCTCCGGACCGGCCAGCCCCCTTCCGCTGCGGCCATTATTGGCGGTATTCTTATCATTGGGGCCTTCTTCCTGCTAAGCTGGAGCACATACCGAGAAATGAACGAAGAGCGCAAGAAGAGCATGGCAAATGACCAATCCGAGTCCGACATCGACGAATAGACATCACTTGTTAGACGGGTTATATATAGATATATATAACCCCTTCCTACCCACTGGTGGAGTTTTGTGTTGTTTCTATTGGTCGCGCGGATCGATTGATAGCTTTCTGATATCGGTTGCCTTCATCTGTGTATATGCATTTATTAGGAGTACTTTCACACTTTTGTTACTACAGTATATAGAAAGATATAGACTTGGGAGGAAACGGTTTCGGGTTAGTTGTACTACTGAATTATAAAAAGTCCCCACGCCGTGCTGATTCTCTTCGTCGTAATGATCTCCGGTTACTTTTGCCTGAGATTATTTACTAAAGGACACCAACTGGTTGTAAGGAGTGGCGTAATGAGCAGTTAGATATGACAAGAAGTAAACATACAAGACAGCTGAAGTTCGATCCCTTCTTTGTTTACATACTAGATGACATGACTTCAAGCCGGACCTTACTTCACTTGATCTCCCCGACACACCAGAAAAACCTGTAATAGTATGTACGTAGTATTTGAACAGAAGACGGGAGCTATGAGAATAGAGCATCTGGGTAAGGAAGGAGGGGGTTTGGGACAGAGGCTGCTCGGGGAATGCGTAAGATGGAGGCGTTTTGGTTCAACTCGCAAGGAGGGCGAAGAACTCCCGATAGATGGTAGGTAGTAATAGGTGGTAGGTCAGGTTGAAATGAAATATACAACGTATGTACTGAATGGAAGAGAAAAACTATCTAGGGCCGAGTTTGGCCAGGGCACGTGCACCCTGTTCCTGCCACTCTTGCTTGGTAACCCACATGTCCTCCTTGTCGGCAATCTAGGTAATTATGTTAGTTATGGTGTGACTTACGAACAGGAAAACGGGTGTACAGGGGAAGGAGGGAAGAAGTGAAGAAGCTTACCAGGTTGGCGAGGACGGCACCTCCCAGGAAGACCATGTGTCTTCGTCGCGGGGGGTCCTCGATGCGCACCTTGAACTTCTGTACCATGGAATTAGCTGTTGATTTCTTCTGGGGGGGTATGGTCCGCCAGTGAATGAGAATACGTACGTTCAACCTCTCCGGGTTGCCTTGCAGGACTCGTGTGAGCCACAATTGCTTGAGCTCCTTCTCCAACCGGGAAGGCAGACCGGGGTACATGCTGCTTCCTCCACTGAGCACAATAGCCTTGTAGAGACTGGAGCGCACATCGACATCGGCGCCCTGGATGGTGTTGAAGAGCAACTCGGCGATACCGGGCTGATCAACATCCACCAGGTGCGGCTGGAAGAGGCATTCGGGGGCTTCAAAGCGCTCGCTGCCGACGCGAATGACGCGACCATCGGGAAGGGTGTAGGACTCGACAAGGACGGTTGTGTCTTCGGAGAGCTTCTTGTCCAACTCGAGATCGTAGGATACATAGCAGAGCTTCTCCTTGATCTGGCGCACGGTTTCGAAATCGGCGGTACGGTTCAAGGCATAACCGCGACGGAGCAGGAGGGCGATGAGGTTACGGGTGACATCACGACCGGCGACATCAAGCCGGCGAATGTGGTGGTTAAGAACTGTGGATTCGTAGACGGGGATAATGTGGGTGACACCGTCACCGGAGTCAACGACCACACCACTGCTGAGACCTGCGGATTGCGAAAGAGCGGGCGATCAGAGCTGCGAGATAAGAGAGAGGATATGAAGCGTGCAAGACTTACCCTGAGCGTATAGTGCAAGCACAGCTTGAATAGCAACGTATACACCTCCAAAGTTGTAGCCTTCCAGCATAACCTCAGCCATTTGCTCCCGGTTCTTCAGGGGATTCATGGGGGGTTCGGTCAAGAGGATCTTGCGGCCCGTAGGATCGATCTTCATCTTCTCGTAAAAGGTGTAGTTCCATAGGTGTTGCATGTCGTCCCATCTCTTCACGATACCATTCTCCATCTGTATACCAAGTCGGGCCCAACGTTAACACGTCTGCCACACCTCCGGGGAGACAATGGAGCGATCGGGGGTGGGGGGAGAACGAAGGCACGCGAATGTAAATGACGTACAGGGTAGGTGATTTGCAGCATAGATCTGGCAGCAGCAGCTTCATCTCCGCACATGATATCCTTGACGACGATGTCGCCGGCCTGCTCCTCCGTTCGCAATATGGGCCGCCCCACTATCGAGGGGAACTGGTGCTCGGGGAAGTTCTATCCATGGGGAAGAAGAGGAGGTAAGTAAGAGTACGCAATGGGATGGGAGGTGATGACAGACCTGCGCAGCATATCCGACCTTGAGGAAACCAGTTCCTCCGTCGAGCACTGGGGGGCGTGGTTGGTTAGCTGGGAAGCACGGGAGGGACAGGCACCGACAAGGAGAACTTGGGGAGGGGGTAAGGGAAGATGAGAAGGTAAGGAAGAGGAGGGGGAACACGCATAAACATACCAATGGGCATGTCAGCCATGGTGAAGGGATGTAGATTGAGAGAGAGTTCGCAAGATCAATCAATTCCGGAGGGGTAAAAACAAAAGGAGCATGGGAGATGACGTCCAGAGAGCGGTAGGCTGGACGGGGTTGGGAAGCAGTTAGTAGTAAGTAGTAACTACGGAGTAAGTTCAGTTCAGGCAGTTCAGTTCCGTCCACTACTAATCGTCAGTCTGGCCTGTCCGTCTCTCTCTTTGGTTCTGAGTGGGTCCGTGACCGTCCGTCTCGTGTGGTCGGCCTGAGGCGGTGTCTCATTTATTGATGCCTGTATGCCTGTATGCCTGGCAGCCTTAACTGCCTTTGAACAGCCCATCATTACCAGGTCTTCTTAATCTCTTTAACTAATAACTATGTTAACAAGTAAATCTACAAACATAGATCTGCGAGAAAGATTGTATTCAAACCAATTGATTGATTATTATCCACTTATTAGCCACTGGAAGTAGCCACTGACTTAAAAAGTCCTACAATCAATTAGTAACCCTCTACTTCCATAAACAGCAGTAGTCGATCTTTAATGCTGTACTTGATGACCATAGCAACTCGCCGGCATCGGGCGCGCCCGATAGCATCAACGAAGTCTAATTACAACCACCGACGTCTATATAGACCCCCAAACATCCGCTCAATCCCCGCCCTACATCTCAGTCAGGCCCAAATTACTCCAGTCTAACATACAACATACATCATGACACGAATTGGTTGGGTACGTTATAAACGACGGGAAAGAGAGAAATGTCAGCTCAAGAACTAAACTTCAATTCCCAATCAGTTTGGCCTCGGCTCCATGGGCCTCGCCATGGCCAGCAATCTCCAAAGACATCTAGCCCGCAAAACAGCCCCAAGTCTCATATACTCCAACCGAACCATTTCCCGAGGTGACCCCCTCAAGAAACTAGGCGGTACGCCCGCAGACAACTTCTCAAAGCTTGTCTCGCAATGTGGGATTATTTTCACCATGGTATGTAAACAATCCATTGACTTGAACAGTTCCGATATCTCCACTAGAGCCTAAAAGGAACAAGAAAAGAACAGAAAAGAATCGATGCTTAAACAAAGAATAGGTCTCTAATGACGCCGTCCTGCAAGAATTGGTCACCACAGCTATTAACTCTGGCCACTCCCTCAAAGACAAGATCTTCGTTGACTGCTCAACGGTTCTCCCCGAGACTGTGGGTGCAACAGCCTCGAAGCTGAAAGAAAAGGAAGCGAAGTTCCTCTCCGCTCCTGTTTTCGGGGGCAACCCCATTGCTGTGGATGGGAAGCTAGTATTTGCCATCGGAGGGCCCAAGCAGGTGGCAGAGGTGGTGAAGCCGTTGATCCAGGACGTGATGGGAAGAAAGGTGATTGATTGCGGAGAGGACGCTATGAAGTATTCGCTTTTGAAGATTGCGGGGTATGTTGTTCTTACCATCTCAACTCGTACTGGGAACAGGTGATTTGAGTGGTTGCTAACAGTGGTATTGTTGCGTTTAGCAATATCATCACGGTGAACTTGATGGAGGCGGTTGGTGAAGCACAGGTCTTTGCTGAGAAGACGGGCTTGGGTACAGGGCCTATGGAGGACCTTATCGGAGAGGCTTTTGGAGGTGTAGCTGGTGGTTATTCCAAACGGTGAGTGTGCCAATCATGTTAGGTGTTGACTATCCATATTTATGGTAATCCATTGCTGACACTGTCAGATTGACTACTGGTGCCTATGCACCGCCATTGGACTCTCGCCCAGGCTTCGGGGTGTCTCTGGCCATCAAAGATGCAAAGCACGCGTTTGCCATGGCGAAACAGCATAACGTGGAATTGCCGGGTTTGCAGGTTTCTCTCGATAACATGGAGGCTGCCAGGGAGTACGCGGGCGAATGCTTGGACAGCAGCTCCATGTACGGCTATCTGCGGCAGAAGGCAGGCTTGGAGTTTTGGAATGAAAAGAGTCGACAGGGAAACTCTCAATAGACTAGACTACAGAGTAGATACAAGACCGGGCCAGTCGTGTTGATCTCTCTCCAAAGGGGCGACAATAGTAGTTACATTGTCCTATATAGTGATAAATATAACCGATGATAGTCATCCACCATTTAGATGGCCAAGAATGTGAAAGCCCTTCCAGACAGATAACCGCTGTCGGACTGTCCTCCTGCCCGCAGTCAGAGACATGCGCCTACGTGGTGGAGAGTTCGAGACCCCTCCATGAAGCCCTCTATTAAGGCATTCTTCGCAGCTAAGGGCCGGCCAGAATATGAGCTTTTTGGGTTGTTGCTGTGGTGCAAATGCCCACGCAGGACTAGTCCGTTTTGATAATCGCGCACGGACACTGGAATAGGAACATATTACACCACAGCCTGACGATGTGAGCACATCTTGGGACGATTGTCAATTGTCTGCCAGCATAGGTCATGGGTGACACGGTGTAGGGAGTACCGTGTGAGACGAAGGCACCAGGGGGAAAGGAGACCACTGTATGCGGTCCTGTTATTCAGCTCAACTTTTGTACGCTGTTTCGGCCAACGATATTGACCATCGTTAGCCAGCACCACCAGGGCAACCAAGTACAGCAAGAGGTGGCTGAAAGGGAGAAGTACATAAACTCCGAAGTCGATACTAGCTTATCACGCCCAGCATCTAAGTCATCAAGATGCGCCATTTATCATGATCACTGACGAGTGACGACTGGTAATCCGTCTGCATCAGTGTGAAGTTTTAATCCTTGTGGTTTCGACCAAGGAAGGATAGGCTTCCGCAAAAGCGGGCCCCAGCGACCAGTTACCGAGATTGCGGAAGTGTCTTTCAAAGACAGGGTTAACCATAAGCTCGTCACCGTCACCGGAAGACAAAAGGCAGTCTGTCGCTTCGTATGGCCAATTCACAGACAGGGTGCGTGTGAAGGGAATGAACCAGTTCTCAAAGGGGTAGTCCTGATACGACATCACCAGGCGATCTCGCATCCGCGGCCATGGCAGGTAGTCGATCCAAGCTGGATGGGCCGTGAGAAGCTGCGACGGGCGAGGGGTGAGCCACTCGGGCAACCGGTCATAATTTTCAGGGGTCGGATAAATCTGCCACCGCATGAGGAGGAACATGAGAAACAGCACGGCCACTTGTTCAGGGAGAGTGGATATATCCGGGAAGGTCCGCAGGATGTCGGTGAACACTTTCGACAAGGGATGCGAGTAAACGCTTTTCTCTGGGTTGAGAAGGGACGAGACGCTAGGATAAGAAGGTCCGACTAGGCTCTGCTTTGATACCCCTTTCGCTGCTTGGTGCTGTCGATTATGAAGAAAATCCAACAAAATGGCGTCCAGCGTGCATGTCGGAGCGATGTTGCGAATTGGGGTCAGGTAGGCAGGCAGTGGCTGCTCCGCCATAGAAGGATGAACACTCGATGGATAGGTTGGAGACGGATTCGACGGCGGCCTCAGTGTCTCCGAGGAGCGTCGAAAGCCCTCTACTTTGGGGACCTGCTGCGATGCGTCAAGCAAAAAGTTGAAGCCCATTCGTTCATCGGTCCCGCCAAAGTCCAGACCGTGAGCCAGATTGTGTCGCTGGTAGTCGAACGCGATGCGAAAAGAAGCTGGGCCGGTTGCTGTTATCTCACGGCGTGCCGTGCCAGACGCATAGGCCGCATGTGCGGTGGAAGAAGATGTCTCGGGATTGGTAGGGTGCTCGCCAGCGGCTGACCTCTGGCCATTGGCTGAGAAACGGAAGGCATCGGACAACGGCGGTGTCGATGTTATTGGGGGAATTCGATTGGTGGTTGAGGAAGGCGTCGCGGCCAAAGTATCTGGAAGAATGAACTGTTAATGCACCTGTCTCCCTGACGAGATGTGTAATTTTCATGGGAACATACTCGGCTTCTCTTGCTGCCCCAACAAAGGCTGAATTATATCCATGATCGCTTTCAGCCCATGTCGGATCTCCCGATTTTCAGCTTGAATGACTTCATTCTGCCTCAAAGCCGCCTGAAGATCCAGGAACGGCTTTTGCGACGAAAGATCCCGGACTCGTTGTTCCAGAGAATCAATATGAGCTTTCGTCCTTTCGCGAATGGCGCGCTGGGCCTGCCGGTCGTTCGCCCGCTTCTTCGCCAATTGCTCCGGGGTGAGATTCGCTACACCTCGCGCTGAGGTGCAGTTGAGCTTGCGTTTGCGACCTGCGCCTGTTGCCGGCGTTCCAATGTTATCCGGTACGGGTGTTTCTGCGTCTGCGGAGGTCAATGCGGACGGTGTGGGGGAGTCTTCCAATTTCACCACGTCGGATCCGGGAGTGGCGACCGGGGCAGCGGTGGATGGACCCTGAACTGACGAGGCCGGGGCAGTAGCAGTAGTAGCAGCAGCGGAGAAGGGAGCGGAGGGAACTGAGGAGGAAGAGTTAAGATTCGCCGAAGCAGCGACATCGGTTAGAGAAGGAAGGCGGGTGGCCATGGCCTCACTCGCGGGCTACGGGAACGCAGCGGCCATGCAATACGACGGGAAGGAGGAGCACAAGCAAGGCGGATCAGAATCCCAGACAATTAAGGAGGATCTGGGGTTTAACTGGAGGATGATCAGGGTGGCATCGAGAAGGGAAGCACAAGAGAGATAAAAAAATAAAAGGAGCAGCCGATCCGGACGAGTAAGGACTGGCACAAGGACCGGCGAGTCATTTGAGGGGGCAAGAGGAGAAAAATAGGGAAATGATCATTGGGGAAAAGGCAGCCTTCAGCTGTTAGTTCTGGTCGGAGGAGACAGTCAGTCTGGTTGGCTGCGGTGGAGTTGCCCCAAAGTCAATAATCGGCACCACGTTTTGCCTTTTTTTTTGCCCTCTCCTCTCCCTGACGGCAAGAAGACAAGAGTCTTGCAGAAATGCCAGGCTACGGCCGAGCCGGAGTGTCTTAGATCTTTGGGATGCTCTAAACTTCCATAGTTGTGGCGCTGCTCCGCTTTCTGTCCCGCGCATCCCGAAGAGAGGCAAGAGAAAAGTCCCTCGCCAAGGTTCTGGACCCCAGAGCTATAGAACTAGATACAGATACTAAATCCCTTCATGAATCGGTGAATCCAAAAGCTACGATGTGCTTGTCTCGGGTTGTCGGCACATGATACAATGACAGATCATTCTCCTCAATTGGCTTATCCTTTCACCTTTGGTGTCAATCAGATGGTATCAAAGTTAAAAGCCTCTTTCGGTATCCACAACCCTGGTGATGCCTAACCAAACCAGTGCACCAGATTAGTGAGAAAGCACGCAGACATAGACCACTCCGTCCTTCGTAAATGTTCGGAATCAAAAGGAACATAGGTACAGGAGTCCTGAGGGATAACGATATCCTCTTAGCTCATAAAATCAGTTCATAACTGTACAGCATTACCGAGACCCAACCCGAGGCCTCATATAGTACACCCGATCGACAAACGGCTATTTAGTGGGTGAAGCAGATAAGTGAGCAGATGCAACCATAATGAAAAAGAAAAGAAAAGAAAAGACATGTATTGAATCTAGCGACTTTATTCAATCATGTGTCCCATTTTCGCGATCTATTTGTACCCAAGAAAGTTAGCACCCCTGGCCAGAACAACATTACAAAAGTACCGCAACCGAACAACCGAGGCGGAGTGGGAAAAAGAAAAGAAAACAGCACAACCAGCCTCGGGAAGACCAGTTTAAAAGATAACATGGTGAGACAAGCAAAACTTACCTTGGTCCTGAGATAGCCCTCTACTTCTAGACTTTTGATGCCCTGCTTTCCCCCCGACCTCCATGCCAAAGGTATCATTGGCACACGCTCCTTAACCGCCACCTCCCGATTAGCACCCTCAATGGCTCGAACTTTGTCCGGATTATTCGTAAGGAGTCGGATGCCGTGAGGATTGGCATCCACACCCAACCCAAGATCGACCAGGATCGCGGTAGCCAGACCGTAGCTTCTCGCATCAGCAGGGTGTCGCAGGAGAAGGTTAGCTTCTACAGTGTCGGAGCCAAGATCCTGCAAATTATAGGCTTTGAGCTTCTCGCCCAATCCTATTCCGCGACCCTCTTGCCGCAGGTAGACAATCACCCCGCCAGAGGCATTGGAAGGCACCGGCACAGCCTGTTGGGAAGCCATTTCACTCAGAGTCTCCATGGGGAAGGACATCAGCCTGGCTGCTTCGTCCAGCTGTTCACCACAATCGCAGCGCGCAGACCAGGCGGTCTCTCCGGTATAGCATTCAGAGTGTATCCTCACCAGTGGCGCTTGGCTAGGCGAACTCTCCGTCGAAGTTGCGATTTCTGTTGATACAGGTCCACCGTCGGCAGCTGCACTGCTACCTTGCCCACCAGCTGCACTCTCAGCGTTCCCATCGTCATACCAACTGCTCACACGACCGGGATGCAATTTGCCCACATAAGCTCCACGTATCATACGATCCATTTCCGTTTCCCCTGGCCGAACCTTGTCCAGACTCCGACTTCGAATGGTGTTTCCAAAGACAATTGCCAAATGTTCTTTGTTGTCCAGGTTGTTGTGATAGAGGTGGAGAAACATCTCCGCGCCGGTGGTGGTCGGAATCCGTGCGCGAACGATGCATTCGACTTCGGGAAGGCAAGGAAGGAGTTTCGGAGCTTTCGTGTGTGGTAGCTGTTGAGTCTGTTGAAGCAATTTGGCTGGATTGAATGTGCCACCCGGGGTAGCTGGAGGGGTAAAGGAAGGGGAGAGAAGAGAGGCAGGCACGGCGGGGGTTACATCACCCCGATCGCTATCTGCGCTGTCGGACTGGGCGATAGCATTGTCACGAAGCTCGTCTACTCTACTACCTGAGGGCAGACTTGCTGTTTGATCTGTACCAATGGAAAGTTCTTCCACGGGGCGGGAGGGCGCATCTTGCGCCGTGAAGGTTGGGGAGGCGTGGGAAGGTAGGTTCGACATGATGAGCGCGGATGACAACGCGCAGATAGACGGAAGGCAAAGGGAGCGAGAGCTATAGGGGCGAAGATATAGCAGAGGACTTCAACAATAGGTTGGACTAAAATTGTAGCAGTGGGACGGCGAAAGGGGGGAACATGATCATAGAGAGCAGTTGTAAAGTATCACCATTGTCGTGGGATGACTATGGGCCAGTTATCCCGCACTTGCTCTTCTTCGGCGCCGCATGTGGTTTCGGACCCTCGGGATCAACGGCGGCCTCGGTGGGGGAGAAGTCGCTGACTCACCACCATTTGTCAGGCCTGACATGCCTTATGTAATTCTTACTGCAGAGGAAGCTTCTGGACCGGTTATTAGGCACCTTTAGTGTGTCTGTTAGACTAGCTGAATCTGAGAATAATACGGAGTAGACACTACATATAACCATAGGTGGCAAGTAGGTTGAACCCTGTCTATGCAGGGAATTTAAAGTGTCACCCAGGGTCTTACTCCAAACTGATAACTAAGTGACTATTGTACCTCCCGCATAAACCAGCAACTTGTGGCGATCATCCCACTCATCCAAAGCAAACCTAACTCCGTAAATCCGTAATTTTCCGCCTTACCCGCCAAATTGAAACATTCCAGCTCAATAAATGGGTATCAAATAGTGCGACCGATCATGGTGCAAATTATCTTTTTTTTTTCTCCCTCTGTCTTTTCCTGTCCCTCCTTTCTTTTCCCTCCGTCTTTTCTGCCTTGCCCCCTGTCTTGTTCGCCTGCCCTCTTGGGCAGTTTCCCTCTCTTACTGGCGCTGTCACTCGAGGAGAGACAGCGCTCCGTAGATCGCTCGTAGCGTAACGTTGACATCCCAAGACTTGTTCTACTTCCCAGGTATATCAAGTACGAAGCGTCGATCTACCTCCATCTCTTTGTCATCTTCTTCGCCCTCGAACTTGAGGCGGTAGACGTCCTTTTTGGAGCCCATGACTTCTGCACGATAGAACGTGGTCGTATCGGGATATCTCGCCAAAACTTGTTTCCCTACAGAAAATGAGGGCAAGGCTGACCCTATCTGGGGAATGGGGATCAGAGAGGCGGCAGTGGTTTTGTAAACAGCTCCCTGTTCACCATTCTCGTTTGGCTCCGGGTCCTGCACATCATACCTTGAAAGATACATCGGTCAATGATCCTGTGGAAGTGGACTGGGGCGTCACGCCGTACCGTTTTTTCACTCCATCCCCAGAGATCGCCTTGATAATGCACTGAATGCCCTCGCCTTCGACCCCTTGTTTGTTCTTGTTGTGTTTGAAGACAACCTCCGCCCCAACCACCAGGTGTCCGCTGCGCTCTGCAAGGGTACCCTTGGTACCCTCCGTGCCTTCTTCTACTTTGACATACACACCGCTGTCGCGGATGTCTCGGCTGTCACGGACCTGAGTGCTGGAAACACTGGTGCTACGCTGAACGCCGCCTTTCGTGCGACCAACCTTGTCTGGCAAGGCAGTAGTGGAGGGCCCAGGCGAATCAGTTGCTGACCCATCCAATTCATTTCGCTTCTTCCGCGACTTGGAAAATGTAGCAGCGCGATTTTGAGGGGCCTCCGCTTCGGAGGCCTGTCGAAGCGCGGTCAGGAGACCCAAGTTCTTGATAACATCGCTAGGCTCATCCTGGAGAATGGCTCTCTCCTCGTCGCACAGCTTAGACATTTGTCGATAGAGACTATCAAGCTGATCATGCTCGCTGAGCGAAGGTTCTGTTTCGTTGGTTAGCATCCATGATCTCAAGAGCAAGTAAAAGCCATGAGATGAACAAAGGCAAACAATGACAAGATGTTAAGAATGCAAGATAAGGTAAACGGGTTGAAACATCAGCCTGACAGTGAGGACAGGATAGCTAGAAGGTCTCATGCAAACTGTAGAACGGAACGAAGAAAGGAAAACCCCAGTGTCACAACACATTCAGCGATTCGGGGCTATGTTCAATTTGTGCAGGGCATACAGTATGTGGGTGAGGCGGATCAGAAAGAAAGTGTTATATAAGACTTACTTCCACCCTCTTTACCAATTTTCTCGTTCAAGGCGGCGATTTGCTCCGCCAGCGCCTTCTGCTTGTCATTCTTCTCCTTCGCCTTGCGCAGGTCCTGGAGGATCTTGTTCCACATGTCAGTCTCCTCATTGGCTGCCAGTCCGTTGTCCCTGGGGACTGGAGGACCTCTTGGCCGATTCCGGGACATGTTCTTGATCTTCTTGGAAGGTGAGCTTAGATCCCAAGCTGTAGCAGCAGCAGCAGCAGCAGTCGTAGTAGCCCTTGGTTGACTGTTCCTGGTTTTAGCCGAGGTTGCAACGGGCGCGGAGTCTCTAGATTTCTCGATAATTAGAGCCTCCCATTCGAAGGCGGAAAGGATAGCCTGCCGGGCAGAGCTTCGAGTACCACGGGCAGCACCTTGTCTGAGGTTGTGGGGACGAACAGCAAAGGCACTCTGAGGCTTTGCAGAAAACGGATTGTCCGGGGTGGAAAGCCTGTTGGGCCCGACTGATTGGGACGGAGGAGACACGGGAACCTGAGCTTCAGGGACCCCGTCATGCTGAGCGTCCGACTGCGAAGCTGTTCCTTGGGCGGAGAGCTTCCCTTCGCGGCTAGCCGGTAAGCGCTTTGCGCCCCAGGAGACTCTCTGATTGGCAGATTCCATTCCGGTTCACGTAACGGATGCGGCACACCCAATCGGGAATGGGGTAGTAATGATAATGATAATTAATGGTCGATAAACGAGTTGGGCGGGATGGAGGGGCTCACCCTCTGAGACACCGGGGGGACGAAAGCAAGAATTATTTGGTCGCTCAAGGACTCAAAAACCCAGTGTTGTGTCTCTGAGTTCTGTCTCTTTTTCCCTTCTCTGCTCTGCTGTGACAGATAAAACAAGTTTCAAGTGAGCGAGTGGATTTATTGAGTAGTATTCCACTTGAGCTGCCGTTGTTCCTCTCCCCCGCCATTCATTCACTAGTTCGCTCTTTCCTCCTGTCTATCCTCTCTTCCTTCCCCTTCACCACCAATACAGTACTTAGCTTATTAGCCCCCTCAGCAATATGCAGGTACCATTGCTTCGCCTTCAGTGTGGTGAGTATTCATTCCCTCGAGTCTTCCACTCGAAATTAGAGAATAATGTCACTAATAGTCCGTCTTCTTTATCCTCAGGTGTCAACAGCTATGACTGGGGTAGGACATCCCCGCATCCTGGATAGGTCCGCCCGTTGCGTTTATTGAAGCTGGTCTAGGCAAGATTGGTCATGAGTCTGCTGCCGCAAAGTATGCCGCCATTACTGCAGGCTCCGATTTCTCCATAGAACCTGAGAAGCCGTATGCAGAGGTTCGCCCCCTGAATTCTTGATGTTCTCATGGCGGTAAACTGACCCGGTGACGTATAGTTGTGGATGGGCACCCATCCTTCCCTTCCCTCCAAAGATGTCGAAACCCAGCGAACCCTCCTCGATATGGTCCAGGATAACCAGGCATTGATCTCCAAGGAAGTGAGCGAGCGATATGGAGGGAAATTGCCTTTCCTTTTCAAGGTTCTTTCTGTTCAAAAGGCTCTCAGTATCCAAGCCCATCCGAATAAGAAACTGGCTGAAAAGCTTCATGCCCGGGACGCCCGAAACTATCCAGGTAAACTATATAATTCTATCTGATAACAATCGCAACTCTGATCATCGCTTTATAGATGATAATCACAAACCCGAAATGACAATTGCGATCACCCCGTTCGAAGGACTGTGCGGCTTCCGACCGCTGGCCGAAATCGTTCACTTCCTTAACGCAGTCGCCCCTCTCCGCGAGTTAGTCGGCACGCAAGCAGTGAATCAATTCGAGAGTGTTGTCAAGGGATCTGAAGACTCGCAGGATTCTGACCAAATGGCAAGAAACAAGGACGCGTTACGCTCCCTATTCACATCGCTAATGAAGTCATCACCGGAAAGCATTGAGGCTGCCACCCAGAAGCTGATCTCTGCGGCTCAGGATTCTCCTGATACATTTGCTACTTCTACCAGCACTCCGGAGACGAATCCGAGCAACCCTGCCGAATTGGCTGCCATTATCGCTCGACTTAACGGACAATTCCCTAACGACATCGGGCTATTCGTGTTCTTCTTCCTGAATTTTGTCAAGCTGGCACCAGGTGAAGCCATGTTCTTGAAGGCTGATGACATCCATGCATACATCTCTGGAGACATTATCGAATGCATGGCGTCGTCTGATAACGTTGTGCGGGCGGGCTTCACTCCCAAGTTCAAGGACGTTGATACACTCACCGAAATGCTGACATACTCCTATGCGCCAATTGAAGAGCAAAAGCTGGAGCCGACCGACTATCCATATGCCGTTCTCAATGCCTCCGCCTACTCTAGTGGTTCATCGTCTCTTCTCTACGACCCTCCGATTGAAGAGTTTAGTGTGGTCAAGACGGATCTGAAGAGGGCTGGGGCCAAAGCAACTTTCGACGCACTGGTAGGTCCCAGCATCCTGATATGCACCGGCGGAACTGGGAAGATTACGGTCGGCCACAAGACTGAGGAAGTGAAAGAAGGCTATGTGTTCTTTGTGGGAGCCAACGCCGAGTGTATCGTCGAGAGTACGGGCAGTGGAGAGGAGGATGTGTTTACCACATATAAGGCATTCTGTGATCTGACGGGTAAGGAGGATATGGTGAACGGAAACTAGAATGTGTCTATATCTAAGCTATAATGCGTTAGAGGGAAATATCACATACTTCTGAATTAGTAGTTCCGAGCCGAGGTCATCTCTCCAGCTGCGGGGGCTGGCTTAAGCACAGTGGAAGAGCTGCTCCATTCTGCCTATCGGTGCATATGCACTCCACCTGCCCCTTGCTCTGGACGGTCAATCAATTGCCGGATATATCTACTATGTTTGCCTACCAATTTCAGCCGGCAGCACCTAGAAAGCGGGGGTATCGACCCTCACTTTTAAACCTTCAATTCCTCTCCACATCCTCCCCTCTCCTCTCACATACCACCTTCTCGCACCATGTCGTCCTGGAAGCAATCTCTAACCTTTTGGGAGAAGGTGCAGGAGGCATGGAACATATTGATTGTCTATAAGACTCTCCTTTCTGTTTCCATTACAGCTGCCTTTCGAGGCAAGGATGGCGCCAAGCAGTACAAGGTCCATGTGCTCAACGCTGTAACGCGCAAAGTTTGTGTCACCTTCACAGAGAGACAATTGCAGTGCGTTCTAATTCTCCTTACGACCGGGCACTGCCTGCTAACCACCATCCCAGGCTCCAGGACACCCCCACCGATGAAGTATACAGACAGTTCATGGCCAGCCGAGGTCTCCAGCCGCAGACTGTGCCTCTCAACCACGGCGCCAAAGGTCACTGGATTGGCAACAGAAATGCCAAAAATGTCATTGTCTACTATCATGGTGGGTCATTGCTGCCTCCCATTTCTACCCCCCTTGATCAAGTTGATTTTCCAATTGTACCATACTAACCCAGCTGTCCAGGAGGCGGATTCTTTCTCTTTGGTCGTCCCCATCATTACCAGCTACTAGCACATATACTTAACCGCCTGAACGAAGCTGGCCATGACGATCTTGCTATCTTCTTTCTCAGCTACTCTCTTACGCCGCACGCTGTTTATCCCGTTCAACTTCGCCAGTCTGTTGAAGCCCTCCGCTACATCCTCACGGAGACAGGCCGCTCCCCAGCCAACATCTTCCTGGGTGGTGATTCCGCTGGTGGAAACCTCTCTCTAGCTGTGCTTTTGCACCTCACCCATCCACACCCCGAGATCGAGCCTCTCAGTATCTCCCAACCCTTGGCAGGTGTATTTGGCTGCGCACCGTGGATCAGTTACAAGATGGACGGCCATAGTTTCCTGGAAAACGCTTACAAGGATGCCCTCTCTAAGGAAATTCTCGACCGTTGGTCTAATCAGTACCTGGCGGGTAAGGAAGGTGACCCTTGGAGTGAGCCAGCTCGAGCTCCCATGGATTGGTGGGAGGGATTAAAAGCAGAAGATTTCCTAATGACCGCCGGGAGAGATGAGATTTTACTCTCTCCAATCAATGAGTTTGTGGAGAGATTCAAGGTTCGTTCGTCACTTCTCGTACCCCTCCACCTTCCCCCCTCTCTTGGTTGACTGCTTCGTGTTTGTATTTTACCTTCTAAGTTACATTGCACAAACTGACCTTTTGCCACTATAAACAGAAAGTCGTACCCAATACTGTTTATGTTGTGGCACAAGACGAAACCCATGATTCGGCTGTCTTCGCTGCAGATATAGTTGGCTATGATACTCAGCAGACCCAGGCAATCATTAACTGGTTAGGTGCTCGGCTGTGAAATTAATTAGTAGTGTCAGCTGTCGGGTAGGTGACAACTACACATTTATTGTACAATGCAGATTGAAGGGTCCCGTTGCTAGCCACATTCTCTGGCTTTCGGTCGCTTTTCCTGTGAAAGTTCAGGTAACAAGTCTGTAATCCTTGGCTCAAATTGGGGAAGATACACCAAATAACGTACAACTAATATAATCTATCAGCCTGTCTGCTGATACTGGTAGATTCTTGTTCCCTCGTTATACACAGAAAACGGGCAAGTGCAGACTAGACGGGGCAAAATAGGATAAGGAAGGAAGCATTCGCTGGACAATAACTTGCTTACACATAGCTACGCCGTCGTATCAATTCATAATCGGAAACAATATCACGCCCAGGGAGCAAGAAGAGGGGTACAAGATGGAGATCAGGAGACAAAAACAATGCAAGCAGCACAAAAGTAAACAACGGATATCCTAGATTAAGCCGACACTCTGGGAGCATACTTCGCAGCCGCGGTATCGAACAATTCACTCTTTGCTTGGAGATCGGAGAGCAAGGGGTGCGCGGGGTTGATCTGTTCGAGGCGCCTATAGTAAGTGCAATGCATGCGTTAGCTACACATTCGTCCGCAGATCGATGGCTTAGGGATAGGAGGATGAACGTACTGCTCCAACTCTTCCGAGGGCTTGCCAGCCAAGACGTTCAGCACAACAGTGTTCGCAATCAGTTCCGCCTCGTCGGGATACTGCTGCAGAGCCGCAGTCAAGGCGGCCTCTGCCTCAGGCAACCGACCGAGATGGAGTTCTGCCACGGCCTGACCAACGATAGAGAGGGGCGCGGAGGTGCTAGGAGCGGATGCCAATTCCTCGTAGACGTAGAATGCAGCCTGGTATTTCTCGCCGCCCTAAAAGCCGAAGCAACAGCAAATTAGTTTCATCGCTTACCCTCGAACAAACAGCAAGGAGGCTGCATCAGGGTGTGACACATACAACTCTCATTCCCACCCACGACTCAGCCAAGTTAACCAAGAGGGAATCCTGCGCCCAGCGCTTTGCAGCCTGGACTTCCTTCAAGGCGAGATCAGAGCGGTTCTGCTGAAGATGAATCTGGACGATCAAGGCCACACTATATCATTGTCCATTAGCTTCCTGAGTTCCACCCATTATACAGACAGTGCACATGGCAAATTGACGGCTAAAACTCACGCCTCGAGGTTCCCCTGATGCTTGGTCAATAAAGCCAACGCATCCTCACTTTGTCCCTGAGCCTGCAGCAACGTCCCGCACAGAACCTGTACAGTAGCATTGTCGGGGTAATTCTCCGCAAGGTCCTGAGCCAGCTTCAATGCCGATT